CTATTGTAAATAGCTCGGTTTTTGAGATATTTTTTTCTTAAATATCTGTATTTTTAAATACCGGAGGTATTTGATAAAAAGTTTTTTTTAATAGCAGGGTTTTCAAATACATTAGGTTTTTTAGGAAGATGTTTGTTTAAATAGCTGTTTTTGTAAAAAGCTCGGTTTTTGACAGTTTTTTTCTTAAATAGCTGTATTTTTAAATAGCTGAGATTTTTGATAATTCTTTTTTTAATATCCTACTTTTTAGATACCTGAGGTTTTTCAAGAAAATGTTGGTTTAAATAGCTGTTTTTTTTAAATAGCTGAATTTTTTTTGTTGTTGTAAAAAGTTGTTTTTGTTAATGGCTCTGTTTTTAATATCTGAGGAGTTTTAGGAATATGTTTGTTTAAATAGCTGTTTTTAAAATAGCTGAAGTTATTGTAAATAGCTCTTTTTTGGAGATATTTTTTCTTAAATATCTGTTTTTAAATAGCGGAGATTTTTGATTTTTTTTTAATAGCAGGGTTTTCAAATACATTAGGTTTTTTTATGAAGATGTTTGTTTAAATAGATGTTTTTGTAAACATCTTGGTTTTTTACACATTTTTGCTTAAATAGCTGTATTTTTAAATAGCTGAGATTTTTGATAATTCTTTTTTCAATATCTTACTTTTTAGATACCTGAGGTTTTCAAGAAAATGTTGGTTTAAATAGATGTTTTTTTAAATAGCTGAAGTTATTTTTTTTTGTAAAAAGTTGTTTTTGTTAATGGCTCGGTTTTTAATATCTGAGGCGTTTTACGAATATGTTTGTTTATATAACTGTTTTTCATATAGCTAAAGTTATTGTAAATCCCTCTTTTTTGAGATATTTTTTTCTTAAATATCTGTATTTTTAAATACCGGAGGTATTTGATAAAAAGGTTTTTTTAATAGCAGGGTTTTCAAAAACCTGAGGTTTTTTTGGGAAGATGTTTGTTTAAATAGCTGAGGTTTTTCGTAAAAAGTTGTCTTTGTTAATTGACCAAAATTTTTCCTCCTGCTCCTTGTGTCTGTTTTAAATTACTGAAGCACTCTAATATTTTAAAAAAAGCATTCATCACGAGGAATGTTGCTCTAGACAAATATGAATGACCATACATCTATCTTCAATAGTCATCAATGAACAATAATAACATTAGTTTTTGAACATATTTTAACTTAATGAGGAAAAAATTTAAAAAGTAAAAAACATTGTTATATGTATTCACATAATAGATTGAATATTATCGACATCATCGTGTCTTTAAATTATCCAAATGATGCAGATTTTAATTTTTACTGCTTTACCTTACTAACAGCTTCATTTGACGAAAAAGAGTTTTTCTTAAAATTTAATTCTAAAAAAAATATTCAAGTCCTATAAGGTTTCGTTTAAGAGAAATCTACCATAAGTTTCACCATTTTTCGTTCCTTTTATCTCAAAGTTACTCCACTATTTTGCCTCGTTTCACATCGATAAGGAGAATTCACAACGTCTACCGTAGCGGGAGAAAACAACAATGCCCAATCATTATTGTTAATATCGTCATTTTCCCTTTTCTTGAAGAAAGAACGTCACTGGGCGGATTCGAAAACAATGTTTCTCACTGTACCCTGGCGGTATCATCGTTGATCACTGGTATCAAGATCTGCATATTCTCGCTGTTCCATCTTACTCCTTTACTCTTTCGATACAATTGATATCTGCTTTCAATATTATAATTTTGTTTAAAAAAACCAGGGATAAGTACCATTTAAAAGAAAATATAAACACTCAGTCCCTTCGTTAAGTTTTTAATGATATCTTGTTTATGAGGACGTTGAAAGCGTTATTAATAATTCACAAGGTTAACAAATATGAACATCTATTTACAACATACTGGGGCGTCGGTTGCCGCAACGGTTTAGGCGTTGGCACGGCGCTCATCACTGTAAGGTAAAGGTCCCTGGTTCGAATCCAGCGGCCCTGCATTCGAACCCGGCATACTTACAAATGGGCTTTTTTTCAAAAACACCGGCACCCTGAGGGTTAATATGACCTCTGTGTTGCCAATCCTCGTAAAAAAATATTTAAAAAATATAAAAATTTACAACTTACTGCTCCAATCATTTCAAATTGTATTGATTTTTATTGTTTAAAAACATCAAAGTTAAACTATCTCTTGGATTAAATTAATTTTCAGTCGTACCTTTGGAATACCTGAACGGCTCTTCCGTATGTAACTGTATATGTGTAGAGCATAGAATGAATCAATTGGACATCCACGGTGTCCACAGTCACGTCCCAATCGGAAACCGGTTCCAGGCGATGGTTTATTTCTTAATTCGGGCCGGAACAGATCCTTCTGATTGTTTGTGTTTCTTTCCCAGGTCGAATTCTTAAAAACTAAATTATTCCAATTGAAAAACGAAAAGTCATCGATAGAAAAAATGGTAATGATAGCTTAAATATACAGCCTTTGTGATCGATAACTCTCAAATAAATCAGGTTCTTCCAGAAGTCGTGATAAGGTTAAATAGTTTACGGACACTCTGCTTGGCTTACAAGTCACATTTGAATAGATAATTTACAATACAGGTTTTCAGTTTAGTTGCAACCCCATGATTTACTCAAAAACTACTCAACTTAGAAAAAAATAGCATAAGGACTAATTCCAAACAATGCAATAATATAGTTTTTATAAATTTGCTAAAAAAGTTTCAAAAAATGAAATTTTTGTTTTCTAAATGGTAACCTACATTTTCATTTGAGGGTACCAATTTAATTCGATTTTATTATGGAAAACAATTTGAAAATTGACACGCAGGGTTTTCAACTTTCTAGAGTCCCCCGCCCTGGTTCCCTTAAAAGTACCAAGTAACCAAAGTTTGTGTTTTTCATTTGTTATTGATTTAATATCGTTAATCAACATTTATATTTACTTACGAAGTTTAGGTGTTTACAAGAGGATAGGAGTGTCTTGAAAAGTTCACGTAAATTGTACATTTTTTTCTCATTCAAAACCCGTAATTCGTGCGTGCTTATAGTTGGAATTTAAGCTCGGTACTAGGGCAGTCTAGGCACTGCGTTCGGTTTGAAAAAATAAGTGAGTGCAATTCCCAAAATTGGTTCAAGGCATCACTGTTTGTTGGTGAATATTCAATTAATTAAGGTTTTCAGTTGAGATAAAAAAGTCAGTGTCACAGCGGGATTCGAACCCACGATCTTCGGCTAGATATGCCGCTGCTCTACCACTTGAGCTATCGTGACCTCGATCCACTCGGACACTATCTTCCCATCTCAACCCCACCTTTTGAATTTTCCCTCCTTTTTGCCATTTTTCGGGTTTTTGAGGAGAATATTCAATTTTCGCGTCAACGGAAGGTTATTTGGCGATAGCCAACGATACGACTTCCTGATACTTGTGCAGGATCCATTCTTCGTCGCATGTGACAAAGTGAAATTCATGAGTAATAATAAAAATTATTTAATTATGACCAAAACACCCAATTTTTTGAGAAAACCAGGTACACTAATATTTTGAAACCCCAGTGCATCTAACGTTAGTGTAATAATAATTTGTCATCAACCAGCATAGTTGTCTACACCTTAAACCTATTTCTGCCATAGTTGTCTTCACGTGCTCTTTCCACCTCAGCTTGTCATCTAAGATCATTTCCACATATTTATCTGTATCGCTGTATCGTATACATAATCGTTCCATCGATTGTTGGAGACGGAACATGGTCGACTTTTTTGTTTGTAAAATTTATATGTATAGATTTATGCTGATTGAGCCAGATTCTCCATTTTTTGTCCATTCAATTATCTCTCTACATGTCTTTTGAAGGATTTTGTATGAATGGTTGATGGTCAGTCCTGCTGATTCACCGCTGTCATCTGGAAACGTTGCAATTTTTACTATTTTCGGAAAAGCACTTGGGTATATCATGTAAATTAGTGGGCGTAATATACTACCTTGAGGCACTCCTGCATTTATTGTTTTTAATTCTGAATATTGGTCTTCTTGTTTGCTTGTAATATTTACATGGTAATATTCTCATGAAAATCACTTATTATCAACTTTCCTACGTGAGCTTAGATATCATCTTGGGATCCCAAATGGGAGAGTGTGGGGTGGCCAAGTGGATTGTGGCGTCGGACTAGTATCTCACACGCTAGCGGTTCTGGGTTCGAATCCTGGCATCCCTGTAGGATTTCAGTTGAAATTAATTTGGAAAAAGTATCGTAAAGTGGTTGGAACACCCAACGGGTAATAGGACAAACCCTCATGTGTGGCAGGGTTTTACTTACTTTACATAAATTCTAACACACCAATGTGACGATTTGATAGCAATAGTCGTTCATGAGAGTTTATAAATTAGATAAAAAGTCGTCAGAACTCTTTAAATTGAAACTTTCATCGTTGTGTAGTATTTTCCTCTAACTAACAAGATCCTGTGCAACCTTTTAGCACCATGTTATATTTTCATGTTCATTATGTTCTTAACGCCTAGCTTTCATGGCATTCCTTAATTACATACTTAGAAACGTAAAAATCAAGTTAAAAGTGCATACCAATTCAAGAATGTGAGCTGTAGGAAAAAAAGGACAAAATCTGCTAATGGTTGAAAAATGATAAAGTAAACAAAAAAAAAGATTTATGAACAGAATAAACAATGACTTTAGATGTTTATTCGTTACCTGGTGGCCTATAATTTTCAGATTTCAGTTATAATGCCAAAAAAGGACAGAAAGGAATTTTTTGTATTTATTAAAATCTCGATTTGATACGGCGTTCTACTGCAATTCCGCTGGATCTTAAGAGTCCTTCGTCTCTAACCATTTCAATCTGGCGATTCTCACCGAAGATGTAATTTTAATAATAACGACGTTACATCCTCTGGGAAAAGATGAGAATAATAATTCCCTTGACATTAAGCGTGGTCCAATCACGATTTTTCTACGTGTACACGGGCGTAAATACGCTATCCTTCTGGATAATTCAAGAATCGGAATGTCAAATTACGCACAGGAGCTTCCTTTTTTAAACTCTCAGGGTAAAATCTCAAGAACAAAGGACACCGGGGTCACCAACCTGTGCAATTTCCCGTGGGTGTGAAAACCTGCCAGATTTGTACCATGGATTGCGGAGGAACAAATTTTGTTTAAACAAAATTTTTTTGTTCACAGGTACTCGAGTTGATGAAAGAGGTCGGTGATGATGAAGACTCCAGCGATATATCAGGTTACCATTCGGATTCAGATAGTGCCATTATGATGTCGGGTAACTCACCATATGTCACAAAACGTGCCAGGCATAATTTCCTTACCAGATCAGGTAATATTACACTTTTTTTTCTCTTCTCATACTTTCACTTATTTAAATTTTATTATTGTCTCTGTTTTAGTTCGATCGAGTAGTAATAGAAGCGGAAGAACGTGTCTAGGATTGAGCACTTCTTCGACCGACAGCCCACCAGATAAAGGTAACTTCACGACAAAAATTGCAAAAATCTCGATCGCTTCAGATCACGATTTTCCACCCCGAGGCGGAGTTCGAGAACCACTCGGGCGTAAAAGAACTATGAGAGGAAGTTGGCAAATCCATTTTCTATCATATCCGGCCCCGGATCGAACATGATGCTCGGGATTCTGGGCGAAATCCCTTTGCCTTGAAACAATAGAATTGGAAAGTAAAAGTACAACTCTTGCCTTTCATATTTCAGAACTGATTTTGGTTTTGTTGTCTCAACCGTTGAATCGATGTTAATACACCGCTTTTCCTTTTTTGACTTGTGCTCATCGCTTTCCAATCACGAGGCCCGATCATCCCCGAACATATCTAAATCACGATTTATTACTTCTGCGTGAATTATCTTTTTTATGGTTTTTTTATATAATTTTATTGTTGCGCTTTAAGCATACAGCAATAGTACACTAATATACACATTATATAATAAATACACATCATAATTAATTAAAACAAGTAACACAGAACAATGAAATAAATAGTTTTACATAAGTAAATAATTACAGTATCACATATCTCACATTTTTTTCATACAGCACATCAATCTCAGCATACATCAATTTATACATGTCCACATTTCCAGCAAAACGGTTGCTCGAAATTTCTCAGTGTATACACCCCATCGAAAAATTCCTGTCTTCGTATTCTGTTCATGTCCACTGGGAGGCTGTTTGTCACCTCTTTTATGGCTAATTACAATAAAACAGCTTAATAGAACTTCTGAATAAGTCAGGTTTCTACAGTCAATTATTTTCAGATGATGGTACCATAATGCTCACAGGTAGGGATCCCTTGACTCTTTCACTACTGATGGAAAACGCCATGGGATTGCTTTATAGGTGGTGTTGTGACAAAGGTTTATTAATTAATCCTGCTAAACTAGAATTGATAATGTTTAGCAGGAGAAGAACATTAGGTAATTTTAAAAACCCTAAATTTCAGGGCATAGAATTAAAGTTAGTGGATTCCATCAAATTCCTTGGTGTGACACTTGACGGGAAACTTGATTGGAAAGGTCATATTAATAACATATACAGGAAAGGCACTATATCAATGGTACAATGTAGAAGAATTGTCGGTAAAACATGGGGCATCCAAACCATGGGTAGCCAAATGGCTATATACTGCAATTATTCTACCTAGATTCTTTTTCGCAGCTTTAGTGTGGTGGAAAGGTCTAGAAAATAAAGGGAATAGTAATAAATTAAGGTCATTTCAAAGACTAGGTTGTTTGATGATGACAGGAGCATTTTCAACTACACCCACCCTAGCACTTGAAATCATAACCAATACCACACCCCTTCACATTGAGGTTAAGGTCAGAGCACTAATCAGCTGCTACAGATTAATTAGCGAGGGCAGCTGGAATCATAAGTGCAATAACATAGGTCACTCGAAAATCTCACAACTATTGAGTAAGGTTAACGGTCAATTATTAAGCGTTAGTGATAAAAAGATTAAAACCCCTTCGGGGAAAAAGCACTTTCAGGTAGTCACCCCTTGTGATTATAATTATAGTCTGGATGATGACCATCGTAACATAGACTGCTACACAAATGGATCACTTATCAAAGGTAGAGGGAGTGGTGCAGGAATCTACATACCAAAATTAGGAATCAGCAACTCCTCCCCTCTTGGCAATAACATCTCCGTTTTTCAGGCGGAAATCTGGGCCATCAATGTGTGTTGTAGAACACTTATGGAAAATAAAATTAAGGGAAAAGATATTAAAATCTTTTCTGATAGTCAGGCTGGTCTTAGGGCATTACAAAAAGATTTGTCAACCTCACGACTGGTGGAGGAAACTATAGGTCTTATCAATAGGATCTCTTTCAGGTTTGAGAATAAGGTGACCCTTATTTGGATACCAGCACATAAAGGACACAATGACAATGAAAAGGCGGATGGCCTAGCCAAAGAAGGTTCAATACTGCGTTTGTCGGGCCACAACCGGTATTACCTCACTCTATGAGCACAGCGAAGAGAGTATCAATAACTGGGGCATGAAACAATTCCTTAGGGAGTGGAATTTATCCCCCGGATACAGGCAATCGAAAGAGTTTGTTAAGGCGATCAAACCAGCAGAATCGAAATGGCTATTCTCTACCTCAAGGAAGGGAATTAGGAGACTGATTCTGACGGGCCACTGCCCACTGAGAAGACACCTCTTCGTAATGGGTATCCTACCAGATCCCTTTGGCCGCTTCTGCGAAATAAAAGAAGACACGGCAAGGCACTACCTCGCAGAGTGTGATAGGTATGCTAGGTCTAGATTTGAAACCTTTGAAGGAGAGGACATCACCAAATCACTCACTGAGATTATATGGTCCAAAATCTTGGGGTTTGAGAACAACTCCAAGAGGTTTGTGCAGGACACGTGAGCCGACCAAGTCCCGGATCTTTTAGGGTTGGGGTACAAGTCTACCCAGGCATTTAACCCCTCGGGTCTTGGTTGCTCACCCTGCATAATAATATATATTCTGTTCACGTAAAAATTATATGCTTTATCCTTTACGGTTCAATGCACCTCTCATTGTTTGGAGTAGCTCTACGGCCTATTGCATGCACCGCAAATGCAGTGGTTTGACCGAATCTGGGATATCGATAACATTCTTTTGTGTCATTAATTCCAGAGAACCATGGTTTTGATCCTATTTCCGGGAATATGGATTTATCTAGCATAGTCGCAGTTCCCTGGGTGTACCAAGTGCTCCATTCTTGCATTAACCGTTTGGTAGAATAGGCGTTTTGCGTCCGTCTTCGGCAGCTTGGTATTGTGATATTCTCCGTACTTCGTCCCTTCTTTGGCCAATCACCTCATTACCACGGATGGTACAATGTCCTCGACTCCAGAAAAACTATCTCTTTCTGCAGAGACTGTGGCATTAATGATTTCCGCTAGTACATAATCACACCTTGAGTTTGAGTGAAATTGCTCGATCTGCTTTATGGAACTCATAATATCCGAGACTATTCAAAATTAGCAAAAGAGCATACATTTCGGTAGTAAAAATGATCAATAAAGGAAAACAGCTAAAATGACATGATTCACTTAAAGACTCATCAAATTATACACATATTAATTACAATTAAAATAATTGTACTATCTTTTCAAAAAAATTTTGTTTGATTTATACAAGCTCATCTCTGCACACCAATGAACTTACATACCCACGTGTGCATAATCGAGCTTATGACCTCGGGTTTTGGTATTCCGGCATCAGACATCGATCTTATTTGTCCGGCCATCGAAGTTAAGCCTCAGGACATCAGTTGGTAGGTCATTTCTGTCAGCAATGAATGTAATTTTTAAAACTAAATACGGGGGCGTCGGCGGCCGCAACGGTTTACATTGACACGACGCTCATCATCACTATACGATAAAGATCCCGAGTTAGGATCCACCACCCAAGCGTTAGTTTCTGCGATGGTCGTTTGATGAACTTTTTTTCCATGCCTCTCTCCTTGGCTACAGTTCCATTTAACGGGGGACTTATTCTTAACCCATAGTCTGATGGAGCCTCGTTTTTGGCAGTTTGGTATGCCACAAAAAGGTTCAGGGCCAATTGAATTTTGCTTGGCCATTTTATCAGCCTCTTCGTTGTCTATTTTCCCTGCGTGCCCTGATACCTAGACAGGGGTAATATTGTTGTTGTCCCCAATGGCTGACAGGACATATAGCCTAAAAGTAGGTGTTCATGAGCCAACCTCGCATGGTCTATTCTTAATCGTGAAAGGATGCCCTCTCTTCTACTATTGAGAGCTTCCTTTTTGCTTCCTCGTTATTACTATTACTGATCGTCAAAAAACTTTATTATATTATAAAAAATATTTATATTTCAATTTAAAAAATAAATATTTCCCAAATGGGGGGGAGGTGTGAATTCAATTTCTATGTATAAATGATGACAAAATTGTTGTACATTTATTGCAAAATGTGTCCCACGTGGAAGAGTATGCCTTGGTTATATATAGGGTCTATGTTAGATACTTTCTTGAGCTGTAATTAAAAAAACTTCATTGATAAATTTAGCTGCCAAAAATTAATAAAAACCTCAGAACAACCAAAATTTTATAATAATGCAAACATTTCCAGGAATTAAACTTAATATTTTTACTGTGTAGATTTAAGATCAAAATGTAAAAAATATAATTTAATTTCTCATGTACAATAGGGAAATATATAATTTTTCAAACAAGCCAATTTTGCTTTTTTTCTAGAAACAACCACAGATTGGGAATGGTCTGGCACAAAGAGCAACAGTTGCAGGTCTGTAATTTCAACTGAAAGGGAACACAAAAAAACTCCATTGGTCAAACCCTGGTGCTCATCCTGTGAGGACAGAGCCGTCCTTCAGGTAACAACGGTAAAAACCATCATAGCACTTAATTAAAAAACACTCAGACCATATTAAAAGTCAAACCATTTCAGATCACAGTACCCGACACAACCACCCACCAAAACGAAGTAACAGCACTTCAGTCTGAACTTGAGAGGACGAGGATGGAACTTGATCAAACAAAAGCAAGGCTTGCAGTCTTAGATGCTCATGCACAAGCCAAGTATTTGCATTTTTGTTTTTTTAAACTTGAAAATCTCTATAACTTGTGTAGTCTATGAGTCTTATTGAATCCTCTTCCTCATCATAATAATCTTGAGAATGTTTAACAACCTCTGATTTTTTAGGGAACTGAGTGGTCCAAGATTGGTACGCTGCTACGGAAATCTTTACTCGCAAGGAAGAGTTGAAGCTCTCAATGCTTTGGATACACTCCCTCCTTTTAAAGACGCCCCAGAGCTTAAGTCAAAAATATTATTTTCAGTTGTTGTTGTACGTTTCATTATTTAAAAATTATAGTATATGCATTGTTATATATAATTTTTTTTTTTTTATAGTTGGCATTTAGAGCAACAAGCAGCCAGCTGACGACAAAGAAAGAACAATTGAGGAGAATCCTACTCGCTCCCGCTCCACAAACAAATGCTCATAAAGAGTTGGAGGAAGCCGTTGCGATGTTTCTTCGCAGGACAGTCGACACCTTCGATCTGACACACTGTATCGAAGTTAGTTTTTGGTTTTAATTTAAGCTCTCACAGATTGTTCAATGATGTGAATTTAAAATTTTAAAACTTGTTCCAGGAGGTGAGCTCACAGCTTTGGGCGACGCTTTATGACTATCCTTGTTTGAAAAACTGCCCCGGACTAACCCAATACATCAAAGATTCTGTTCGACTTGCTTGGGCACTTGTTAATCAGGTAAAGGGAATTTTTAAGAATGAAACTTGAATTACTTTGAAACCAATGTTTAAGCTATTTTCAACCTAAGTTTTCAGTAAAGTATATCTCAAGTATATAAATTTGGTAGTAAACCAACAATCAAAAACTTACACTACTGAACATTTCATTTATCCATCAAAACTACATTTTCCCTTACTTAATCAAATTTATTGTTATTTTCTCCAGGGAGCCGGTTACTGCCTCGAGTACGAAGACAGAGTTTTCAGGCGTGAAATGCATGTCAGATTCCACTCAGCGGATCCGGAGAGCAACTCGATACGAACGTATCTTTGGCCAGCCCTTCTTGAATCACCATCAGGGCCCTGTGTCTATAAAGCTGTTGTTCTTACATAAAAACCGCCTTCATAACCACCTTATTATAACACTTAGTGGGTTCTCACCTATCTCTTTTAACTAATTCATTTACATTTTATTCATTTACTAACTTATTGTAATTTTTCTTGTTTTCTTTTTTTCAAATATGGTTTTTTTTCAACTTACGAAAAAAAGACAATCATCCTTCTTTTTTCTTCATTTTCTCTATTTCTTATTTTTTTAAATTTATTTTTATATTTTTGGTGTTTCTCTATTTTTTTTTCTTAAACCAAAAGAAAATCTTATATACTAGTGTACCATTTAAAAAAAAATGTCTGCTAAGTAAAATAAGATTATTAATTCTTGAGGCTAATACGTCACACAATAAAACAGCAGACGTGGCACGAAAATTCAATAAAGGTAAAAACAAAACACAATACTCTTATTTTGCACTCTTTTCAAATATAGTGAGCAAGTTAAACAACAAAAAGAAAGCTGAAAGGAGAATGAAAATCTCAACTGTAGCACTTTTTACGCTTAGGCATTTCCTGTTCATGGCTTTCGATTAAAATCTATCAAACTTGTTCTTACATAGTCTTTCTTTTTAGTATTTTTTAAAAGAAAGTCACTTCAAGAGTTCAATGATCTCCAAAGAAAATAAAACTTCTGTATATAATCTTTTTTTCTGCAAAAATCTTACGGCATTTTGTCACTGCTTTGACATGAAAGCATGGAATCTTCAGTTTTCATACATCTCGTTTTACCCAGTGCCTCTTAATTAACAGGAGCATGAACTTCTTATTCTGTATTATTCTACATTTTCTCAATTTGATTGGAACGAAACACGAATATGAATTAGGTGTTGGATGTCCACTTCAAATATTGTTTAACTTTTTAAATGGTTGTCTTTTTTAACTTTCACGTTTTTTATTAATTTCATCTTCAACTTTACATATCAAATAATTTCTCTCTTTTTTTTTTTTTTTTCGTTTATATCAAAGTAAGTAAGTAGATTTTCTTTTAGTTTTAAAAAGGTTTTACACGTAATTATATAAAATTACAAATTTTCAATTGTCGAAAGTTAAGTTTATCTATTTGTCCGTTTTATATAAGGGAAGCCTAATTTTTTGACATTTTTGTGTTTTACAGGGTCTACCCATAAAGTGAGTTGTGCTACTCAGGAGATTTTGTTTGCAGTGCCATAAAAATCTACTCTTCACAATACATCATATTCCCTCTTTTCAATTTTGTACGTCAAAACCAGTACTTTATTATGTTTGTTATTAATTTTTATCAGTATTATCCCGGTGAAATTAAAACATAAAACACTTTATAGAAACATACAAAAACAACTTTGTATATATTTTTTTTATCAATGGTATAAATATGTAATTAAGGACAAGAGGAAAGCATGTTTAATTTTCCAGTTTCACATATTATTTTTATATTCAAAAATAAGAAATTTGTGAAATGATTTTGTACAATTCATTTTTTTATAATGTAAAATACTCATGATGTCTATTTAGTATAATAGAGAAATGAGTATTGTGTTGAAAATACTTGAAATTTTTTTTATTGAATATATTTATCTTAATGTAGGCTTTTTAACCCTTTTTACATAACAAAATGTATTTTCATGTTAAAATAAATATTGTTATGGTAACAGGATTAATTTGTGCTTCATATTTTGTATATACAGAAACAAATGAAAAAATATATATCTTTTTAAATTATATATCCTTCTATCATTGTACAAAATACATTAAGATGTTGACTCCTGATTTTTGTTAATTGCATTTAGCCTCCAACTTCTTATACATCAAATAAATCATATAATTGGTACACAAATAAATTATTTATTCTTATTTTCCATGTGAATTTACAAAAAACTTTTTTTAAATATGTTTTTGATTTACGTTAGGTACACTTTCCTTGGCGCCTTTTCACAGACATCCTTTGGTATGAGAAATGTACTACCAAAGTGGCTGTACTGTAACCGGGGTAATTCAAAAAGGAAATGTCTCTGGTTCCTCCTGGCAGGGCCGGATTGTTACTGTTTCTGCTTTGCCCACCTTTTTCAGATGATAGTGGGGGGGGGGGGCAGAGGCCTACAATTTTCCTCAAATCCTGTCTGCTGAGAGAGAGAAGTTCCTTTGCCTTCCTTTTTGAGAGAGTTATAAATCAATTAGATTGCCTCATACCTGCTGTGTCTGTCAAGTGAGTTTTTCTTTCTCAAGCCTTTTTTCCATTTCCAACTTAAGCACACACTCCGGTGTACCAGGTTGTGTAGTTGTGGTTCTGGTCCCATGGGAGAGAGGGCCACACCTTGCTGCTTGCGTAGATTTTTGTACAAAACAATACTGAATTCAAATAATTTTTCATATCTCTCCTTCATTGGGCTTTTGAGCTAGTTTATTTATTTATTTATTTACAGATCGAAATCCACTATAAAAAAAAGACATTTTACAATAACAAAAAAAATATATAAAAAGAATAAGGACGTATATACATGGTATACCATAAATGGTAAATATAAAAATACAATTAAAGAGTAAAAAACTGAACAACAAAAATGAAAGACATAATTACTAACCAAATAAGGCAGAGGAAACAAAATAAAGCTGAAAGACAATTGAAACTACAATAATTAGGTACATATTTAATGAAAATAATGCTCTTTGTAAATATACAATAAGACTAGAGTGCGAGAATTAGTTGAACCAGTAAATGAAATAAATTGTAATAATTTTGTACAGTATGAAATATAAAAGCATTCAACTAAGGTTGTAGGATATGGTTTTTCACAGATTGCACAGAACTATTGAAGAAGTCAATGCTATTGCAGATGTTGTTACTCTTGATCATCATTCTGTGTAGAGGAGAAGAGAGCATGTAGTTAGAGCTTTGGAATTCAATATAAAATAATTTATAGGTTTTAAGAGAGTGCGAATGGACATGTAGCTGTAGTTGAGAGAGGAGAGAAAGACTATCAATGAGATTGTTTAATAATTTAAATACAAAAACAATATCAAGATAATCCCTTCTTAGTGCCAGTTCGAAAAGTTTAAATTCAGAGCGGATTCCAGGGTAGGCAGAATTCGGAGGAAGGTTGAGTTTGTAGGAAAGTTTTTTTAAAAATTTGTTTTGTACAGATTGAAGAATTTTTTGATAATTTAGATAGACCAAACAGGTGTAGCATATTCTAGTATGGGTTGTGCAAAAGCTTTATAAAGATGGACAAAACATTATATTATTTTTACTCTTCTTGGTTGCACAAAATGGAAGAGCATCACAACAAGTCCAGAGGACATTTTCTGTTTCCTTGTGAGTTTAGATGAAAAGGAAGAAGCATGGGATTAGAGGATAAATAGTGGATAAAGGATGTTTCCCATAAGTGGCCTTATTCAATTTTTGAAAAAAGGCCATTTTTCTTGAAAAGATTTTTCTTTTGTGTATTTGATTAAGAAGTATTTTTTTATTTAGTTTAATATTTACATTAGTTGTTTTATTTTGATTGTTAATTGATGGTTGTCAAACTTTGACTTCACCTTAGTTCATTAACATTTTTATTTAGACTTTATCAGAGTCTGTGTTAGCTCTCTTCTGGGTATTAATGCATTCTTCAAAGTAGCTTTCGACTATCGCAATGTAGTCGACTTGCCTTACTTGGAACTTACAAAATGCGTCTTTACATGTTTGCACCTGTGATAAGTATTTGATACTTTTTAAATAAAAATATTTCTTACATAAGAACAAAAACCAAACTCAAAACATTGGGCTTCTCTCCTCTGGGGACCTTTTAGCGACACCCTCATACAGCAGTTTTGGTGCGGCGGTGCTGCTCTGTTGCGTATCCCTCTCCCCTGCAGAATCTTTCAGTGGCTGATACTGTAAAGTATCGCTGCCGAAGTCCTGCTCTTTAGAGCTTCTCTCTACTGCAGTTTCTTTCGGTGTCGTGCCATTAAACTGAAGAGAATCAGTGCAGCAGTCCTGGTCTTTTGGGTTTCTCTCTCCTGTGGACACTCATACTTCAGAGTATCGAAGCAGCAGTCCTGTTTTTTGAATCACGGCTCCACAAGTTTTAGGATATCCCCAACTCTAATGTATTTTTACCGGTTTTCCACGAATGACCCCCTCACACTGATGGGGGTATGATGTCTTCAAACAAACCGATTCCTGAAACGTATTAATATAATTTGCTAATTATATTAATATTAATATAATATTGATTCAAGCTAATAACGAGAGCAGTATTGAGTTTATAAAATGAGTTATAATGTTAATACAAATTGTAATTAAAAATATATAAACATATACGAACAAATACGATAAATTCACATGAGAACAATTAGTATTACATGCAATAAAACAGGTCAATTATGGTAATAAAATGAATAATGTAAAACTAAAAGAGGATATTAATATAACTAATAGATATACAGTAAAAAGGAATAATCTGACCGAGTGTTAGTGTCCAAGATGCTGCAGGCTGGATGGAAATGGAAAAGATGGAGCTGGGTGCTGGAATGAAGAGATGATCCACAAAGTTTGTAGATTCTTGACTCTCAGTTCCGCAGATAATAAATGGGTACGCGAAGAAACTCATAAAGTGAGTTGGCCCAGATGTACAAAGCCTCAAAGAAGCAATGGAGAGTAGATGCCAAAAATTGGGCAGAAGGAAAGGAACGCTTCTGCAGGCCAGCACACTCGTTGTCAACTCGTCGCACTGATTCGCACTTGTCTCCCCACTCTCCGCACCGATTTATCAAAACTCTGTATGCAACTAAGCCTACAGCCGATTGCACCTTCACACCTGCTTATACACTACTTAAAACTACCTTAATATTATTATACATAGATTATAAATCCACTCTAGTTTTTAGCAAATTGTTAAATGAAAAATAACCGTTTAAAAATAGACGAAAAATTAAATAATACCAGATTGACCACAGCACCTGTTCTATTTGGCTTCTCTCCTCAGCAGACTCTTTCAGCAACATGCTCTCATATTGCAGATTATCGGTACGGCAGTGAAAGTATGAACATAGTGGGTAGAGTCAGGGCCAGCAAACTATCTTCATCATCTTCTTTGTTGTACTTTTCTTTAACCCATCTAATTAGGCTAATTGACCCTTTCTTTTCTCTATTGTATGACCTGCTTCCTCTCTACTTCAGGCCCACATCAGTCAAAGATAAAAATATAAATATCATGGTGCTACTGTACAGTACTACCTCTTTTTTTCTTTTTTTCTACTATAGGAATTAGCCAGGCCTCCCTACAATTAATATTGTTAATTTTTGCTTTTAATTTTATTTATAAGTTTCTTTTCTTTATTTCTTCTTTCTTTCATTCTTTCTTTTTCTTTTTTTTCTTAATTTCTTTTTCTTTATTTTCTTTCTTATTTTTTTTAACTATGCTCTGTGCAAACTTTGTACAAAGGCTTATCTACAGTTAAAATATTATAGCTCTGAGGTATTAGAATAGTGATTTTTGCCCACTGCAGTAGCACAAAGAACATTCATAGGCCATGTGGAATGTCGAACTTGCTTTTACAAAGATATAAAAAACTAAGATAAATATTCCAAATAATTTAAAAGAGAAATTCTTCAAATAGGCAGAATTGTTTGCCTTTGAGCATATTTATATAGCACTTTTTTTTTTGTTTTGTACGTGTGAGTGTTAAATCATTATTAAGAAGTTTAAAAATTACATAATATGTACTATTTTTTAAATAAATTATAAAATTTGCTGTTTCATATTGATTACAGCTTGTGAATAGAATCAGTTTTAATAAACAAAAAGTAGTTTTAAACAAAAGAATAAAGACAAAAATTAATCAACATTAAACATGTGATTACATATTGTTTTAAAATCAAATCCAAAAGATCGTTAGTGTCAATTTCACTTTATTTCTGTGCATTATATACCAGGGAATTTTGAAGTTGATGTATAAAAGAATGTGTGTGAGCGCCCCTACATGAAAGACTTTCTGTCGTGGACGTGTGAAACTTGTGTGCGCTTTGGAAAAAGCACCATGGATCACACATGGATTACTCGTTCGAATGGGATCTACCTTCTTTATTGCGGTGCAGTGTAGATCCCCTTCAGGTAAAACGTCCAATATATGTGGTTGTAGTGCGTGTTGTCAGGGAAGATCGTGAGCTTAGCTGCCAACGGGACCTTCTTTTTCCCCTGGCCTACTTCCTTGTCGTTGAACTCAACTTTCAATTCGATTTCCTGCAAATTGTTAAACAATAAAAACACTTTTTGTACAGTTTAAGTTTTTCTTTTAAAAGTATAAGATTTATTTTATTTTTTACCTGGCCTGCTTCGAGTTCAAAACATTCCGGCTGAATTTCAAACTTAGAACTGGACGGTGAGCAAAAAAATTCTACTGTTTTCAAAAACGGATTCTTAAAGTGTATTGTTTTATGATGTTTTGTCTTTATGATAAAAGGCCCTAGTGGCCTAGGAGGCAAACAGTTCACAACTATTGGATACCTATAACAAAATAATTTTAAGCTTACACAACATAGTCACATGTATAAATTTCTGTTAACGTGTTTTTCATTTACAAAAACAAAACACTTTTTTAATAATAGGCATTTTATTTGAAGTACCTACGTGTTAACATTACAAAAATTAATTTAAGTAATACATGGAAAAACCATGAAATGGCAAATTGCCACTATGGCCCAGAAAAAAGAAAAATCAAACCATCCATAAAAAGAAAAAAATGTCAAAAGTTAAATATATAGTAATAGTACTGACCTAGTGAGATAAATTATATATTGAAAATTTTTGTTACCAGTATCTTCCAGCGTCGTGTGAAACGAGCTCAACTTGCGTGCTAAACTTCCCAACATCCATGGGTTCAAAACATAGCTTTATATCCACACTATCTGTTGTGTCATCTTTCTTTACTGTACCATTTGGTACTTTAATGTACTCATCATTGCACTGAAATATTCATTTTTAAAAGACCTGTTTAGAAAATAATGTATTAAGTTTTACATATGCATTGAAGCTGCAGGCCATTTTGTTCATCAGCTTTGGCCTGAGGACGAACGGTATCACCTCGCCGATAGCCCCTGTTAAATAAGTCGTTGGCTCCGGCAACGGCCCATTGGCAGTCAGAAGGACCAAGAAAGGAAACTTGCCTAATTCTGGGCTGTTGAATTCTATCTTCAATAGATCTCCTTCCATTTTAAATAAAGGCGAAAACTCAACTTGCATAAATCCCTGATAACAGTTACAATTTTATTTACAATTTCGTTTTTCAATTTAAGTTTTTTTTTTATTACTTCGCTGTTAGGCCCTAGAAATAGTGGATTGGCTTGAAGACACTTAATTGGTGATTTTAAAGTGATCAAGACTTCCCTATCAAGTGGATTTGCAAAGGGAACCGACTTGAATATTGGTTTTCTCACATCTGTGATAAATTCCAGCACTTTGCTTTTATCGAAGCCTTTTGTCATTAAATTAATTTTAAAGTACATGTACTCTTGTGTCACTTCATTTGTAAAAGTCACCTAAGTCAGTATTAAAATTGTTTAAACTGATTATTTACTCTTATAGAATATATAGAATATTCAACAAGCTTACTCTCCATTTGCTTTGGCCTTCTTTATAAATAAAAAATTTAATTTGATATTCCCTTGTCCCTGCAGATGGAAGGTCTATGTGAGAAAGCCCTTCGACTTTACATGCAGTAACTTCTTGGTCCTTATCTTTTTTACTGATAATCACCCTCATCCTTTTCATTACAAATAATTCATTTTGTAGTAAGATAAACTAAATACAATTATAATCATAAAAAAAAATACTTTTGCGGTTCTTGAAGCCAGTTTTTCACATTTATACAACCAACAAATGATTTTTTTGCCAAACAATTCCAGTTTAACGTCGCCTCGGCTAATGGGGGATCAGTTGTTCCAATTAAATTGTACATAATTACATTTCCATCTGGGAATGACAGAAATAGTGATCCCTGAAATATATACATTTTTAATCGCATGCTTACAACTAATATTAATTTTTTTAGGGTTAATATTTACGGAATGTTTTTGTTCTAGTTTTGTACTGAAGATTGGGTGATATGTCACGTCAATTTTACATTCACTTTCTGGAAAAATTTCCAACTTTTCTGGGCAGTTAAAGTAAAGTCCACTCACTACTGGTTTTAAAACTATTGTGTCATATGAAGAGCTAGCGTACATTAAAAAAAAAATTAGTACTTAATTTTAACTAAAGTCAATAGAACAGGGGACTTACTTGAAACAGACTGTTATGGATTTAGTTTCTGGTTTTCTAACATTGGACTTGAAAGTTATAGTTCCTTTTGGAGACGGAAGTTCAATGCTTGTTCCTGAGAGGGTCAGTTTAACTATACTCCCATTTCCAAGTTGGCATTGCACCTAAAACATTAATACACAATATTTGCCAATTTATCAAATAATTAAAACCAACCTCTCTTCTGCAAGTCTTCATTAGTTTTATAGGGAAAAAGCCCACTTCGAGGATCAAAGTTGTCCCAGGACTTGAATATCCTTCGCTTGGATGAATCGAAAAATATTCTCCAGCCGTGGAAAAATCCCATTTAAAACTAATGGAAAATCCCCAGTTAAAATGACCGCTTATTAAACAATACCTTATAATTTACCTTGTCCCCAAGTCACCATTATTTACAAGTGCAATTTTTTTAACAATATTGCATCCGATTGTGACTAAACCAAATGGCAATTGTTCACGATCAAGAGCAATGTCCCAACCAATGCCAACACCTTTCACTATAAAAAGATCCTTAACTATGCTTTGACAATAAGCATTAACCTGAAAATAAATTTAGCATGTATTCTGGTAATGTAATAAATTAATACATTACAATTAATTAAGGTTTTTTTTTAGTTGAGATAAAAAAGTCAATGGCACGAGCGGGATTCGAACCAACGATGTTCAGCTGGATATGCCGCTGCTCTACCACTTGAGCTGTCGTGACCTTGATCCACTCGGACACCAACTTCCTATCTCAACCCCACCTTTTGAATTTTTTAAAGGTGGGATTGAGATAGTAAGTTGGTGTCCGAGTGGATCAAGGTCACGATAGCTCAAGTGGTAGAGCAGCGGCGTATCTAGCCGAAGATCGTGGGTTCGAATCCCGCACGTGCCATTGACTTTTTTATCTCAACTAAAAAAAAACCTTAATTAATTGTAATAAATTGGTCAAGCAGACCACGAAATTAGTGAATTTAATAAATTAATAGTGTATTAATTAAAAAACCTTTTCAAAATAAGAAAGGCCTCTTGTCTTAGGAGAGAATGTTGCAAGAACATGCAATTTTTCTTTTGGCTTAAGCGTTATTGACTGAAAATTCACAACTTTTGTTCTGAAACTGAAAACTTCTGAAACCGGCCCAGCTATATTGAAATGGACAGCGGATAAACCGAGATTGATTATTTCAACTTCTCTTTCCACAACTTTGCCAATTTCCACTCCTCCGAAATCAATTATTCGGTCTCTACGGTTGGCCACAGAAACCTTTAAAAACAATTGCAAATAAAATAACTGAATTATACAAGGTATATGGATTTAAATAGATCACCTCGAAACTTGTTCCTTCACCATATAAAGTAATATATTCTCTATACACTCCATTCATGAGCAAAACCATTGTCGTTTGGTAATTTCTAATTTCAAAAGGTGTAAACTTGATGAGAATATTTGCACTAGCTCTTCCATGCACTTGTATGCTTGTTAAACAGAATTCAAAAGCAGAATCTACTGGAGAATTTGTGTACCGTTCAACTCTGCAAAATTCCACATAGTTATAGAACAATTTTTCTACAGGCTTGCAAATTTAAGCAATTACTCACGTTAAACATTCTTCATCGAGGTTTTTCAAAACCAAAATGACACTCTCAAAATTTGAGTCAAATTTTTCGTGAGCAATGCAAGGCCCAAAATCATGAGTGTAGAAACTAAATTCATAACTCGGTTTTACAGAAGAGCCAGATAATTGGATTTTATACTCTGGCCCTTTTGTAATCTAAAATAAAAAGTTGCTTAAGAATATCATTTATAATAATTAAATCTTCCAACACATTATTATAGGTATTACATAACATTAAAATGTTCAATGCCCTTCAGGGGTCAAAGTGTTCCGACCAGCCAGATGGCTGGTCATAATAATTAAGAAAATAATTTTTTTTTAATTTGACACCAGGGAGAGTAAAAATTTAAATTTTTGCACCATTGAACGTGTTATAATCAACATTAATACATTTTGTCAGAATTAATTAAAACAATCACTAATACTATTTATGTACATCTTGTGTTAAAAACTAATAATAAAACAAGAACAATGAAACAGAAAAAAAAGGAGGTGAGAGTTGGCCTTATGCCCCAGTATATGATTCCTCAGGTGGCATGCCATGCTGGGCCATTGATGTTCTGGGTGGCATTTCCTTGAACGCCTATATCGAATTGGTTCTTTGCGAGGAAGATCTCTAATTTCACAGTAGTATTACAAGACATAATCAAAGAACATGTAGTGCCGTTTGCACCCCACATCGGTAAGAGATTGGAGGCTAATGCAGGATAATGCCAGGTCCCATAGAGCACATATTGAGTCTAACCCGAATGAGGTTGGAATTGAGTGGTTGGCCAGCTTGAAGTCCAAATTTGAACCTAATCGAACACATTTGGGACCAACTTAAATCGTGAGTATGATGGCAAAACACAGGTCTTAACACCCTAGAAAAACTGAAAATGACTGTTCTTGATGAATGGGAAAGAATTCTTCAGGAATTTATCGGAAATCTTTTCCAAGTAATATAAAGGCGTTTAACGAACATGATTTGTGCCAGAGGTGGGCATACTCAGTATTAAAGAGGATAACATTTTGTTTTACATTTCTGTTTTGTAATTTTTTTTTTTGTTCTTTACTCTTTTTTAATTACGTAATAAGCATATTCTTTTTAAATGCTTTATTTTTTTACATCCAAACCTATTTTTGGTATGCAAAATACGAATAAACCTAAATTTCTCAATTAATTATACACAATTTTTTCTAAATGAAGTTTGTGTCACAGGCGGGATTCGAACCCACGACTTTCGGCTCAATACGCCGTTTCTCTACCACTTGAGCTACCATGACTTCAATCGCCCATGCCACAAACTTCTCATTTCGACTCTCTGTTTATACCAATTCGAAACGAAAAGTTTGTGGCATGGGCGATGGAAGTCACGGTAGCTCGAGTGGTAGAGCAGCGGCGTAGTGAGCCGAAAGACGTGGGTTCGAATCCCGCCTGTGACACAAATTTTTCATTTCAAAAAAATTGTCTATAATTAATAGAGTAATTATATAATTAAGCATAAGCTGATAAAAATAATTAAAAATTAGTATAAACCTATTTTTTTTTCATTTGTCCATCAGTGTATATCGAATCTTCTAACACATAATCCTCTGGACTCAAATGATTTTTTGATTTTGTTGATTTGATTATCAATACTCTTAGACTTCTACTATAATACAAGCACTCAAGCTCATTATGTAAAAAAAGTGGGATTGATGTTCATTCTTCCCTAGTAAACTTGTTAGTAATAATAATAAAATATAAAAAGACCATGGAGGAGTAGTATTTGCCATGTTAGTGGTTCTGGGTTTGAATCCCAACATAGCCCATGGCTTTTAAATTGTAAATAAAATGAAAAAAGTATTTTAAAGTGGTTTGAGCGCTCATCCGTGACACCCATCGAGAAATTAAATGTTAAATCCTATTATACAATGGAATTACATTACTAATTAATTTTTTTTTAAATCTACTTACAGTTAGTCCGACTGGCACTTTAGAAAAGTTACTTTTGGACTTAACTGTCACTGTTATAGTGACATTTTTTTCTGCTCCTTGGACCAATAATCCCGTCATCGAACTGCAAGTAATATGAAGACTTCCCAGTGTATAAACGTCAGTTGGCAGTTTCCATGAGTAGTACCATGGCAGTATGCCAAAGTTTTTCAGTTTGAAATAAATATGGTAGGGAATCATTTGCGTAAGCTAAAATCATTACATTGAATTCACATGTATTAAATGTAACTTAAATAATGCACAATGTTACTGACCCGACCGGTGTCTATGAAATTTGTTGACGTGTGATCGAGTGGAAAAGACTTTCCATTGACCATTTGAGCGACGCTGCAAACTGTCTTATAACAACGGGTCTTAACTTTGAACTCTAGAGGCGCGTACATCTTTTCAATTTTACATTTGGCAGTAAACCAAGTTTCACGAACTATCTTCGGTGTAAAATGTAAACTAAAATGTCAAAAAGTAAGTTATAAAAACATGCTTGGCTAAAAAGGAAAACAATTTTATTATATATGTAAATGTATATGTGCAAACATGTGGGAGGAAAAAAATTGGCAAGTTTATTCTTATATTTTCATAGAGTATTTACTTATAAAAAATTGTAAAAATGATGAACTTTTAAGGTAAATGAAAATTCAAGAATTGGCAATTATAGAAACATATTTTTAAAATACATAATTTAAATCACCTTATGATTGTTTCACTTTTGGGCGGAAGGACACCAGATGTAGGACTAACATCGATAGATTGAAGGCCATCAGGTGTATAGAATGATTCTTGACAGAAGTGATAATTCATTTCATAATCTTCATGATTTTTTAGTATAGTCTCACCCCTTGTTGAACAACCTTTATGCAAAAAGAAAAGAAAATCAGGTTTAAGTAGTAAGTCCAATATAATGAATGACCAATCTTTTTATGTAAGGTCTTGGTTCAAATGAAAAAGTTAGTGCCACAAGCGGGATTCGAACCCACGACCTTCAGCTCAATACGCCACTGCTCTAACCACTTGAGATATAAACCTACAACCTTTCAAATTTTCCCTCCTTTTTGCCATTGAGATGGTGAGTTTTTGTCCAAGTGGATCTAAGTCACGATAGCTCAAGTGGTAGAGCAGCGGTGTATTTAGCTGAAGGTTGTGGGTTCGAATCCCGCTCGTAACTCTAACTTTTTCATATCAACCAAGACCTTATATGAAAAGACTGATTAATTGAAAGAAGTAATTTGGTCTTTCGGACCACTAAATATAATGGATTTAATAATGAATAAAATTTATTCATACCTAATACTGATGGCTCTAGTTCAAATCGACTCGGTTCAAATGTCACATTTGGATTTGAGACGTTAATTACAAAAAGGATGTTATGATCCAAAAACAATTCAGGAATTGACAATTTCCATAAAGATTCGTACAATAGAGGTTTTATAGTTTTAAAAACGAATTCCATCTCCTCACTCATCCCTGGTTTGATTGTACCAAATGGCGTCGTACAGACAAAAAATTCACCACTCTTCGGCTCACTTCCTGGCTTGCCAGGTATAATTTCACAGCCACCTTCATCCTGCCATCGGTAGTAATATTCAATTTTGGTCGGATTCAAAATATTTAGTTTCCTAAAAAATTTATTTATTTTAAAGGAACAAATTGATATTTATAACAAATAAAGGTTTTTAGTTGAGATAAAAAAGTCAGTGTCATGAGTGGCATTCGAACCCACGATCATTGGCTAGATACGCTGCTGCTCTACCACTTGAGCTATCGTGACCTCGATCCACTCGGTCACTAACTTCCCATCTCAACCCCACCTTTTGAATTTTCCCTCTTTTTTGCCATTTTTTAAAATTCAAATTCAAAAGGTGCGGTTGAGATGGGAAGTTAGTGTCCGAGTGGATCGAGGTCACGATAGCTCAAGTGGTAGAGCAGCAGCGTATCTACCCAAAGATCATGGGTTTGAATCCCGCTCGTGACACTGACTTTTTTATCTCAAGTTAAAAACCTTAATGAATTGAAAGATATTAATTGGTCAAGCGGACCACAAAAATTAGTGAATTTATAACAAACTTACTTTCTAAATGTCTGACCAGTTCCAACAGTTTTGATTTCGATAACTGAGGTATCTTCAGCGTATTGTATTTGGTTCTGGTATTGAGGCCTTCTTTTTAAATAATCCGACTGTTCTGCTTCAATATGGCAATAAGACATTTGAGAGATACCTCTCAAAAAGACATGTTGCTCTTCATCAATTCCTTTTATTCTACAATATCAATATTTATTTAAATAAATGGTAATATTTTATTGTAAACAATACTCACTGAAGGCTTAGCTTGGCTAAAAAGTTGTCGATACACCTTGGAGCAAATGTCACTTCACATTCCAACTCTTTGAAACCCTTGACTGTCCCTTCTTCAGGGGTCACTGTAAAGGCGTTTGTAATTTTGGCGATTTCTTCAGTGCTCAACCAAGATTGCAATGAACTCACTCGCCTTAATTCAGTAGTTGAAGGAACTGTCGTCCAGGAAGTCTCAGTTTTGTCTAATTTACAATATTGATCTGCAAGAACAAAATTACATAAACTTTTCATTTGATTCTTGATCTCCTAATCCAAACAAATCAAGGGTATTTTTGCTGCAATTGTAATTTTTTGTTGACATTTATTGAATGTCAAACCCATATATCAGTTTCTTCATTTATCCAAAAATTATACTCATATAATAAAGAATCATAATTTATAGATTGATTTTGATAAGCCTAACTGCAGCACAAATGTGCAGAATTGAGCTTAAATTTTTCACAGCCTCACTTCTGGTTATGGCATCCAGGGCCACCTATGTATATATTATGCAGGGTGGGCGACCAAGACCCGAGGGTTAAATGCCTGGGTAGACTCGTACCCCATCCCTAAAAGGTCCGGGACTTGGTCGGTTCACGTGTCCTGCATAAACCTCTTGGACTTGTTCACAAACCCCAAGATTTTGGACAATTTTATCTCGGGGCCGGACCTAAAACTTGTCAGTCTTGCCAGCAAAGTTAGGCTCCAGAGGATGTCGACAGCTACTTCATATTGCCTCCCCCCCCCAACATATTATGTTTTTAAATATATAACCCATTCCATTCTTAAATACATTCTTTCACCACATCATCTCAGATCAACCCATACACTTGCCAAATTGCGTACAATGTAAACATCACAACAGGAGTGACCACAAGACACCCTCATAATACATGATGCATACAACCTCATCAGTCTAACCACCAAACCTATCTATTTATTTATTTACTTACAGATCAAAATCCACTATAAAAAAAGACATTTTACAATAACAAAAAATATAAATGATATATGTAAAAATACAAATAATATATATAAAAAGAATAAGGACGTATATACATGGTAATAATTGAGTTTGTAGGAAAGTTTTTTAAAAATTTGTTTTGTACAGATTGAAGAATTTTTTTTATAATTTAGATAAAATGGGTTCCAAACAGGTGTAGCATATTCTAGTAGTTGTTGTACAAAAGCTTTATAAAGATGGACAAAACATAGAGGAGTTTTAAATTCATAGGTGTTCCGGATGATGAAACCTAGCATCTTCATAGATCTATTTTTTATTGAAGAAATATGTTCTTTAAACTTGCGCTTTTGATCAAAAAGTACACCAAGATCCTTTACGACCTCAACTCGCGTTAAAAGAACATCATGGAGAGTATAGAGATAAATAAAAGGTTGTTTCTTATGAGAGAATGTAGCATTTGGAAACATTAAGAGCAAGTTTGTTATTAGAGCACCAGGTTAGCACATTATTGATAGAATTTTGTAATTGTAAGCAATCAGAAGGAGAAGTGATTATGGAATATATTTTCAGATCATCAGCAAATAATAAAAATTGAGCAGAAGGGAGAGCAAGATGGATATCATTAATAAATAAGAGAAACAAAACTGGTCCAATATGAGACCCTTGCGGGACTCCCGAGGAAGCCGCAAAGGGACATGATTTAAATGATTTTATTTTGACTATTTGTTTTCAGTCGGAGAGAAAGCTGGATAACCAATTCAAGATAGTTCCAGTGAAACCATAATCCAATAGTTTCCTTAACTGTATTGTGTGATTTACTTTATCAAAAGCTTAAGAAAAATCAGTGTACACTGAGTCTACTTGGTGTCCAGAGTTTATTGCATCTAAGATGTAATTTTGAAATGTGAGCAGGTTAGTAACAGTTGATCTATTAGAGCAGAAACCAAGTTTGGTGAGGTATAATAAAAGATTTAATGTCATTTTTAAGTTTATTACAAATAATAGAATCAAATATCTTGGAGAACATAGATTGAATAGATATTGGTCTGTAATTGAAAACATTAGATCTATCGCCAGCTTTATGTAGAGGAATGACAAAAGTGCTTTTTCAAGCATTGAGGAAAATACCTGTTTTTAACGACTGGTTCAGAATATAGTGTAAAGGAGCAATAAGAGCCGCAGAACAATTTTTAACTAATATAGGAGGTATGCAAATGGGACCAGAAGACTTTTTCACGTTGAGTAATGAGATAGAATTTAGTATTTCATTGTGTGAGATATAGTAATAAGAGAAAGTGTGAGAAGATGGCATAAGGAGAGAGGTTGTTTCAGGTAGGGAAGTGGGAAGATCAGAACAATGGTCATAGACTTGGGATCCTATCCATGTAGATAAGGCAAAAACCAGCTTATTTCAATCTAAGTTCCAAGAACTATTCTTATTTATAGTTTTTTTTAAGTATTTAATCAATTTTAAAACGTAGATTGTCTCTGATCATACTTTTTTCAGTATTAGAAATATTGACCACTTTTTCACTCATGTACAATCTGGATCAAGGTATCGTCTTGAAGAAGAAAGCAAATTCAGTTGATACTGCCAAGCTTTCGTCCTATTTTAAGGTCATCATCAGGGCAAAACAATCTTAAACATGTCTACAGATCGACTTATTTATGTTTTTTATAGGCGATCTCAAATATGTCAATGTGGTAGACATGCTCTGATGATGACCTTAAAATAGGTTGAAAGCTTGGTAGTAAAACTGAATTTGCTTTCTTCTTCAAGACCATACCTTGATCCAGTCTGGTCATACTGATATTTCTGCTATAATTATCGCTGTATACGTCTGCCTGACGAGTTCAGCATTTTGTCAACTTCAGTAATTATCTGTAGATATAAATGGCAAAATGCAAAGAAAATCAAGGTTCATCACCAACCAGATCTTAATACAATATTTCCCTACTTTATACAGCTAAACATTTAAACAATAAAGTAAACCCTCTTTGCACCTTTTTTTCTTGTAAATATCGAATACTAAATTCTACTGATGTTTGGAAAATATTCTAAAAGTACCTTCACTATTTGTAATATTTTTAGGCCGATTGATCCTATGTTTGTGTTTCTGTCTGAGGTAGTGTCTCACAGAAGTGGCGCCTTTCATTACAAAGTTGGACGAATGATGATCTTTCGGTGTACAAATTGGTATGAGCATTTGCTTCTTGTTTTTATCCAGTTGCTCTTCACTTTCAACCTCAGCAACCAGGTCATGTTGGCCTTTGGCGCTTTCATATTTATCCTTGATTAACAGTTTTTCATATTCATTGCCTTTAACTGTTTGGTCTTCGTCTTCAACAGATGACGATTCGTTCTCAAGCTCCAGTTTACAAGTCTCCCGCTTCTGCAATATCTCCATTATTTCATGCCTTTTCAAAAGAGTGACTGGTGGATAGAAATTCGGTCCCAGAGTTCCAATAGAGACAAACGGGAAGCCCTTGATTCAGATCATTTTTTGTTATTTATTATTGTGATCGTTTAATAATGTAAGTTACCTTTTTGGTACGCCAATCTGCAGGGGGGTCTACTTTTTTATAGCGAATTGACCAAGAAAATTCAGCCGGGTGCTCCTTTAGATTTTGCAGATAAATTTTTGCCGTTCTTTTCTGTTAATTATTAAAGAGCAAACGATCATTTTAACAATTAAAAGTGTTTAAAATAAATTATGACATTCAAAATTTATAATTCATTTAACACCTGGAAGAGATACGATATATCAAACTTGATTTCTGTTTCTGAAATATATATTTCAGGCAAATCTGACGTCCCTGTTACTAAAAATGGTATTTTGAAGCTGTTTCGTCCTGATGGTTCAGTGATTGTCCTATAATTAGGTTGCATTTCATGGTAAACATTGCCAGCGGCTAGATATTCTTTCAACTGATTAATTGTCACCACTCCTCCTGTGAGTAATGTCACTAACACTTTCTCCTTGCTCCAATCCACGATTGGGCTCTCCATCTCAATTTTGACAAATTTGCATTGTATTACCTAAAATATTTAAAAAAATATATATTTTGTATTTTTTCATTTTGCGTTGAACATGAGTTCTTTCTACATATTCATTTTACCAAGAATTTCTAAACTTAAAAAATTGTAAGTAAATTAGATTTAATTACTTCCATAATTGTAATACATTCAGTCGGTATAAAAACGGCAAATATTTTCTTTTGCCCATTTGCCAAAATAAATCCACAGCTTGGAAAAAGAAGAATGCTATTAGGTAGGTGAGACCACTCAAACAAGTACATAATATTTGACAAATTCACTAGTGTAAAAGATATTATCTTCAAGTCATTAGCATTACAATTTCCCAAGGCAATGTTGTACAGATGAGTTGCCCAGTCTGTATTCTCAAATATCATTTCTGAAAAAAAAGGAAAAAAGTCCATTTGACAAGATACAATTTGTTTTGATAAATAGCTGAAATACCTAAGTCTTCTGGTTTTATTATGAAATCAAGTCCATTTATGCTTATATCATTTGAATAACCATATCCCCTGACGATAATTTCATTGGGTTCGTAAGGATTCTCCAAAACATGAAGTAGTATCCTCATTTCTGAAGTTTCTGCGGCCTCAGGAGCATACTGAACTGACAGGTTGGCATCTTCTTTGGGTCGAAGATTAAATTTTATGTTTTCAGAAATACCTAGAATACAAACAAACAATTCAGAATTTTCAACTTTTTAAAATTTTAATTTGAAATCAACCTAATGTAATTAAGCAAAATGAAACAGCAATGTGAAAATGTTCACTTCTTACTTACAAGCATCCATTTTTTGAGTGACATTTTGTGAAGGAAGTAAACTCATATGTTTGTCAACTTTTAAAATATCAACTAGCACCTTAAATTTTTTTTAAATTAATAAAACAAGCAATATAGGCAAATTCCAAACAGAAATTATTTACAGTTGTTACAACAGGCCCAACATTGCGGAAAGTAATTGTTTCTGTATGTTTTAATCCCATAATACGATTCCCAAAGTTCAATATTGTCTTTACAGTTTCATCAAGTTCATCTTCTTCTATAGTCTTTGGTTCAATTATCCGAATCAACGGTAGGACAGCTCTACCTTCAGCGTATAACCGAGTACAGACGTTTTTACTATTATTCTGCATTTTTGTTTTTATTTCTAATTTTATTCGCAATTTCTACATTAAGGGAAATAACAGATTAGCATTTGTATCTGGCATGCAATTTATTTACCGTATTACTTACGTCAAGGCACTTGGGCTTGAATTTCAAATGTACAGTTCTTGTGCTGTATGCTGGAATGTACACGACGTATTTGTGACTGTTGCCAGTCAATGAGAAACATCTTTTCGCTTGATTACAACTGTCTTTTCCTACGTCCAAAATTTTAAATTTCACACAAGACGCTATGGCGCTTTCATTGTTGATAAAAATGGACACTGCGCTCATTCCACCAAGGATGGTGTTGAAGAACATTATCGAGTTTGTCCTTTTATTATACACTTCAACTCTGTCACCCTATGGGAACGGTGGATCAAATTACAAAAAACAATGCATGTAATAATCTGTTTATGCTGTTAAAAAAAATTTTACCGAGCTCAGGTCGACTTCATCTTCAAATTCAATTTGGTCAAGACCTTGTAGAAGTTTTCCAATGTTAAAATTTACCTTTGGCACACAGCCTGCTACTACAAAATTTACTGGAATTCCTGCTTTGTACTCTGGTCCTGATTCACTTATGAAAAGTAAATAGTTCTAAAATGGTTTTTAATATTAGAAAAAAAAAATTTAAATTAACAAATCTGCATACTTCATTATACACAAGTTCTTGCTGGGGTGAACAAGTAACAATTATCTCAACCGAAGATCCAGGAAGAACCGTCCCTGATGATTTAGATACATAAAATATAGGTGCAAATCGCCCCAACCTAAAATATTATTGATTTTATGTTTAAAAAAATTTGTTGTTTTATAAACTTGCATTGATTTCCTGATTGCAGACATGGATATTTTCTTTTTTCCTCTAGTAGAAGTAGTTTCATCACTGTGTTTTTTAAACAGCCTCTTTTTAGAATCAAAAGCAGTACTTTTCCTTCCTTTATGTGATATTGCTGAATTCCCTTTTCTTCTGCTTACTACTGATTGTTGATGTTTTTTGTTGTGACCCGCCAAAACACTTTGGCTTTTCTCATACACTTGAATTATACTTTTCTTCCCTTTTTTAACTTGACTATTACTTCTTTTTATTGAATCTTGACTTTTTTTTAAACTATCCACAAAACTCTTTTCTTTTAACGTAGTAGAGGATACTACATGCTTTTCACTGTCAACAGATCCTCTCTTTTTCCCTTTTTTGTTCATCATTCTACTCAACCGTTTCATAACACTTACAATACTTTTATTCACTTTGTACTTTTCACCAGCAACATCATCCCCTTTGGTTTTTGTCCGAAATGCATCAGAAGACTGCAATAATTGGACTATTTAATAATTAATACTTTCCTAATTATTTATCATTTTATTTAATCTATTTAAAAACTTCTTTTTAAAGTGTTTTATTCACAAATAACCTGGATCTTGGTATGATCAGCATGGAAAAAAAATTCAATTGTTATCTGCCAAGCTTTCAAACTATTTTAAAGTCGTCAGTGTAAAACAATCTTAAAGATGTTAGTTTTAATGCTAACACCGAAAAAAAAAAAAAAAAAGTGGACAAAAGTGGCTCTACCCTTATTCCTGTAAGAAAAATGTCTTTCAATATTAAAAAACAAAAAATATCTAGTCCGTTGTCCAGTCAAAAATTTAAAATTTAATAAACCTGTAAATTCAATTTCACATTGCTCACGTAGTATTAAAAAATTGGTATTAAGAAATTAAAATCTATAAAAATGATGTAAAAACAAATGTAATATATGTAAAATAAAATAATTAAATTAATAATAAATTATATGTAAAATATAAAAAAATCATATTCCAGGCATTGCCTTGAAAAAGAATTTTAAAAAAACATTCGAAATGTTGGCAAATTAAAGAATTGAGCACTATGCTGTGTTTTGTGTATGACAGCACATCCTACAACCCAACATCGTTGAATATAACAATCATAAATAAAAGAAAATCTTAAAGATGTCTATAAATTGACTTAATTAAGTTTTTAATATACGGTTGCAAATTTCTTTGAAGACGTAGACCCAACATTGCCAAGGACTGTAACACTCAAGACTTTCAAAGAAATTTGAAATCATCAATTAAAAATTTAATTCGTTTTGCTCTAATATGACCTTAAAATAGGTCAAAACTCTGTGGAAACCCGGTAACGGTGAGACACATATTAGAGGAATGTAATAAGTTAAGAGAGTACCGAGAATGGTGTGACCTACCCTCTAATCTGGAAATTGTTCTTAAGCATAACAAGTCAAAGATAATCTTATTAGGTACTTAAAATTGATAAATGTGTATGGATACATATAACCAACCACACGTGGTATATCTTCATTTTGCAGTGTGAATGTATTTATTAGCATGGATGTTGAGGTATGTCTGGGTGTGAATGTCGAGTAGATCACAGGTCCGCCAAATTAGTTTAGGTAATTATATATTTGTTGTGTGATGTGAGGGACAGTTCACCGCAATCAAGGTTGTAGTAATACTACTGAGATGCTGCGACCTCTCCAATATGAATGTATTTATTAGCATGAATGTTTTGTGTAAATGGACGTGGATGTTGAGGAATATCAAGTACTCTACAAGCCCGTCAAAAGGAAATTAGTCGAATGAATGAATGAAATTTTGTACATACTGTATTAATGTATTTATTAGCACGAATGGAAGTCGGTAGGATGATGACTATCCTACTGACTTTTTATTTAGTTGTAAGGGCAGGACCTCAGTCATGCACTTGTTCTCTGAGCTAAGCCCTGCTAACTGTAGATTAGGTAATCATTTTCTTAGCATGAGTGGGTATTGTTAGTGAGTCTGTAAATATTGAAGTGTTTTTAACAAACCACGTGGGGGATGGTAGGAACGAGCAACAAGCCTCCTCTGTTTGGTCGGTAGGAAACAAAATTAAAAAAAGAGATATAGTGAATGATAGAGATAAATAAAATTGGTGTCCGAGTGGATCGAGGTCACGATAGCTCAAGTGGTAGAGCAGCGGCCTATCAAGCCGAAGATTGTGGGTTCGTATCCCGCTCGTGCCATTGACTTTTTTATCTCAACTAAAAACCTTAATTAATTGTAATATATTAATTGGTCAAGTGGACCACGAAATTAGTGAATTATAGAGATAAAGTTGAAATGAAACAAAGAAAAATGCGAGAAGCTTATATACGTTAGGTGCCGGCAAGACCCTAGTAGTTAGCCAGCCGAAAAAAAAAAAGTCAAAAGTGGCAGATAATTGAATTTTTTTTTTTTTTCATCCAGACCATATTGAGATTCAAACTATTTCAAAACTACACAAGTATATTTTATTATAGCAACCTTCTAACTGCAAAGTTGAAGTTTTACAGTGTGTACACTTATAATACTATATTTTATTTTTAAAAAATAATTTCTATACCTTCTTTTGTACCAGTCCTACATCACTTTTCACAAAGTGTTCTTTCACTAAAGCGTACACAAACTCAAATGGCCCTGTGTTTTCTAACACAATCGGCAAATTCATCACAGCATCGACTTCCATCATACCAAAATTCAATTCATGCGAAGGCTGTATGACAAACCTAAAATCACAGTAATAACATTGATCCGTGGAAATATTAATTTTTCAAATATCAAATTTTAAGCTTTTTTTCTTTCTATTTACATTGAATATAATACTTTAATCGACACTGGGATTGGTATTGAAGCGACATGATCACGTATTGATCTTGAATTCAATGTGCCTTTCTTAAGAACAAATACTTGCAAGCTGAACATATGCTCCTTATTCAATTCCAGGGCAATCTGACTGCATGCAAGAACCTGACAATTTTCAAAATTAAAAATATAATTAAATACTGTTATTTACAACAATCTGAAGTGACAATTTTTAAAATTTTATTACAGATTTTTTAAAATATATTTTGCCTACCTCAATTTTTAGTTTTGAACCACTTTTCACCTTCATGAGATTGTCCTTCAATGAAAAAATCATAGATGGGTCAAAAAACTGTTGTTTCTCTCTCACAGGAAATGAAACCCTGAATTCAAAATTTTAATTCTTATTAAGTTTATCATACAAAATCATTCTTTAATCGAATTTAAGCTTTGTGTTATTTATAGCAATATTATCAGTGTTTCTTTTGTAAGATAATTATTTATAAAAGATGCACTTACTTCAAATATATGTCTGAGTTTCCTTGATTATATACATAAAAGAATCTAGTAGTCTCTCTATTGACTTTTACAGTTCCGAAGTTTAGATAATTCATGTCCAAATCTTCTGTGCCATCTTTTAATTTCCTATAAAGTTTATTAGTAACATTTTGTCAGTAAAGTCTTATGATAAAGTCACATACGTGTAGCTAATGTCAATAATGATGTCTTCAATTTTCAGTTCGAAAGGTATTACTTCCTCAGCGATGCGTTCACCCTCTTTTGGTACATGGTACAGCTGAAGTTAAAGTAAAAATTTATTTTAAAAAAATAATTAGCCATATTTTATGAGTGCTTTTGTTTACCTCAAAATGCATGTCTTCCCTGATCACATGTGGTTTATCGGCATAGACAGAAATAGTAATATCATCTACACCGTTGTGCCCAACAATGCCAGTAGTCTTTGATATTACAATCCCATTCATCCTCAGTTGTTGAGCATTTTTGAGGATCCAACATAAAGGGACTCCGCTGTCATTTTTCATCCTCAGCTGCTCTGTAGCAGTCCTGTAGAGAAACTCGTGGCGTTTGAGCAATTGACAAGGTATAAACTCAAGTGTTGGCTTGCAAGCTGTCATTGAAATCTAAAATGGAAAAAAAATGTGCTTAGTTTTACAATTTATAACAGAGACATTCAGCAATTAACCTGAATTACTCCTGGCTCTGGATTGTTTTTAATAGAATAGATTAAATTTTGAGTAATAAAGCCGACTGACTCCAATGGATGGGCCCTTACTGTTAAATACGCAAATGATCTTGACTATAAAAAATAAAAATAAGTCATCAATTTATTATCTGCTATCAATAAACATCATTTTGAATTACTTTGATAGACAATGTGGGAGGGTCTAACGAGAAATTTTCTTCCGGCTGTTTGTAAAAGCTAAAATGTATTTCTTCAATGTCTACATGAGAAATATTGACTATTTTGAAGATGGCCTCAACTTGAAATAGTCTGAAAGCACAATACATTTGTATACAATAATTTGTTAGACAAAAATTACTAATCTTGCAAGATTCAATTCCTTTTATTTATTAATTATGCTGTTTTTCCTTTGTACACTTTCATAATAAATTGAATTATTATTGCTTTTTTTCTAGTTTTAGTTGTTTTTAAGTTTTCTCATGTTTTAATCCTTTTGTATATAGTTAACTTTCTTTCAAGTGCACAAAAAAACTATTAAATGTAGTAAAAGAATGAATAAAACAGTACAAAATAGCATTAAACTGTAGGTTGAGATCATCTCTTACCATCCTGATCTGCCGATTTTGATATTTGGTATGTCAGAATCAGGATCTATCATACCACACCACCAAGCTACAGGACAATATAATCACAAATAACCAAACATGTTTACCACCTTGTAGTCCTCAATAAACATTCTTATAATTTAAAAGAAATTGTCAGGGGTGTTAGTGCCGCAACGCACTGACACGGCGCTCATCACTATAAGGTAAAAGTTTTTTTTTTCCCCACCGGTGCCCTGAGGGTTTATATGACCTCTCTGCTGTTGTGAACCCTCGTAAAAAAAAAAAAAAAAAAAAAACAGACCAGCCAATGAAGTCGCTAAATGGCAAAACAATCAATAATCTTCAAATAAAAGGTATCAGACTCATCGATGCTCTTGTTTGAGAGATACTCTGTACTGTAGTGCCTAGTGCCTTGGGAAAATGATTTTCTGGGTCATTAATGAAAGACTGATGAGGCACCTCAGGCCGGGATGTCTCAATCCATGAAGCTGACCACCACAATCTAGCCCACTAATGCTTAAAATACAATTGATAGATGTATTAGTCAGAATATGTATAGTACTGCGTCCTTCATGAGCTGTATCCCCCGTTCTGTGCTTAAAGCCCACCAGTGGTAAGTCCTAGTTCATTAGGGAACTTGATAATTAGGCCCAGTTTCAGTAGTTGAATCCCTTCTACAGTTATGTTGTACATCCCAAAACATTTCTTCATGCGGGCAAATGTGGTGCCACAGTTTGTTAGTAGGTGTGTTTGTGTCCCCTCTGCTTCTTTGCAGAATCTGCACAAGCCGTGTTGGATTATACCAATGTTCTTCAGATACCCATTCAGTCTTCAATGCCTTTCAAAAATCCTGGGAGGATTCAAAGTTTTTCTTGCTTCCTGTAATGCACTTTGTTGTTTCTTTCCTTCTGAAATTTGCTAGAAGGTCCTTGGATTGCTTATGCTTAATGAGTGAATTCCACTGTTCCCTCATTTTCTTTTTATACTTAGGTCTGAGGTGCTCATTGACAATTTGCATTCCTATGCCACAGAAGGACGGCTCAGTCCTATCAGCAAAGGTATTCGCTTTCTCGTTGCCTTCTACTCCCACATGTCCTAGGACCACCACTTTGTTTTGCATACCTATTTTGTTTAGTTTGGTTGTGCAATTCAGCATTATCTTTGAGCTAATGGTGTTTGAACTTAGTGCTTTGATGGCTGCTTGGCTATCTGACATGATAGCTATATTCCTGTTTTTGTACTCTTTTTCTGATTGAATAAGGTACATCTCTCGATTCCGTGGACCTCAGCTTGGAAGATAATGGTGTATTTTCCCATGGGTTTCGAATATTGAGTTCCAGGAGTAAATACTCCTGCTCTATGATCCATCTTTGTACCAGTTGTTTTTCTCTCTTCCCCATTCCTTTTTGGTACCTAAGTTTATTTGGAAATTTTGGTTAAACTCAAACATCCTGTTCATGTCGTCTACTGGAGCCATAATATTGGATGATTTTTATTAGAATACAGTGAAAACTACTAAAAGGAAACAAGCATCGGTAGGTCGGGAAAACAGATAGGTTTCCAGGTCAAGAGAGTTGTTAGGTTGAGGATTTAAAGAGGAATCAACCTCATTTGATAAAGAATAGGCCATGCGAGGTTGACACATGGAAACTTACTTTTAGAGCAAAGCTTACATGTGTGACCAGGATGTAGAGAAAAGTCGCTGATATGTACCACTTTATTAAGGTATCATTTCATTCGTTCCACATACAATTGGAATACCTAGAGGATGACAGTGGATATTTGGGTCCCTTGTTCCAATTTTTGGAGGAAATAGGCTGTTTTATTATATACAGTAGTGATAGATAGATCTTTTTTTGTGTTTATTGAGATTAAATGTATTTACTAGAGTGAATGTGTAGTGGTGGATGGTGGAATATTGAGAAACCAATCAACTCTCAATTATATTAGGTTTCGTTGGAGCTGAAGTGACCTAGCTGTTGACAGCCCTTAGAGCCTACTTCAGCAGTGGTACAGATAATATCAGTTAGTCTGACCCTAGACTGCCCAAATTCTCCAGCAAGAGCTAAATAAGTTTAACAAAATGTCAAAAATAACAATGAAATGTTTTTACCTTTTATTGGTTATCTGAGTGCTTGATGGTAAAATATGCCCAAAATAAAATTGCCCTTTGTTCAATATATAAACTGGGCTGTTTGTAATAGGTTCTTCTTCAATTACCTTTAAAAAATATATATATTTAACAAAACTGTCCAACTGTCCACCTTGTCTTCCTACTTCTCTGAATAGTGTGTATGGGCTGTTGTCAATGTTTGGTATATCTGAGTTTCCGATAATTTTAATAACATGGTTCGAATAGTTCCAGCCGGCTACCTTCATAACCAGAGATAGTTTATAACTGTCGAAGCCTTTGGGTGTGAAGATTACAGGCCACGTAGCTTCTTCACCTGGCTGTAGAGTGACCCTCGCACCAGGTAGAGTAAAAGGATACATTGCCTCTGTAATATTACTTAATGCATTTTTTTTAAATCATAGTTTTTCTTTTAAACTTTACCTTCCGGTTTTGGACAAGTAATACCATATACTTCAAATGGATTTCCAGAGAATTTGTCCATTTCGTAATCATCATATTCCCATTTTGGAAGAAACTATTTTTTTGTGAATTATTAGTCAATTTAAACATAATCATCTTGTTAAGATGTAAGTAAAAATTATATAATAATTGTTATATCTACCGTGTGACTTTTCTTCCTTTTTTTCATTAGTGAGGTTTTTGAGATGTTGCGTGATGATGGTGCTGAAAGAGGTTTCTCAACCTAAAATGTTTGATTAATTATTCAGCAACAATAAACCACCAGAAACTATAAATAATTTTTTGTTGAAAAAATTACAGTTTTAGTCGTTTTTATCTTTGGAATCGGAAAGTGTTCTTTGCCCAGATGATTCATAATTGATGATTCAGAGTATGTCCTCGTTCTTATAATGGAAGAATGCAATCTGTCTTGAATTGATCCCAGGGTAACTGTCTGTTCGCTGGGTTGTGATTCATATTGGACGCCGGCGTTGACCTTGTTTTTATCTACATACCTGTCAAAAGACAAAGCTCGTGTTTCCTTCCGTAAATCCTCAGCAATCAACCAATAGTATAATGATGGTTTTGGAGGATTCAAATCGTACATTAAGTCTTTTTGGATTTCTAAATGAAAACAGTAATTAAATATATTATATATTTATTTTTTTTTTTTAAATAAAACAAAACTCACTGCTGGGAACAAGAAATTCCTCATGCGAGGACAAACCGATGATAATTTGTTCCATTGCTCCATGAGAAAATAATATATAATGCGGTATTCCTTGAGTATACTTTTTCTGAAAAATAAAACAGAATGAAAATTAATAACAGTCTGTTTTTCAAAATGTAGGAAAGTTCAAATAGTGCAGTTATTTCGATTTACATTATGCATATCATATATAAAACAAAACATTCAAAGTGTAATTGTGAACAAATATAAAAAATAAAGTAATCTGTAGTAGTAATCTGTAAGTACGCTTAACATCCATTACATTTTGGGTGTCATGGATGAGAGGAGCCTGATCGCTGAACAATACTTCCTTGCAAATAATTTTCCCAGGATATGAACCGCTAGCATGATTGGATGTAATGATTCGGCCACCATGGCCCACTGTTCACATATATAATATATATTGAAACTGAGGGAGACCTATTAATAAGTTAAATAACTACGAATAATAGGATTGTTTATAATAGTAATTAATTTAGTGATGGTAGACCACCGGTGTTGGGTCTTCCCAAGGGAGGTGGATGGGAAAAAATCAACTTGTTTAGACAATTAATATTATCTTTTTTTTAATTACTTTCATAATTTTCAGGTATGATCAATACCATAAACCTGAATCAAAATAACCATTATAAAAAATGTATAAAGAAAAGAACTGAGGGCTTGAACCTACTGAAATTAATCTTGATTAAAGAAAAGATAGATGTCCTAACTTTCTATTTTGTCTAATGTAACTGTAAAACTTTGTGTTTTATGGTGTGAATAATGAAGTAAAACTCTTAACAAAGCGTTATATATTTTCTTTAATCTTACATCAACACCGGTTTTTTACAATCTCCCAAAAATCCCCAATAACTCCCCCACAGGTGCCACCTTACCATATACAACATCCTCACTCAAGATGCTTTAACGTTGAAGCATCTTTGTACTTTCAATCCTATTGGTATCTGAGGGGTTTGGTTATGGTTCTCCCAGAGCATATAGTCATCTGACCTCCGAATCTCCGGTTGTCCTCCTTTTGCTCCAATAGTCTGGGCCATGTAGATTGTTTGGCAGGTTTATCGTTTTGTGCTGGATGATCAGGATCAGTAATGGTGGGCTGCTTTCAGTTGATTTGCGACCTCAGATGGAATTGGTTTACGAGACAAAGCATCCACAACGAAAAGATTTTTTCCGGGAGTATAGACGATATTATAGTCATAACGCATCATTTGCATCCTGAAGCTTATGGTCAGTTTCAATGGTGTATTTTTTCCTAACAGGAAGTTTTTCAGACGGTCGCTAGCCTAGGTTGCTAACGCCTCTCGCTCAATATTTGCATTATTTTTTTCAGCGTCCTTGAAATATAGGCCACAGGTTTTTTGACTCCGGCTTCTTCTTGGAGTAATACGGCGCCCAGTCCTTTGGTTGATGAGTCACAAGACATGATTGTTGGTTTGTTTAGATCGATTTTGTTAGACAAGGGATGAACTATGCTAAAATGGTTGTCATCCCCATGAAGCGTTGGACTTCCTTTACATCCTTGGGTAGTTCTATTTCTGTAATTGCTTTCACTTTGTTTGGATCAGGTGCTACGCCTTCTTTCAAAACCACGAATCCTAGTAATTCAACCTTTTGTTCAACCTCTGTTTTCCCTTTATTTAGAGTTACCCCAGCTTTCTTGATTTTTTCTAGAACCCTCCTCAGATATTTATTAAGTGTTTTAGTGATTCTTTATTCTTAATTCTAAGTGTTGATGATTGACTGTTACATATTTTTTACTTTAATTAATACAAGATATCTTTTTGATCAATCCTCAACATTATGATTCAGCCTTTAATGGATCGTTTAAGTGGTCTTTCCCCTCTACTTTATTTTGCATTTTTATTTTAACAAATGAAACAAGCAAAGAATTGTGTGTACAAAACAAACAAACAACAACTTCTGTCCAAAAAGTAAAATGAAAGAATCATAAACTGAAGTGTATGAGAGTTTTGTATAAAACAAATGGTGGCTATTTTACAAAAAAAACCTTAGAAACCAAATTGAATTGGTCAAAGCCAGTGAATTACAGAAACTATGCAATGAAGTGGTTAAGTTAACTGGAGTCTACCAGCATGAACCAGCAGTAGGGCCCGTACGTTTCCGAAGAAGAATTGAAACAGCTTTTTATCCAGAAAACCTTATAAATAAATTAAACCAAAAATTCAAGAGGATGAGGATCCTCCCTCAATCTTGGAAGTAACATACCAACGGATAAAGCATTAGGATTAGCCAGTTAGTGAATCTGTCGGAGGAAGGCCAAAGAAGAAAACTGATTGCTGTGAAACAAGTTCAACGGAAAAAGAAAAAAACCTCAAGTTACAACAAGTTGCAAATTTAGAAAGCTGAGTCCGATGAAGATCATATTTTGCATCATCCAAAATCTTTATCAAGCCTTCCAAAACAAGAACTACGATTTCAATTCTATCCTCAAACGATGGCCAAAAGTCACAAGCATCTCCCTGCAATTGATTACAGCTTCTGGATCAACCTCCAAATTGACATTATGTACAATCACCGATGCAGTTATGTGGAATATGAGAGAGAAAATGAACTGTATAAACGCATGGCTCATCTCCAACAAACAAGTCATTCCCCTGACTTGTACATTCTCCATTTGGTACCTTAGATAGAAATGTTTCAGCGCAAAAACTACAATTACAGAAAACAGAATACCATCAACTTTACCAAGAAATGTGAATATTTGCCATTCCAACAGTGTTACTTCTGAATAAGACATATCAGCAAAAGGTCCCATGAAGAGAAAGTTTCTACAAAGCCTAGACTATTTTAAGCAAGATTAAGAAAGCTTGGAAAAGTAGCAGTTGCTCTTAAAAAAGATCCATTAAAAGCTGAAGCAACATGTAAAATATAAATGCAAAGTATATTTTGGGCACATTCAGTCAAATGTAGCCCCCGATAATTCAACAACGATTATACAAACTGTTGTTCAAGTTGATACACCAAATCTATGTTGTTCAATACCACAGATGTTTAACGATGAAGATGCCCTTGTTAATGCAATGTACTTTTACATCAACAGTTTCCGCCTTAGTAGCATTTTGTGATTTCCTTGTCCCTAACCAACCGTCACATCCAGTAGAAAATTTCCTAATGTATGTAGTTGCTTTTTCTTTAGGTATTTTGTTTTGTTGGTTTCTTTGTAGAAAATATTTTTCCTTGGAATATTCTGTTGTGTGTTTAATGCAAAATAATTTTGTGGACGGTGTTCAAGTGGTAAGGGCATCCAATTCTTATTTGCCAAGCTAGCAATTCTGGGTTTGAATCCTGGCATAGCACTTGGCTTTTTAATTGAAAATAATATGAAAAAAACTTTAAAACAATATTTCCTAATAATAAAAGTAAATTTGTAGATCCTTAGTAAAAACCGTAAATATTAAGTACTCCAATACTCAAATTTGAGTGAATGGTATGCAATAGGAAAAAATGTATCTAAGATGAGTGAGAGTGTTTAGATAAAACAAAATCATTGGCAGCTGAAATGACCAAGTTGATAACCTTGGAGCCTAAATTCAATAAGCAGGATGGGCACGACCCCGGACCGAGAACAAAATTGACTAAAGAAATTTAATTCCTATTCCAATTCCAAAATCATAGATAATATGTAAAATTACTATTTAAAACTTAATAAAATAAATTAATGTTGCTGTTATTATTATTGCAATAAGTGAGTTGTGTACATTACCGATCTTAAGAATTTGACTTTTTTCGATACTGAATCTCCATGTTCACCTTCATTAATAATATTTTCTTCACTTTCCTCCTACAAGTAAGTTCAGCTTTAGTTATAATGTTTTATTGCTTTATTATTTACTCGAATGATTTTTTAATAAGTTAGTTATAACAGTGTATGGTACAATCTTTCAAATAATTAATCTTTATGTAAGGTATTGGTTGAGATAAAAAAGTCAGTGTCATGAGCAGGATTCGAACCCACGACCTTCAGCTAAATACGCCGCTACTCTGCCACTTGAGCTATTGTGACTTCGATCCACTCGGACACCAACTTCCCATCTCAACCCCAAATTGAATAATGAGGACAGCAAAAAAGCTATACTAACATAAAGAAGAATCTTTAAAGGGACAAAATGTAAATGGATCATAATGAGAGAAAATATGATATTCATTGCTCTTAGGAACAACATGTACAGTATATTTGATTTTAAACAAAACTTCCAAACAAAGCTCCAAGAAAGAGTGATTAAAGGGGAAAAAGACCCTCTGGAAGACACTATCTGTCTATAGTTCTAGGTTGCAAGAAGGTACAGAATATTTCACCCCAAAACTAAATATTCAGAACCCATGGGCTTGTACGCCAGTATCTTTCAAGGTTAAATCAAAGAGATGTACTCAATTTAAATTAAACAGAGGATCTAAAAGCTGGATAGTTCGGCAGCCATCAGAGTATTAAACCCGAATGTCATTAGCTTGAGAATGCTGAATTTAAAAAACAAAATAGGTCTATTAGGTCCCAGGACATGCAGGTGTATAGTACGCTGATAGGTCCTGAACCTTTTTGTGGTACAGAGATTTATACTTTCAACTAGCATTCTAGGAAAGAAATCTGCATGAAAATGTGAAAACACTGGAATTCTGGACACAAACAATCCATAAACCTTCTGGTGGCTAGATTTGTTAAGAAAGAAACAACAGCATTTATCAGAGGAAGCAGGAGTTTTAAGTTTTTACTGAAAACTGGATGGGCCCTTGAAAAAGTTAAGCATTAACAAACACGGTATGTGCAGATTCTGCAATGAGGCCAAAAAGACCCCAACGCACCTGCGCCTATTAACTGTGGTGCTACACTTACTTATACATAGACATAAAGTAGCAATAGAAAAAATTCAACCACTAAAACTGCCTGCACCTAATAAACAAATCAATTGATGAATTGGGACTCACCAATCAATTTAATTATCATTGTTAAAAATTTAAAAAAAAAAATCATTGAAGTTGCTTATTTTCACCTTTCTAGGGGGATCCATTTTATCAAGAAATTCTATCATCTCTTTTGCATCCCTTTCATATCTCCAGTACATTTCTTCTAAAATTGTGTCGTTGATTTCTTTCCTTATTTTTTCAATTATTTCTGTTGATGAATTTTGATTAAATTGATGAAACCCGCTTTAACTTATAACTATATTATTGCATTTACTTTTGTCTATTGTAGAAGTTTCTTTTGCTTTTCTTTCTTTAGCACTTCGAGATAATAATTTTGATCCACGAGAGCTCATTGAAGCTCTTCTAGCAGATGGGTGTTTTGAAAGTCTTCGTTTTGTAGATTGAGAGTCCTTTCCTGCAGTTTTTTCATCGTTACTTATCGATTTAGATGACTGGCGTCTATTCTGTTTATCCCCAGTTGCCAAATATTTTGCCTTTTTTTCAGCTTTTATAGAATGGAGTCGTTTTGTAGTTTCTTTCTCTATCTGCATTTTAATTTGATTTTATAGAACAACACAAATTAATTAATTTATAAGTGCTAACCATCAAAGCTTCTTCAACTTCCAATGTTCTTTTGTGTGCAAGTTTGAAAAATTCCTGTTGCTCATCCAGTGCTAAGTTATTTATAAATTCTTTTCCATCCATTTTTTCAATAAAATTCACAAAATCCATTTTTCTTTTAAAAACAAATTGTTCTGAAACAAATAGTTTACTTTTTTTAATATTGTTTTCATTATAAGAAACTAAATATATAAAAAAAACAGTTTGCAGACCTTCTTTAATTTTTATAATAGTCTGCTCTCTTAGATATTTATCAAAACTTGAATGCAACGTTACAGCATAAATATCATGATTTGAATTTTCAAAACATTTCCAAATGAGTCGTAAAATGTCCATAGGATTTTTTATTATTTCATTTTGCATGAAATCCAACACTACACCCTGCTCTACCATTAAACTGCAAAGTCTAAAAATCATGTACCAGCATTAATAAAGTTCAAAAATGTAACTTTTAATTTTATGTGTTACATAAAATCACCTGGGACATATAAGCTCTTTGATTATTTCATGCGATAAGTCTTCAAAAACTCTGGTATCAGTAATCCAACTAGGTTTGCTTATTGTCCCACTTGTGCCCCTTGTTTTTTTGGCCACGCTTCCTTTTTTAGCAACACTTTTCCTTGATACACTTTTTCTAGACACACTTTTTCTAGATACACTTTTTCTTGACACACTTTTCCTCGCTATGCTCTTTTTTGATTCCTTTCTAGCCATACTTTTTCTTGTCATGCTTTTTCTATTGCTCTGCGATTTTCTCTGGCCTATAGAACGTATGCTACTATGATGTCTCAGCGGAGGGTTGTCACTATAACTGATAAACATATTTAATTAGTGCAATATAACAAACTTTTAAGTTCAAATTTAGACAATACATTGTTAAAAACATTTTATCAATTGCATCTTGCATTTTCTTTTCTTTTCTTTTCTTGTTAATAGCTTCAAATTTAACGGTCAAGTTCAGTTGTAAATCGTGAATGTCTTTTTCTATAATAAATAATTAAAAATTTAATATAGAAAAATTACACTTATGTATATAACATACGTAAATCCATTTTCTCCGGGTCTCCATAATGATACGGGCTTATTCGCAGTATCTCCAAACAATAAACCTTGTTTATAGCAGTTCTGACATATTTTGCAGCATCGGTTATTTGATCTGTAGCTTGTTCGAGAATGATATCATCAAGTGTCATATACTTGTAATTGTTCTGAGTTGCAAATAATTTTGCATAGTATTTATAGTCTGTAAGAAAATTTTGCACTTTAAACTTTGATTTACTTTAAAATAATCTGTACAATTTATCGCATAGACTTGATATTTAATTGAGATTTTTACAAAAAAAAATATATTGAGAAAATATTTACCTGTTCTAGGTCCACCACTGAACAATATTAACTTTCCTTTTCCTTTATTATTTTCTTTTTTTATATAGAACAAATCCTCTCTTGGAATTGAAGGATGATCTTCCAAATACTTTAAATATTCTAAAAGAAGAATTATGATTAAAACTGGTTACATACTTGCAAAATATTTTCAATCGTACGGTTTATAACTTCATCAACAGTTGGCGCATCTGAAGCTTCTTTAAAAGTTTTCAAAATCTCTTTCTCGCTTTCCTGTTTTGCAATTTTTTTAATATCCTTATTCGACTTGGGCCCTTTTAAATAATGAAATCATTTATATTAAATATTAATTTTAGGTTGTTTAAATAAAACTCTATTTACTAATTATTGTTTTTGAATGTTGAGACATTTTCCTTTGTATTTTTGGCTGGTTTTTCAAATTCTCAAAAAAATTGACAGCGGCCACGCCCAACTTGTTATAATAAATGTCAGTTAATTTGCTATTCAAAGAACTGTCGAAGCATTCTAGTGGAATAAACAGACTGGGTACTTGGTAATATCTACTCAAAGCATTGAATACTTTTTTCTCTTCTGTTGGCCTGCAAATTATGAAATAAGAAATTATAGACATTTTGATTGATAATTAATAAAAGAACCATTAAATTGACCAATTTGTAAGAATTCAGTGAGAACAAGTTTTTGTTTTTATTATTTTACACGATTACAAATACTACCAGGATTTAAATTATTCTTACTCAGCATAATCTGGAAAATACACTTCCATTGGATAAGGGGTGTTGTTGACAGCTTTAATGAATTTTTCCCTGACGTCCAAAAATGGTATTGTATTCCCAAAGTCGATGACTTCAGACTCGACAAATGGCAATGGGTCGACAGCTTTCCCAACGACCCTCAATTTTTGATAACTGCCTTGGTTGTGAACACAATAAAATTCAAATATTCGCTCATATGAACCCTGTATGTACATGTAAATTTAGATTAATTGAGCTTGTAATTGTACCATACAATCATACCTCAGATAAAGGGATGAAATCGATAGATATCAGCTGCAGAGAGTCAGGCTGTATCAATCCGTAATAGGGGAAAACTTCAAACGGAGAATCCATAAAATCTGTAAACCATTTTGGATCAAAACTTTTGGCAGGATTCCGCTTTACTGGCCTCTGAATGCAGGACCATTCGACAACACTTGCAGTACTGAAAAAAAAGCAAATTTAAAAATTAAAAACAAAATAATAAAGTTTGATGTTTTTAACCTACTCATTGCGCAGAACAAATTTTATAACTTTCTTCTGGCTGCACTTTATAATTCCAAAATTCAATTTCTTTTTAAAAGTCAACTTCGGTATCGTTAAAACTGCTTTAATTGTTATAGGTATAACCACACCACATTGTATCTGAAATATTGTTGAAAATATCTTTACAGCCACAACAATCATTGACTTTAGAACAATTACCTTCATTTTGAAATGAAAATGAAAAGGAGTTTCCACTCTTTTTTGATACTTAGTCCCAGGTGAAAATATCATGGGGATTTTCTTTGTCGCTCCAGGTTGTATACAGAATTCTCTCGTAGTCCTGGAAATAAATATGAAAATATACTATGCAACAATATAATAATAATAAAAACATATCTACTTTATTTCTAATCCCACTGTCTGGCGTAAATCATGGACTCCAAGAGGAAAAATAAGGCGAACGCTGACAGGCAACACTCCTTGGTTGTGCAACGGTATTGTTTTAACTACTGTTGTTCCAAAGCATATTCCTCCAAAATCTTTAAGGTTAAAACAAATTTTAAAAATTTATAATTTCAAAAGATATGTTTGAACAAACCTATTTTATAGCCAGGGACGTAGAAAAAAGAGAAATTAGTTGTATTGTCATCATGAAATAAAGCATGGCTTTGTATGTAGTTAGGAAGAATATCATTATAATTATGAGTAAGTTCCCTTTCACATGCCAATGATATTTCCTCAGTACTTGGCACAAAATCCTGCATAAAAATATTAATTAAAATTATTAGAAAAAAAGTAAAAGTTGTCTGTAACATACTTTATCAGTTATGAAAACCCAATCTTCTTCAAATACTTCTGGAATAAATGGATCTTTTGGCATGAGAAGACACACATTTTCTTCTTTGTCATTCTCAACCTTTTCAGGCTTTTTGATCAAAGATTTATCAAAATATTCACAACATAGAGCACCAATTCCTTTATAACTGAAACACAAAGGCATGTAAACAAATTTACTTCCACAAAAAATTCACACATTTACCAAAGAACAATTGGAATTTCTGCACTACTTGTATCTTTTGTGGTTAGAACTGCTACTTGAGGCATTGTTGCATAACCAGAAATCCTTAAGTTATAGGGCAAAAGGCAGGAAATCTAATGGCCAAAAACAAAGATCATAATTACGAAAAAACAATATACAAGAAAATTGGTTAACTTTTTAATTTCTAAATAAATTAATCATCTTTTGTGAAAGGGAATCATGGTAGCTGAGTGGTTAAAGCGTCAGACTCAGCTCATACTCTGTCATACAGTCATGGGTTTGATCATTACCGTCGCCCCTAGAATTTTTTACTCATCCCCAACACAAGAAATTTAGTTAAAAATACAAACTGTGGCTTAGTAAAAAAAATTACATTAATCTTCATTTTATACTATTTTTGTTTACTAACTTACATGAAATGTTAAAAATTTTTCAATTGGGCCACAAACTCCTGGGTAAAGGGTGATTTCAATATCCATACTAGATTTTCCTACGATAGTTCCATTTGTTGGAACGACGGTGTATGTCCTTGGTTTCATTTCCTCTGTTAATGCATCTCCTACTGGCATAAGGACTTCAAAATCAAACGTGCCAGAGCCAAGGTTGTGAAGCGTAATTTTTTCCCTCCATATTGTGCAAAATTTCTAATTTTAAAAAAAAGTTGAAATTGATAACTTTTCAAAATATGTGTCCTATTAACTCATACCCTTATGCCGAAGTCAAGTTCATGGGGTGTGATTTCATACTGCACTTTCCCACAAGCGCCGACAAGTGAAACATATTCAGAAGGGCCTCCTTTTACTTCAATGACAGCTTTTCCTTTTGCAAACCCAAATTCGTCAGGCTTAAAAAACGCCGATATTGGCAAGCAAGTCATAGCTGGCAAAGTACCAAAACTAGGTGTCAAATCTAACTCCTGTTAAATTCATACCAGATTAGAGTATTATGAGTAAAAATGCCTGAAATAAAAATTGCCTATACCCAAGCCATGTCTTTTTTATAATATGGTAGTTGCAGCATTATTTTTCTGTTATGCAATTCAATCCCTTGATTGATGTACTTAGCAAGTACTGGACAAAGAATTTCAGTTATTGCAAAACAATTGTGATCATCCACATTTAATATCTGCTACAGAACAGAAAACATTAATTAATTTTCTTTTAATGCAAATATGTTAATTTTAAAATATACTTCATTTGCATCCACTTCTTCTTCATCTTTAAAATTCTCCACTGGTTTTACAACCTTAAATAGATTAATAAAAAAAGTAATATTGTAAAAAAAATTAAAATTATAAACTAACCGTTTGGTGGGTTGGTTGTTTTTTTGGTGCGGAAAATTGTGAGAGTTTTTTATTTGAAGGAACATTTTTCATGGCTGCTTTTATAATACCTCCTTTTCGGACATGTTCTGGGACTCTAATCGGGTCAAACGGCGCTGACGCATTAGCAATTAATCCTTTATGATATGAAAGAAAATGCATCATTTTCATAACTTTTCTATGGACCCGAAGTTGTATGGCATCTGGATTTGTTTCTGTTTAAAACACGCAGAATATTATTAATTTTTATTTGTGTCATACTGGGTTTTAAGCGGTATGAAGCTCACCGGACTCATTGATAAGTGCAGTTATTATATCGACTAGATAGGTTAAAGTAGCTCCACTAAATGGTCTGGATGATCGTTTACGATAACTGTCATCTTCTGCAAATAAATTTTTATAATTTTTAAATTTGTCATTTTGTTATTTCACTGTAAATATTTCAACTGTCTTGTACTCAGAATTAAAATCCCTCTCAAATTGTTAACCAATGCTATTAACTAATTCAGCAAAGTATATTAAATAAAAATAGATTAAAACTTCTAAAATTTTGTTTCTGCAGAAAGCCTCATTTTGAAAAGTCGTGTAAAAAAACTAGAAGTAACCAAAGCATTGTTAGGCCAAAAGTAATAAAAATTAAATTCCTGAATTAGCACATATATTTACATCCAAGTATGTTGGATAAAGGATGCTAATCGAACCAATTAAGTATGAAATTAAGTTTCTCTTTCCCAGGCAAAACAGCCCAGATACAAACCGAATATCTCCAATATGCACTCTGCCAAAAAGTGTCGTTCTGACTCAACAGTGCATAAATTACAGAGAGCATCCCAGAGACCCCACATCCAAAGAGTGTACAAATACAGTAATTATTTTTATCCAATTCATCACTGAAGATAGTGCAAAGCCGAAACACGTTTGTGTAAAATCAAAACCAGCGAGTGTAGATGAACCCAGTAAATGAACAAGTGCCAGTCCAACAAGAATATTTATGTTAACTCCGGTGAAGAGTTACCTGCATAGACTTAGGCACTTTTTTCATTACGTCTATCAAAGGAGATAAAATTCCTTTTTTCCCTAGATACCATATGTTAGATATCAAGGCTTGGGTGTCCCCACAGATGTAGCATTTTCTTATAAAGTTTCGCATAAAGTTTCGGTCTGACTGGGACTTTGAATGCCACATTACTTTTATTGGAATAATAAGCACAATAAGCCTACAGGAGCCTATAGTCCTTCAATCAAATGTCAGGGTCATAAAATAAGTCTATATCATTTTTTGATGGTAAATTGAATTAAATTTCAGGTATTTGTAAACAAAGTTAATCACCTATGCATAAATTATGTTGTTCCACTACCTGTTGCCTTCTTCCATGTCATTTTATAATTCCATCCACCCAAAACCTCTGTGGTATTTGAGAGATGAACTCCTCGATGTGCTTGAAGTGAAGTTAAGTTTTAATGGGGTTTTACAGAGCTCGGAATAAGTAAAAATCCCAGGGGTAATGTCAGGTAAATACACTGAGTGTAGGTAGCACAGCCCAGCCAAGCTCCAGCTATTTCTAGCTTGTCTGTAAAGATGCTTGAGGCAAGAGTTGCCCTAGTAGAAAACAATCTCCTTGCAATTAGCAATGCCAGTCGTTTTTGGTCAATTACTGACTTTAATTGCTGCTACTTTGGTTGGAAGAAACTCATAAAAAGCACCCCATTTGAGTCACACCGAATGCACAATTTGGGATCAAATCTGGCTTTTGGAGTTGTTAACTGTAGGTTACTTTTTCTCTAGGATTTTTCTGTCTGAGCCTTGTTGTAAAGGACCCACTTTTCATTGGCAGTTATCTTTTGAAAAATGGGTCATAGGGGACCGCGGTAGCCGAGTGGTTAGCATGAGAGACTCTCACACCGCGGTCGTGGGTTCGATTCCCACCATCGCCTCTGGCCCTTTTTTCACAATAACCCCCCCAAATTTGAACACACAAATATGAATTGTCACATGGCCAATATGCATAGTTCATAATGCAAAATAAAAAATAAAAAAAAATGGGTCATTTAGATTGTGTTTTAAATGGGAAATCACAGATGGAAATACGATTGAATAAATTTTTCTCATTCAAAATCTGAGGAACCCATATCCATATCCCCAACTGCTCTCAGATGAGTTGAAATGCATATATGGGATGTATCTCTGCAATGCCTAGTATCCTGAGTTTTGTGAATTTGGTCATCAACAGTTGAAGAATGATTAAAACGCTCTGCATTTTCCAAATTAAAATACGTGCTTTTTTCTATCATCAGTCATCACCATACACATCAAAAATTTTTTGGCAGTCGTGAACTGCAGTTTTCTCTTGGTTTTCTCTATTAAAAAAACCATTAAATGATAAAAAAAAATTCACTATTCTTCCTGAATTTTAAATTAACAAAAAAAAAAAAAACACCTTGTAAAAAATGTCCTCCCTCATGCTTGCAACGATTTCGCCAAATTTTGAAATTGGATTTTCCCTATGGCGGTGTTATTATCCATTTTTTTGGGAATTGTCTCACCCTGAGAAAGGGTTTGAGGTGCGATTTGGGGCCGGAGGCGGTGTGGAAGAAAGAGGGGAAATGCAGGATAAACAAACTCCTCAGCCCACGGAGTGAAGCATTTTGAAATATATGCCAATCAGAGGTCGAGCTAATAAGTGGTAACAACTGTCCAGCAAGAAGACATTTTCCAGCCATCTTGGAACGGCAAACCTGGGATCCTGGAAATTCAAGTCTACACGAGGTGCCTTTTGAACGATGCATATTAACCTTGATTTTTGTCAAAGCCAGTAATTTCAAAATTATAATTTTTCGCTGAAGTTAAAAATTTTGTTTTAAAAAATAAATACTTTTTTTTTCTTTTACTTAAAGGAGTAAATTTTTAATTTCATTTCTAATTCCGTTTTATTTTATTATACATTCCCCTTTCTTTTAGTTTATAAATAAAAAGTTATAACGAAATTAGAAGTGAAATAAAAAAATAAAAATGTACACCTTCAAGTAAAGAGAAAAAAAATGTATTTATTTTTTAAAACAAAATTTTTTAATTTTGATGAAAAATTATAATTTTGGAATTACTGGCTTTGACAAAAAAAAAAAAAAAGGATTAAAATGTATCTTCCAAAAAGGTCACTCGAAAATCTCAAAACTAATGAGTAAGTTTAACGGTCAATTATTAAGCATTAGTGATAAAAAGATTAAAACCCCTTCGGGGAAAAAGCACTTTCAGGTAGTCACCCCTTGTGATTATAATTATAGTCTGGATGATGACCATCGTAACATAGACTGCTACACAGATGGATTACTTATCAAAGGTAGAGGGAATGGTGCAGGAATCTACATACCAAAATTAGGAATCAGCATTTCCTCCCCTCTTGGCAATAACATCTCCGTTTTTCAGGCGGAAATCTGGGCCATCAATGTGTGTTGTACAACACTTATGGAAAATAAAATTAAGGGAAAAGATATTAGAATTTTTTCTGACAGTCAGGTCTTAGGTCATAACAAAAAGATTTGTCAACCTCACGACTGGTGGAGGAAACTATAGATCAATAGGATCTCTTTCAGGTTTGAGAACAAGGTAACCCTTGTTTGGATACCAGCACATAAAGGACACCATGGCAATGAAGAGGCGGATGGCCTAGCCAGAGTTTGTCGGGCCACAACCGGTATTACCTCACTCTGTGAGCACAGCGAAAGAGAGTATTAATAACTGGGGTATGAAACAATTCCTTAGGGAGTGGAATTTATCCCCCGGACACAGGCAATCGAAAGAGTTTGTTAAGGCAATCAAACCAGCAGAATCGAAATGGCTATTCTCTACCTCAGGAGACTGATTCTGACGGGCCACTGCCCACTGAGAAGACACCTCTCCGTAATGGGTACCCTACCAGATCCCTTTTGCCGTTTTTGCGAAACAAAANTATATATATTCCAAAAAGGCATCTCGTGTAGACTTGAATTTTGCGGGATCACAGGTTTGCTGTTCCAAGATGGCCGCAAAATTTCTTCTTGGTGGACAGTTGTCACTACTCTTCTTCACTGGGAACTAACGATAATAACAGCCCCACACCAGTTGTTTGTCCAGGGGCCGCGGTAGCCGAGTGGTTAAGGCATCAGACTCTTGGCTAGTAGATCCCGCAGTCGTGGGTTCGATCCCCACCGTTGCCTCTGGACTTTTTCTGACGCCTAAGGGGACTGGTGGCCGCAATTGAAAGAAATTGACATGACACTCATCAATGGAAGGGGCGGGATCGGATCTCAGCAACCCTGAATTTAGTCCCAACCCCCTTCAAAAATGAATTTCTTCGATGGAAGAACACCGGTACAACGGGGGCTCAAGTTTTGTGTTGCAAGCCCTCCCCCAAAATATGGAGCCAGGGATAAAGTACAATAAGCTGTATAGCTCAGCTGCAGTGCTCAGGAGGGAACTCCTCCAGTCCCTGGTATCCATTGTAAAAAAAGAAAAGAAAAAAAAAAGAAAAAAAAATTGTTTGTCCACTATATCCCCTCTTTCTTCCACACCGCCTCCGGCTCCACATCGCACCTCAAACCCTTTCTCAGGGTGAGATGTGAGATGATTCCCAAAAAATGGATAATAACAATAAAATCCAACTTCAAAATTTGGCGAAATCGTCGCAGATATCTCAAACAAAACTTACAAATACTGACAGAGTTATTTTACAGCATTTTAAAATAGATTAGGCATTATTATTATTATAAATATATATCATTTTAACATAATTGTTCTCACCATAATCATCATCTGGTAAATCATCATTAAACCTCACAAGACTTCCAAAAAGGTTTTCAAAGAAATTGCAAGGCGTCTTATGCCAAGCTGCTACGTGGCGAAAAGGTCGTTTTATTGTGACCATTTGTTCATCGTCACTATGCTGAAAATGGATTTTATTGCCAAATTAACAATTAAAAGAATAATTTTATAAATCAATTAACACACCCATTCAAATGTTTCTGGTAGTATTTTCCATTCAAAACGGATCGCAAAACAAGTCTTATTACAAATAGTAAATAATTTAACATTATCCATACAAGGCTGACATATTCCAAAGTCAATATTGAATGTGCTTAGATTAACATTTGGATACATGATTTCACCTATTAAAGGTACTTTTGTCTGAAATTGAAATTTCAATTGATTAAAAGTTATAATTAAGTATTATGAATTATTAAATACCTTGTATTTATTATCAATCGTGACAATAACATTTCTTTTGATAACTTTGTTATGCCGATCTGGCAAAAAGGCATTATACACTACAGTGAATTTTACATCTTCTAAGCCTTTTTTGTAATATGACATTTTATGCTTTAAACTCTTTTTGTCGCCTAGAAGATAAAACGGCCTTGGAACACTCACTTGAACTTCAGAATTTGGGAAAACCATTTCGGATGTGATAACAAATGTAGCTGAAAAGATGAAGCATTAATAAATCAATTTTCATAAGTTACAATCGTGACTGTATACCAGTAAGAGGTTTGTTTGGTGGTTGATTAGGTGGTATAATTGTCATAAAAAAATGATATCTATCGGGATCAATAGTGATTATCGGCTCAATGAAATTTACACTCAGTCTAGTTTTGCTTAGTTTCATCCTTTTCCCCTTGCCACCAATAATGGCATACAAAACATAATCAACTTCGTAATAACCAGGGCTAAATATTTTAATAATAATATATAAATAAATGAAACTGAAGAACAAGAATTAAATTTTACTCACGTGTTACTGTACATCTCTACGTCAAGACTTTTTGTCTCTCCTCCTTGCAATGCCATACGGAAGGGATTAATTCTTATGCTAGGTCTATTAAAAAGAAAAAATAATCAATAAAAATCAAACATATGTCGCATGCGTCATAATCTTATGTGTAAACATATATAAAATATTAAAAATTAGTTTACCCATCAGCCAGTGTATTTCTTATTCCTCTGAGAAATCCCCCTTCAACCTGAGCTGCCCATACCAAGTGATGACGCCGTGTGCCTTTATTCTCAACCAAAACGGAAAACATAAATAATTCAGACCTATAAAAAATTACCAAATTATTACACATAACATATACACATTTTCTAAACTTACCTGAAAACGCTCCCAAAGTGAATATTTTTAGTGATATCAGGAGTGTAAAGGACAGATGAGCCTATGCCAGCACCGAACAGAAAGACTTCACATGTCTTTCCATATTCAATTTCAAATGCCATAATTGCCCTAAACGATCCGGCATCGACCATGTGAGCGGTGACGTCCAATGTCATTGTCTCTTCTGGCATTAATACGCCTGATGTGACTGATGTTCTCCAAGGGATTTTAGCGCATTTTTTCCTGTTTATTGTTAACTAAAATGCAACGGATTAAAGAAAATTATTGTTTTATTTTTTTAACCTTATAAGTACCATTTCTACTTTCCAATTTGCTGGTATTGGGGAAATGTTTGTCAATGTCACTGTCTTTGTCGAATCTGTTAATAAATCAATTGGCTCCCAATGGACCATGCAGGGTTGAACTGCAACACATGGGCCAATGCTGGATATGCATAATTTGCATAATGTGATTGGTGCATCCAATCCAAATATTAAAATCCTAAAAAGTATTTTTTTTATTATTTTTATCTAATAACAATTTCATTAAACAATCAAAATGATCAGCAATGACTGATTTATAAATAAAATATACTAAATGATCTTTCTTCTTGGATAATTAATGAAAATTGGCATTATTTTAAATTCAAGTTCAAGTCCTTTCATTTCAAAATTGTTTTTGAAATTCTGGTCACAAAGATCATTTTGGTCTGCTCATCCCTGCTGGCTTAGTCTGTCAGAAGCGTTTTGGCATTTTGCAAAGTGAGTTTGTGTGGTTCTGTGAAGTCAGGTGAACAAACATAGATTATGCCAACACATGCACACCATCCTCATGACTTTATAATAGAGACTTGATTTCAAAGAATCACATAGATACACTGAATGAAATGGCAAAATTTGTCTGACCATCCCAGCAACGATAGATCAAACTGATCATTAACAAAAAATATAAAACTAATCACTTTCCTGGGTTTGTCTTCTTTCATTGTCTGTATTTAAATTATTCAGAAATCGTGAGATGCAGTCTGGTGATGTAGGTTTCAGAAAAACATTTTCTTTATCGTGCCAACGTTTCGATCTTTATTGAAATCATCTTCAGGGCCTGGGATTTACGAACATTGTTTACATATAACAAATACAGGTAGGATGTGGAAAAAAGTGAATTTATACAATGCAAAAAAAACATATTTTTTATATTCAATCTAAGTATTTCTACTCACTCAAAGTATTTGTTTTCTGCGTAACAAAAAACACGTACACAGAAAACAAATACTTTGAGTGAGTAGAAATTCTTTGATTGAATATAAAAAATATTACAATTAATTAAGGTTTTTAGTTGAGATAAAAAAAGTCAATGGCACGAGCGGGATTCGAACCCACGATCTTTGGCTAGATACGCCACTGCTCTACCACTTGAGCTATCGTGACCTCAGGACCTCTTCTTCGCTACCGCACGTGTTCGAGGCAGTTCACGCAAGCCGCAAGCTTAAAGACTTTGTGTACAAGTACATCCGCAATTTATTCGCGACCGTTTTTTCATAAGTGTCGATTTCTCCGCATTTGTTTGTGACTCGCCGCTCCACTCGCTGACCTCACCCGTGAGTTTTCGCTTTAGACAATTTATGTTTTTTTCTTTTTTTTCTCTCTTTGTTTTTATTAAAACTGTATACTTATTTTATGTTTGATTTATTTCGTTTGTATAAAATCTAAATTTAATTCCTCCTATTCTTGTACAATTATAATTAATTTCAAAATATTGCCTTATTGTCATTTATTTAAACATATACATTAATTGAATTGTAATTGACTTACAAGTATTGTGGGCTGGTAAGTGGTAAGTGTTAAGGAATTATAAAGATTGAATTTTACTTTTTTTTTTAATATGTGAGATGTTGATGGACAGCAATCTGGGAAAAATTTATATTTAGCGGATTCTAGAGAAAATTTAGAGTTTTTGAGAGTGAGGGATAATCCTCAATTGAGTTGGATCGCCCTTGCTCGCACATTTAATGATCCTTGAGGTCACGATAGCTCAGTGGTAGAGCAGCAGCGTATCAAGCTGAAGATTGTGGGTTCGAATCCCGCTCGTGCCATTGACTTTTTTATCTCAACTAAAAACCTTAATTAATTGTAATATATTAATTGGTTAAGCGGACCACGAAATTAGTGAATATAAAAAATATATTTTTTTGCATTGTAAAAATTCACTTTTTTCCACATGCTACATGTATTTGTTAAATTTAAACAATGTTTGTAAATCCCAGGCCCTGAAGTTGAACTCAATAAAGATTGAAACGTTGGCACGATAAAGAAAATGTGAAAACTAACAGCCACTAATCACCACACATTTGTTTGGTTAGGGATGGTATTTGTATTTAAAATTTAAAAAATATATATTTATTTCACCATCAAGAAGAGTAGACAATCCAATAAACATCAGGCATATAAAGCAGGTTCCTCAATATGTCCAGCATGATTGAAGGGTGCCTCTTACATAGACATTCACACTCATAAATTCAGTAAAATCAGCAAAAAATCAGCATTGAGTAACCAGGCTATAGTTCAAAATGAAAATTATCAAAAAAAAAATCATTTCCTCTCCTCTGATGTCTTGAAAGAGTTGTCACACTCTTACATATTTTGAAACAAGCATATATAAACGGAATATAAAAAATATATCTACAATTATGTTATTATTATCAGTAATGACATAAAATTAAAAATGTACATTCTTTTACAAAGAAAAATTCTGCTGTAAAATAATGTGAAATTATTGTTCATAATATTTGTTTACCTTTCTAGTTTATAACAAATTCATAATTAAACGTTGTTTTGGCATTGAAAAATACAAATCTGGCTTTTGTGGTAGGGTGTGTAACTTTTGAGCATTCATAGCTAGCCCTAACCATGAAATTTATACTCATTATCTTGGTATAATTATAAAGTACAAAGTTTATTCGTTTCCTACTGACCTCACTGCTTTGAAATTTATTAATCAATAATAAATTCAAATAAAAAAGAACATACAAACTTACCACTGCCCACCAGTATGATCAGAAACAAATTTTAGATGAAATTAAGATACTTCTTAATATCTATTCCTAAGATATGGTATCAAAATGTGTCAACAACAATTGTAACTTACATTACATCTTTTTCAAAACGACCCAATTTGGTGGGTATAACAGTTATTTGGACATCGGAACAATGGTGAGGTTTTAATATACCATTGACCACATTTGTATGGTAAATAAGTGGATCATCTTGATTTGCCTGGAGAAAAATTAATAAAAAATTATATGCATACAAAATTTAAAATGTTATTATTACTTGTTGTGGAATAATAACAAAAAATGATGACGTTTCTGACTGATTTTCTAAGCTGACTGTGAACGTTTTTGGATAGTCAATAAATGCAAATCTGTGGTGTATTTCTTTTGGCCTGAAAACGATCTTCGGTGGTTCTGCTATGTATCGGATTTTAATTTCCATATCAGGGTACTCTTCATCCCAAAGGAATACTTTCAAAGGTTTAACACAAATCCTTGAAACATTTGCTAATACAGTAACCTAGAGTTATTTAAAAAATAAATAAATAAATAGAGAAATCCATTATGCTGTACACCTTTGTGGTTTAAAATATTTACATAAACTTCTGTGGATGCATTTGGAGCCAAAGTACCCTGTTCCTCCTTGACAGTTATTTCTTTTGGGTCTATGTTAAAACATGGTTTGCCGATAAATTGCAACACATTTTGGTGGGCATAATCCCAGCAGAGCATAGCAGGCTCTATTCCATCCTCAACTTCAAATCTGTAGTGGATTGCAACAGGTGAATGGTTGGTCATCATCAAACTCGAAGTCACGGGAAATCCTTTTGTTTCAATCAGTTAGTAACTTTAATTCGACTTAAACTCTATTTATTATCGCTTACCAAACGGGACATAGCCAAAATTCAAAATCTTATGATCAAATGTTAATTTTGGACAAACAATTTTTCCCCTTTAGAAAAACAAGAAAAAAACTATTAAATTACAAACAATTGATTGTTAATGTACTTGGCTCACTTTATGACAATTTTCAATTTTTTTTCTGTCTCTGCTACAACAAAAGTCAGCGTTTCATAAAATGTCCCAACGACTTTGCTGTCCAACTTAACACACATGAGGGAAATTTCATTCGAAGAGACAAACACTGATTCAGGTACAGTGGTAATTGTCCCTCCAAAAAAAGATTTCTCTTTCATATACCTCACTTCTCCCCCAATCGGGCCGATGTTTTTAAAAACAACCTGTACAACAAAAATCAATGAAAAGTTACCAAGAAACGCGAATAATTATTAAATATAAACATTGCACAAAACCTAAAGTATAAAAGGAGGATGGGATGAAGGAGGTAGTCAGAAGTTAGATGGTGAAAGATTCAACAATTGATGCTGTTGATGCTGAATTTGAAAAAATATTCCAGTCTATGTAATATTTTTTATATTCAAGTATTTATCATCGGTTAAAGGTGGTTCTCTGCCCATTGAAAGACATGGGATTTATTGGTCTGGTTTACTCTTTCAGATCTGGAAGCAACTAAGGACTGCCAGCTATCAGACCTTCAGGACCTGCCAGATTTTATTGCGTTTCCTTTGAAATACAAAAGGATGCTAAGAAGAAGCAATAGGCAGTAAGTCAGTGGTATAAAACTATAAATAGAGTGGCTCAACACACTTTAACACCCTCAAAGTAAAACAATGTAGTTGTTGATGGTGATACTGACTATAATAAAGTTAGTGGACCACATAGCCAAGTGTTTGGGTGTCTAATTTGCCATGTTATAGGTTCTGTGTCAAGCCACTCTCCAGGATTTTTACAGGAATTACTTTTATAATAAAAAGTATTTATTATCAATAATCTGCATTATGTATTGTTTAAAAAAAACTGTTTAAGGTTGGTTTAAGCATACTGAATTTCCAAAATTATATAATTTTTGTTTATTCAATATTCAAAATTTACAAATTAGCTACATCATTGTTTAATTAAATATTATAGATAAACAATCAAACTTTTCATTACGCTTCATAATAAAATTAAAACGAACCTCACAGCAGTGTTCTAGGCCGAGAAAGATAATACCAAAGTCAATTATGTCATTCTCGGAGATTATCATAGCTCCCATTCCAATCCCATTGAGATGAAGTAAGTGCCTTTGTTCTACACCTTCAACATCGCAATACGCCACTGCAGAAATTGAACCGATGATCTGCGGTTTGAAGGTCAGTATAATATCGTGTTTCGAATGCGGTAAAATTTGGCCTTCCTGTAATAAATGGGGCTTGTAGAACAGTACAGATTTGAAGCAATTATTTTAAAAATTGTTACCAATGGTGATATCTCAAATGTGGGATGGCTGAAGCTCATGTTGACCAAATTCATATGGTTCATCTCATCCAAAGCAATTCTATCAGCTATTATATCATGCTGATGAACTCCGGTGTAGTAGCTGTTAATCGCCGAAACAGGGGCCTTGGTTTCAACAAAATCTTTGGAGATACGTTCCATACTAAAAACAACCAATAAAAGTTTAACCAATATGATAAAGATTTAAAAAAAATGAAAATATAAAAGGGCTTACGCTAATAATTCTTTCATCTCATCAGTATAATCTAAATATTTGTGAAATGAAAATTTCAATATGTGGTCAGTATTATTTATCAAATTTGTTACTCCAGAAGAAACCATCCCGACGTATGTCTCGTCAAAATGGTATATGTCTGTTTCCAGGGAGACATTTATATTCTCTGCTAAGCTCATCAACTTTATGCAAAGGCAGTCACCTATTTAAAAAAAAAAAAAAAGATCACGTTAAAAGGAATTAAGACAATTATTGAGCTGAAAATGAGGTTTCTAGATTCAATAATGTGAAGATTCCATGTTGGGAATCTTAAACATAATTCTATAGAAATTAAGTATATTGTAAATATAAGATTATACGTAAGAAAGATGTTAGCTAATTATTGGGAAAGCGTATTGTGCTGGGTTGAGTAGCCGGAAGTGGCCTAGAATCACGGGAACCGACCTCATCTTTCTCGAAAATTCCAGACGCAGCTAAACAAAGCTGGCGAAATAACAACAGCTGGATGTTTTCGATTAAGAAATGTGGGCCAATCCCGGGGCAATCGCCCTAGAAAGATTGGCTGTCGTGCTGACGAGTGGCCTTATTGCTCAACCCTCAGGGTTAGCTAATGCCCGGACTCATCGGAATAGTTCAATGACCTGAGAAGACAAGGGCAGTCGGGTCACCCGGAAGCATAGCAGTATTTTCAAAATGCAACTGTTCCCCACCTCCTCCCTGAACGGATTGATAAAAGAGGGACAATCTGGGGAGTGAGAAGTAGAGAGTAGAATCGAGGAGAACCCGGGTTGAGTCCGAGTAGAGTTCGGGGTAGACTGCAGTCCGAGTCTGGGAGTCCGCAGTTGAGAGAATTCCATGGAGACAGCCAGGAATTGAAGAGAGAGGCGGTAAGCGGAGTGCTGTCACGGGGCGGCCCCGGCGGACCGTAGGACTAGTGTCGAGAGAGACGCCGGGAGGAACGTCGAGAGAGACGTCCAGAGGAACGTCGAAAGAGACGCCTGGAGGAACGTCGAGAGAGACGCCCAGAGGAATATCAAGAGAGACACCGGGAGAAACGTTGAAGCAACATAGTTCGTAGAATCCGTGCCGACTATCCGTCAGGATCCTGTGAGTACAAACTTTTGTCAATTGTTTGGCGGGAGATTTTGAGAACAGTTGGGCGGTTTCGGCTACTTTTAGTACAGCTATCCCAATAATTAAGTCCCTAGTAGTAAGAGTTAGTTATAGAAAATAAGAGCACTAGTTATAAGTATCTAGAAATAATTGTCCAGTAATAGGGTTGTCTCTGAATTATAGACTATTTTTGTTTGTACATATTGGGAATTGTTTAGTCACAACAATAAAGGGACTTGATTGTTTGGTCCGAATTCTTGTGTCTTTTCCCCAAACCTCCTTGGCCTGAACTAGCAGCAAATAAGAAAAAGGTGTTCACCCGTCAAGCCCAGGCAACCTGACACATCTTACCCCAAAACGGCTTGACAGGCTTAGAGTGGAGTGGCTCGCTACCCCCTCGGAACGCCCTAGCGAGCGACGGTATCCGAACCGCAAGCCGCGCTCGGGGAAACCGCTTGTCACAAATAAAATACACATTTCTGAGAGCACTTGTATTTAAACCAAGATGACTATACAAAATTTAAAAAAAAAAAGCCAAACTTGCAATCCAGAACTGGTTGATCTTTGGTACTAGATAAGAAAGAACCAAACAAGCCTCAAAAAAAAACAAAAAAAAACAGTAAAATATAGATGTAATAAGAGTTAGTTTTTTAATGCTAAACACAGATAACTGAGGGAATAAAACTAATACAGAAAGATAGAACCACATTAATGAGTGAATATACAATGCTAAAGCTCCAAGACCTGAGCAATCATCCAAATTAAAACTTTTAGAACAACTTACATGGTAAACAATTATAGATGAGAAAACTAAATAAATAAAATAATAAAATGTTAGTAGTTAGTAGTAGTAAATTAAAGTTGTCATGTCGGATAGACAAGAAGTTCAAATGTATTAAAATATCAAGTTAATCCATATTTGCTTAGTGGTCATAATTGACCATATTAATTATTACCATTATTTTTTTTGTCTAAGGTTTTTGGTTAGATGAAAAAAAGAATAATTAATTAAAATATTAAGTTAAATTCATGCATTATGAGCTAAAAGTTAAAAAAAAAAAACCATGAAAATGAGGTAAAAGCAAAAAGGTAGTAGAAGTAATTTGGTCGTCATACTCAGGTGGATTCATATTTAACTCATATCTTTTTTTTTTTTTTTTTTCCTAGGGCATATATTATAATTTGATTTATTTCATAAAAGGAATCACTATTTTAAGTTAACTTTAACCTGCAGGTACATATATTTGTCTGCATGTTAGAGAACACGAATTTTTTTATTTATTTTTTATTTTATTTTATTTTTTTGTATTGTACAGGGAGAGTTTCTCCATTCAATTTCCCTTTTCTCTTTGTTGATTGTTTCTTGTCAAGATCATTTCTTCAATAAATTCGTAGTTTTTCTAATATTTAAATTTACGTCGTTTCTATATTTTTTACCGCTTTCCTTTCCCCCCCCCCTTTTCTTCAGCGACTGTGAATGGCATTGTTGAAATGGAGGGGTGGCTGTGCTACAAATACGAGCACCCCCCTCTCCAACAATTGGTAATGACCAAATGTTTATCACTTCACTGATGATGCAGAGAAATCTCACAATTTAAAAGTTCTTAATTGAAATTACAAACTCGGAATGTAAAATAGCGCAATTCTCTAGTAATCCACAATTGAGAGGAATGACCATGCGTTCTCACACCAAAAGGATTTTCACAGTGCTCATCAGCCCTAAGCACAAGATCTCTCACACTCCCAGACATATGAAATCCAAGAAATTTGGGGAAAATGTCTTAGGCTGCATAAAAGGAGAAGGTATGATGATTTAAAATCAAAACAGTATTTTTTTCTGAATTTATCCAAAGCTTTTACCAGATTCCTCATAATATTATAATCAGTAATGTGGAGGTGAATGAATAATGACGAGGTGTATAGAGACTAATATCTCTCAGGGAAGACATTTGACAGTATATATTAAAGTTGGCTTGGTAGGTTCCCAAAAAGATTTATAAAATGGGAGTGCCTCAAGGGAGCATACTCGGCCTACTACTGCTTTTGCTCTATGCTGCAACCTGCTCTCCTACTTAGTGCCCCTGATTTGTAATTAGCTATGGTGATGACTCCAACTTTGTGGTTTGAGTTCATTCACTGTATGCTGCTTTATGAAAAACTGCTGAAATATTTGATAGGGCAAGCCATGGTTTGCCATTGACAATCTTTAGTTGACTCATTTTAAATCTTCACAGATCTTCTGCTGAATAAGAACTCATAGCATTGAAATATCCTGTTAGCTTAATATTTCTGGTGGGCAATTGAGCAGTGTAGATAATAATATTGATCTTCAATGTAGCCTTTGTTTTGTCACATAATATTGAAACCAGTCTCAACTGCTGTGCCCTTTTTATGCCACTTGTAAGATGTCACTTTGGGGAAGTAATGTGGACCTGCTTCCAAGGTTTTCTTACTTCAAAAGATAGCTTTGAGATTACTGGGCTGGGACATAGAGACGGCCGTTTTTCAAAGTTTAAAAAGCTCAATTGAATTTATATCCTAACAAAGAATAAATAATGTTTGCAACCACCGAGGCAAGTTTAAAAGTTTTATCACATCTCAGGACTAGAGCACCAGACACAAGAACGAATTTGTTCTAACCAAGCACCACACTACATTTTTTGAGGATTCCAGTTTATTGTTTTTTACTCAATAGGCATAATTTACTATAAATTGTGTGAACCAATTAAAAAAAAAAAAAAAAACCATGATTTTAAAAGAAAATGTCATAACTTGTTTGTTGAACTAGAGTTTTATTTGATAACATTTATGAAGGAATAATTTTTAAATATTATGTATTTATACGTACTATATATTCTCTACAATAATTTATTATGACACTTTTATGCAAAATGTAAACTGTTTTTGTCTTTAAATCAAGTATTTGTATTTGATAGAGTTGTTAATATATCACAAAAATTTATATCAATGAATTATATTCTCTAAAAATAGAGATAACCTTATACTTTTAACAAACTGATGAATTATTTTCCTGTATAGGAGAAAATCTTTTGGAAAAATCTTATAATTCAGCTAAACAGAAAACAATACTGCAAAATCCAGGCGAAATACTAAATTTATCAGGATTAAATGGTGTAAAGTATACACCCAGAACTTTACATTCTAAAAGGACTCACCTGTATCGAACAAAACTCTCAGTTTGCCCATAAATATTCCTACCACAAGAGAAGCAAATGATACAGTTGTAGCACAAGTTTTGCCTGGCTCGAGACTAATTTTATTAGGTCGTACAGCAAAAGGGCTGAAATTAAAATTAAGTTTATGCTAATTGTTAAAAGTAATAGTAATAATAAAGATTAGGTATGTCGATTCACTTTTTGTAAATGATGGTTCTACTCGCAGATTTTTTTTAATCTTTACAACCGTCCATTACAAATTGTTATTGTTTAGGAATTCTTCAACATTAGAAATGTATTTTTGGTGTTCAGTGAAAAAACATAAATCTGTGAGTAGAAGCATCATTTACAAAAAGTATTAAAAGTTATTTGAAATGGTTTTAATTTGATATTTACGTCATAGTAGACAAGCTTGCTACGGCAGTGACTTGGCCTATGTTTTTCAGTGTGATGATCCTCTGCGAAAGAAACTTTACAGGTACATCACCGAAATTAATGATGTCAGGAAAGTCAATCATAGGCCTTGGTCCGATAGCTTATACAAAAAAATATACGTTACATTTATAAAATATATTTATTTAAAAATTTACTCACCATAAATGGGAATATCAAAATCATGAAATGATGACGATACGCAAATACGATGTTCATAATCGTTCAATCTGTTGGGCCTGAAAACGACAGTAAACGATGCAGTTATGCCATGAGCGATTTTCTTGAATATCTGGTTATGCTGGCTGAGCAATTTAAAATAAGGCGATGGTTCACATTTAATTTTCAAATGTAACAAATTCTAAGAATAGAAAAAATATGTTAATATTGCATATTTTTTCCTAAGAAATTGATTGTAAACTTTACTCTTAGCTTGTTGGTTATTGTGAATCTATAAGTGTATGTGCCTTCACCACTCCATCCCTGAAATACAATCACATTTGGAACAACTTCAACCCCTTCTGAATTTTGATAGTTCAAAGCCTTCAATTGAGCCTGTCTCTCCGTGTGGGATCGTTGAAACTCCTGATTATATACTGATGGTGCTACCTAAAAAGGAAAAAAAATATTAACGACAAATTGCCAAAATATACATGAAATGAAAAATTACTTCTTCATATGTGTTGTACGGGCCAAGAAAAGTTTTGTACAATTTTTCTGCTTTATGGAAAACTATGTTGAAATGTCTCATATCCTCGAGTAGGACATCCTTGTCCATACCCATGTCCTGAATAATTGAAAAGTTCTCCTTGGTCCTTTCCTCATTTAAATCTGAAGAATTTATCTACAATAAAATTATGTAGCAAATTAGAACCGGTCATTCGCATCTGAGAAAACATCTATATAAGGTTCAATGATGACCAATTGGTAGGTTATGCAATGAGGAGGAAGAAAATCTATATCTTCTTCAAATATGAAGCAATCGGTCAATAGAAGCATAATCTGGGATACAAAGAAATCCCAGGGAGAGGAATTGAAGGAACAACAGTCAATGACCTAGAACTCCTTGGGGAAAGGATCAGGTCAAATGTACTGAACTAAGGAAAGTTCAATGAGTCAGAAGGCTGAATTACTTGGGAAACAAAGATCCTGACTTCCTAGTATCCACATTCATCATCATCAAGTGGCAAATTATTGCATGCTGTTTGACCATACAAATCAAGTCAAACTGCTGAAAAAATTCAGAAAAATTTGCAAACAGATGTAATATCTCATCCCCTGCTCTATCTACCCTAAGATACCTTAACCTTTACTCTCACTATCAACAATCAAACCAGACAATAGATCAACCAGAATCACCATATTATTGGCTGCATCAAGAGCAATTGATATTGCATGTAATATATATAAATTATGAAAGCTTTACAGATGGAAGTTGTATGAATGGAAGGGTTAGGATGTGGAGTTGTTTATCAACAGGAAAATACCCAACCCATTCACACTGAAGGCATCACGTTAGCAGAATAATGTAGTAATAATCAGGCTGAACTCCTGGCTATTACAAAAGCTAAAGGGTACAATAGAACACACCTCACAAAAAATACCGAACAAAAAAGCAAGAATTTGAACAGACAGCCAAATATCTCTGACAAAACTCAAAGATAGTCGAAATCATCACCGACTGTTGAGTTATAAATGAAGGAATACGATCTACAAAACATTGTCGGATGGACAGTAGGAATCATTGGGTGAAAGCGCACGCGCATATCCTAAGAAACGAAATTGCTGGTTCTTGTGCAAAGGAAGCAACCCGTAATTTTAACTTGAATTTGATAGTATACCAATTGCCAATTGTGATACAAGTAGAGAGGTTTTCCACATATATGGCCATCTAGCCATGGGAACCACACAAAACTTTCCCCCCTCAATTTATGACTAGAAAATTTCAAATAGAATTACCAACTATTTACAATACTACAATGGTGTAAACTAATCATGGTAAGCGCAAAGAATATTTTTACCGATTTAACCTGGCAGAAGATGACAAATGCACGTGTAACATGGAATGCACTCAATCATGGAGGCACCTAATATTCCAATGCCCATTACATGAAGATAGAAGATACCAATTATTGAAGAAAGTGTCATTGGCACATAGTGGCCATTCATTACCTTTTAATGAGCTTGTTTCAAAATTTGGAGATTTTTTAAATTCTTAAATTCTTTAGATTTTAATTTAATCTGCTAAATTAATGATAAAAAACTAATCTTGATGTAACAATAAATAGTTATAGTTAGTTAAATAGTAATATTATAAATAATTCCATTAAGTTTAGTGGTCTGATTAACCAAATTACTTTTTTTTTAAATATGTAATGTCTTGGTTGAGATGAAAAAGTTAGTTTCATGAGCCAGATTCGAACCCATGACTTTTGGCTCAATACGCCACAGTTCTGATCACTTGAGCTATCATGACTTCAATCCACTTGGACACCAAAAATAAACAAATTGACATGAGCAGTTAGTCTAAGTACTTTCTTCCTTTTTACCTTTGCCTCTGTTCTTTCACTACTTTGACCAAATAAAAGACCAGTGTTATTTTTTATTGACCCCCCCCCCGTCACAGCCCAAATCCTGAACTTGGTCATCCCACCCAGCAAGACTTCACAACTTATTTTTTAATATAAAAAAATCATGATTCTTTCCATCAGGTTTGATCCATTAAATAGAATGATTAATAAATAAAAGTTGACCCAATGTAACTCTCATATAAAGATTTTTAAATGACAAATTTTTAAAAACCATTAACTTTCAAAAGAATTCCTGATTAAAAATTATTTTGTCTGACAACGAATTGACTATTTAATTAATATAAGCGTCGTTAACCCTAAGAAGCATCGTACATGGCCATCATAAAATAGTTAGCCATGTTATACTTGTATATTTTTACTTTTTAAGGGCAAAATACGAGTTATTATATTTTAAAATCGTACATTAGGACGATTTTAACTCGATTGTAGAATTTGTTGTTCCACATGATTTCTTTAGAGTGAGCTAGTGGTATAAAATAACAACTCAACCCTTCAGGAGGGATCGAGAAGGGCATCAAATGCTAATCGGAAGTTAAAGGGCCTTCCTTACCTTCTCATCCGACATCTTTCTTTTTCAAACACAATCTTGGACGACTAATATGCCTAGAATAGTGGTTATTTTTCTTTCCTTTATCCACTCTCTTTCCTTTTGAGTCGCTCAGTTTGTTTTAAACAAAGGCACTACGCGCTAATATAAAACTTAACGTCTTCTTTAAAAAAAAAAACTACAGAAAAAAGGCCATGAAAGATTCTAATAAAAAGGCTAATAGACTACACATGTTTTTAAATGACGTTGTCAAATTTCAACCGACAATTCTAGACTTTGCTGGACAAGTGTAATTTAGAATTGGCCGTTTTATTATTGGCCGAATGGGGGAAAAAATACTAATTTCATAGGGAAATCTGGCAAGAACTGAGCAAACAAAATTTGACGCTTTATATTTTTTTTAAATCAACAGTTATGGCTCGACAGTCAGCAAAGACATAAACTGACAAACTGGCCGAATTAAAATCACATTATAACTAGAACTAGAATCAAGAATAATACAAAACTGGACGGTCTGATAAAACTCGTAAAGGAAAAACATGAAGTTTTTCCAAATGGTTGGAAAAAAGGCGGTGTAAAATAAAGATGGAAAAAATTTGGATTATTAATTATTAATTAAATTATTTTATAAACTTATTTTATCCAAAATAAAAAATCTTATTGAGCCAACATCCCGCCCACCAATTTTTTTATTTAATAAATTTATTCCAGCTTTGGCTGACTTACATGACCGTTCTGGCCACCCTGACCAGTTCTAGGCTTATTTTCTTCTGATGTGGGAGGCAAAAATCAAGGGGCTAAACTAGCGATAACCCGGATAGAGTGGACGTGAATGAGAACGACTTTGATCCTCATAGAAATAGTACATAATTCTTCAAAAGTGAACCAAAGTCCTATCATATCCCTACATAAATGATGTGGATTTAACACCAGCTTCCCATAAATCTCCCATTTTGGAGACCGAGCATACCGCCCTACAGAGTCATAAACTGACAAACTGGACAAATTAAAATTATAATATATAAACGATAGTAAAAAACCTGCCAAATTGCATTACAAACAACACAATTTCTGATAAATACAATAAAATATAACAATCTAACAGCCATAACTGGAAAAAAAAAACATAGTTTAAACAAAATAAGTGTACAAAACTATTAATAGTCCTAGGTAGAAATGTGTGGTGATTAGTGACCGTTAGTCGATGATTATTCGGAGATGATGAGATGCGGTCTGGTGTGACGTAGGCTTTAGAAAAACATTTTCTTTATCGTGCCAACGTTTCGACTTTTATTGAGATCATCTTCAGGGCTCAAAGTGTTTGTTTTCTGCGTAATTGGGCCATTCTTGTGTGCCGTGTACTCTCAAAACGACACACAAGAATGGCATAATTACACAGAAAGCACTTTGAGCTCTGAAGATGATCTCAATAAAAGACCGAAACGTTGGCACGAAAAGAAAATGTTTTTCTAAATCCTACGTCACACCAGACCGCATCTCACGATCTCCGAATAATCAATAGTCCTAGGATTAAGGATAATACAAAACTGGATAGTCTGGTAAAACTGACAAAGGGCAGTACTCGAAGTTTTTCTTGACCCAGATGTTCGAAAAGAAGATACACAACACCCCGCCGGCCAATTTGTTATTTATGAAATTTATTCCAGCTTTGGCTAACTTACATGACTATCTGGCCACCCTGATCGGTCCTTGGTTTATTTTCCTCTCCTGTGGGAAACAAAGGAGCTAAACTAGCAATAACACGGATAGAATGGACTTGAATGAGAACGACTTTGATCCTCATAAAAATAGTACATAATTCTTCAAAAGTGAACCAACGTCCTATCATATCTCTATATAAATTATGTGGATTTAAGTTCCCCATAAACCTACAAAATGGGGTGCTTAAATTCAATTTTATGTCAACGTGGTCCTTTATTTGGTTTTGAGTTTCCTTTGACCTTATCCAGGTATTCTTATATTTCTTTCAATTCTCTATCTGTTCCAATGATTTCACATTATCTTGGCAGGAGAAATTTTAGCTTCCAAATTTGCTAAAAATGTTTCTGTGATTATATCAATTCTAAATGGGCGTCGGTGACCGCAACAGTTAAGGCGTTAACACGGCGCTCGTCACAGTGAGGTAAAGGTCTCGGGTTCGAATCCAGCGGCCCTGCATTCGAAACCGACATACAAATGGGCATTTTTTTAAAAACATCCGCACGACGACCGAGGGTTTAGTCGATGGCGCACCAAAGGGTAAATCTGATAGAGTGAGCTCCCTCTACTATTGCACCAAGACTGCCCGGTTTCATAATGAAATAATAAAACTTTTGGATTAAAATTACTTTAATTAGTTTAGGAAAGCTAAAAAATTGAAAGGAAAGGATATCATAAACTCAAAGACAAAATTTGCCGAAATATCTGCTTCCTTGAAAACAAAACAAAAAATCATCATGATCAATCATAAAACACGTTACCAAATCTCGAAAATCTCATCTTCTTCCTATGCCATATCTCCCTATTATTTGACAAAAATCCTTTTAAAAACCCCACAAATTTCTCATCCTCAAAAGCTCCAATTTCATCCCATTCCAACAATCGGGGTTCACCCATTACTCTACCATTATTAAAGAGAATGGTGCTCTGGTGCTTTTTTAGCATGAGGCAAGCCTTTGATTGCTGGCAACTGGGCTTGCTCTAAAAACTCAACGGCATCATACGCATATTCAAATCGAACCGTATCCTTCTCCAACATCTACTCTGCCATAGCTGGAGTTCTGCAAGGCAGCATCCTTGGTCTCATCCACTATTTAGTATACACTGTAAATTCCTATTAATCCCTATACAGTATTACTCACAGTAGCAGCAAACCCAGATGTATCAGTATTCAGAATCCTCCAGGATCATTTTCTCAGGCTTGACAAAACTAAATCTGAGTATATAACCTTCCTCCTTCAATCTACTACAACTCCATTCCTCTCCCAGCGACCCATGTCACCCACTATTTAGGACTTTACATCAAAAAAAGACTTACATGGAGCCAACACACTCGACTCAAACAAAAGAACTAAACCAGCGATGTAAACTACTACATTTACACACTACTACAACCAATCTGGGTGTATATAATGTTACTAAGGGGTTCATAGGCATTCCAACATCCAAAGAATCCAGTCACTCCAGTCCAAAATCTTTCAAACCATTGTCCAAGCTCCCTACTTCATATCCAACCTTACTATCCTTTAACCTTTAAATCCCAGTTGACATCAAAACTTCAAAAAGTCAATACAGGCCTTTAATAAAAACCTTAACCATCATCCAGCCCCCTAGTCCAACACCTTTCATTATCAAACTATTGCCGACAATCTTCCAAGAAGCTTAAGCACCAATGTCTTTGCGATTTCCCCCCACTAAGGAAAGTGTGTAGTGCTGTGATAGGAGTGTAACCACTCCAATCTTGTAATATAAATTTGAATTTACACTTTTAGCACTCTAAAGCTGTTGTAATTATATAATAAAAATGCAAGATGTTCTTAATGCTAATTTTTCTTTGGATGACCAATTAGTCAATAGTGTCCCGATAAGAAACTTGTTATGATTTTGTTTCTTCTTGCTTCTTATGAAAATCCAAGTAGACTCTTGAATTGTATATGTCTGGTGAGATATCTTTTGCTTATGAATGAACAGTAGTTCTAAATAAGTACGTGCTTTTGTGCTAATGAATGGATCAGGTGAGTGATTGGCAGGCTCTTTTTGAGTAAGTGCATTTATTTGTTTGTCTATGTGTACTGGGATCTGTGATGCATTGCAAGCCTCTATATTTTTCCCAATTCTTTTTCTTTAATTATTTCTTTGATGCTACTACCATTTTAGAAATCATTTCACAGTCTAAAAAAAGAATTATCATATATCAAGTATGGCCTTTTTTCTATTACAATATCACGTTTTATAAGGATTAGATAAAGCTGTGAACGATGTAAAAAGTAGTCAACAATATTACTCAATAGAGGGGCCCCGACCTTTTATCAGATTATCTTAGGGTCCTTCGCCGGCAGATTCAGTAGCCTGTTAGTTTTATATAGATTGAAACGACAGTTAAAACGTCAGCAGGTAAATTTTTCACTTTCTCTTATTTGGAACTATTGGAAAGTTGTAAAACTTAGCCTACTTTGGAAATTAGATTTTGACACGTTTATCTTCCAGTGTGCTATTACACAAAGGATAATACTTAAAAAAGACCAAAAGTTTTGAACAAATTAAATTTAGAAAAAAAAATGCATCTAGTGTACAATTTACGTAAGGGTAAAAATATTATAATTTAAAAACCGCATAAAATCGTCCTAATTTGTAAGAAAAATTAACTCTTAAGCTATATAATAATATAATTGAGAAATAAGTTCAGTTAAATTATGTTAAATTTTTCCCGAATTCGTTGATTTACACACACATTTTACAACCAATAAAAAAATTACATAATTAACTATTTATTTATGCATTATGTATGATGTTGCATATATTTATCAATGCATTTAAAATCCAGGAGAAAAAAAAATACTTCCCTCTCCCAACATTTATCGCTTTTTGAGCAAGGCCAATTTTTTTCTAACTACGATTTGAACAGCAACCAATTTACAAACCTTTCAGTTATTTATTTTTATTCAAATTTCTTATAGAAACAAATACATTTGGGATGTTTTACAAATTTAAAAATTATCCAGAAACTACAAGCAAAATTTCTACAAATCTGTCTTTATAACTGCACATTTTATAATATTTGGCATGTAACAATAACATAACAGCAAAACTTAAATTTTAAATAACTAATATATTAAATTTTCAATAATTTCAAAATCATATTTCATTAATGAAATTTTTTTTAGACATATCCAAGAAGAAGACTAGGGGAGTAAAACAGAGGTACAATTTTTGCAAATCAATGACGAACATTCTTCGCCACCTGTCTCTTCTATAAATGATTATTATTCAAAATCTATAATAATTTATTGAATGCAAATACATGTTTGTTATGTATCCATCATGTAGCATATATTGTGGTATCAATGCATTTAAAACTTGGAGAAAAAACTACTTTTTTAACAACAAATTTGATCAATAATCAACTTATAAACTTTCATTTATTTATTTGATTCAATTAATGATAATATTAATTAAAATAAATACATTTGATTTATTTTATAAAAAGTTAAAAATTATCCTGCAACCCCAATGAAAAGAACATGACCAAATTTTTGCAAATCTGTCATTATTTTTAGCTGCACATTTTACCATAAGTTTTAACATAATTGACATGGTACTATAACTAAAAAGTTTTTTTTTCCTGGGTTTACGCTGGCATCTTACCCATGAAGTTTTCTATTTTCATTTTACTGTCGAGTGTGATCGGCCGACCAGGGCCAGGTCCCCGCCGCGCACCCGCACCACTCATTCAGCTCCATTATCTTCTCATCTTCTAAATTTTCATGGTTGAAGATAATCAAAAAGAAACATTTATCGACTTTAGAAATCCATAGATTTTGTTGAAAGCTGATGGATTGTTGCTTATTAGGACAGATTCTAAGTTTATTGGTTTGGAAATTTTTGGGACTTTGCTCAGATTTTTTAGCAGTTTGTCTCTTTCATTTTCATATTCTGGACATTCAAAAATTATGTGGGAAGTATTTGAAGGGCAATCGCAAGTGGGACAGTTAATTAAAGTTAATTCAAATATTAAACGCCTACAAAATTATTTCATTTCTTTCATTAATAAAACTGTTTCTAATACATCTGAAAAGAGAAGAAAACAGATGGTACACTATCATAAAACAATTACAAACATTTTTTGCCTCCTATCTCTTTTATACACTTTGATTTTTCAAAATATATTACAATTAAAAGAATATGAATACATTTTAAGATTTTTCTGACATTATACATTAATTTATAAATAACAGTAAAAACGTGTCACCTTGGAGTTCACTGAATGTGGTCAAGGGATTTGCAAATATCTTGGTATCATCTGAAAAAATGCTAATTTCACAGTGAATTTTGATCACTGATATAAAGATTACAATTATTTAAGGTTTTTAGTTGAGATGAAAAAAAGTTAATGGCACGAGAGGGATTCGAACCCACGACCTTCGGCTAGATACGCCGCTGCTCTACCACCTGAGCTATCGTGACCTTGATCCACTCGGACATCAACTCCCCATCTCAAAAACTCATAAGGTGGGGTTGAGGTGGGGAGTTGATGTCCGAGTGGATCGAGGTCACGATTGCTCAGGTGGTAGAGCAGCGGCATATCTAGCCGAAGGTTGTGGGTTCGAATCCCTCTTGTGCCATTAACTTTTTTTCATCTCAACTAAAAACCTTAAATAATTGTAATGTTTAATTGGTCAAACGGACCACGAAATTAGTGAATTTACTGATATAAAGGTTGAACGGAATTGGGCCCAAGACTGATCCTTGTGAAACTCTGCTAAGCACTGCATAGAAATTAGTATTTTTTTAGTAATATACTTGAGCACCCTTGACTTTAAAACTCATGTCAGAGTAGTAACAATTTAGGCAACTACTGTGGATCCCAAGCCCCTCCAATTTGTAAATTAAGAGTCTGTGATACACACGATCAAATGCTTGAGATATAAAAGTAGATGATATCAGTTGGAATGGTTGAGTCCAAGTATTATGTCCAGAGGTTGACATTTTGCATCTTATTTGTAAAAAAAAAAAAGTTTAGAGACAGCTGTGCTGACTGGGAGGAATAATTTTATTTCAGTTGTCACATTTAAGTAATGCTTAGACTATTAGTTTTTTAAAGAATTTTAAAAATATTGACAGAATAGATCGATACTGAAATTTTGAAATTGAAATAGGTCGACAATTGATAATATGTCAATAATGTTTGTACTCATCATGTAGAATCTCTTTTGGTGTCAATTCACACACAAAAAGCAATAAATAAAATAAAAAATTGGAAAATTCCAAGATTCAAGCCTTCATTCTCTTTTTTTTTTTACTTATGAACTTTTACATGAAGCATCTTAACTATAATTTCATTTATTTGTTGATAAAGACATGTAATACATTGAAAGAATTTTTTTTAAATAAATCACAAAAGTTTTATTTATGCAACCAGAATCACTGTCAAAATAAGAATTTTAATAAACTGCCACTAAAATTTATAATATCAATATGTTTTTATTTATTTTAATTAGCATTTTACAATTTTTAAATGATTTACAAGTTTATTATTCTTTTAGATCATTAACATTAACTATTAATAAAGGGGAGGATTTAGGAATACGAGAGATCTCATGTCTAAATTTTTGCCCATTTCCTATATCATTTGATGCAGTATATTAACATTAAAAAAATGTTTTACATATTAGCATTAAAAAATAACTTTATATCCTTATAGAAAAGATAATATGAAATCTCTTATTCTAAAATCCCACTTGTTTTGAAGGGATCCAATGAGAATTAATTAATCCTACATCTAAATTGGTTTAAACATCTAAAACAGCCAATGTAAATGATTAAATTATGTAAGATTATTGAAAACAAAATAAAAAATCATAAGAATAAAAAGGAATATATTTTATTTACTAAAAAAAATTTTTTTTAAATTAATTAATTTAAAAAAATTTAAAAACTGAGGAAACTTGAATAGCTGATACCTGTTTTTTACCTTTTTCTACCTGTTGATCCGATGGGCCGGGGTCGTTAATTATTTTTCTGAACCTTCTAAATCTAGGTTCGACCATGCCTTTTTAAAATAAAAACATGACCTGGCTTGAAAATAATTAAGGCAAACAAGTTTCACCGGCCAGAAAAAAGCATGGTTGAAGTGCTATCGTGCATAGGTGGTATTTTGTTGAATAGACAGTTTATTCTCTGATAGGATCAAATCTTTTAGTTGTCCACTAGTTGATTTTGAACACTGAATTTTAAGTTGTGGCCCATTGAACAGTATTGAAGGTAGTTTAGTTCATTTTTATTTTATTTTATTTATTCTAAGTTCAATAGGCCTATACTCTTTTATTTATTTATTCTTTTATGGAGAAAAACCCCCAGCTACAAAATGCTTATAAATTTTCTAATTTAAAAGAAAAGTTAAACATAAATTTAAAGTGTAAACACTGTCCATTAGTTCTAGGTATGCTGGAGTACTTAACGTAATTTGAAGGAAACATTTTCAAGGTGACTTTCTGGTATTACAAAAGGTATGCGAAAGTTAAGAAAAGAAAGATCAGATTGATATGATTATAGTTGATGGTGGTCTGCGAGTTTATGAACACATATTTGGGCTGTAAACACTCACGGGTTTAATGTTACTCAAACGCATTTTGACTTTGCACCATCTTCAGTGAGGAACTGACTGAAAATACTGAACATGTTAGAGTAGAATGTAGATGGATCGAGCTCTGACCCAGTGTAGGTTCAACAATATGACGATGAGATATAAGTGTAATTTGTTCGTTACTGATCATCTTGGTCTGCCTATCCTTGCTGGGTTGGTGATGAATCAAAGAAGGCAGATTATTTTCACCCATCTAAGAAAACGCCATGATAGGTTGATACACGGACACTTAATTTTGGGCATTTTTCCGGCTTGTAGAAAAAGGTTGCTTGATGTGCCCCACATAATTGAATGCTTGATTCCTTGGCTCATTATAGATAGTGTGTAGGAATGCCAGCTGATATGATGCTTGAGCACGGCAGCTAGTAGAACCCAGATTTTTGGAGGAAACAGGGATGTTTTATTATATAAACTATTTGATTGATATCTTGTGTTTCTTTTTGTGAATATTATGAGTGAATGTATTTATTAGTGTGAATGAGTGGAGTGAGAGGCTGATGGTGGAATATTGAGTACCCCATGGATCCTCAGTTAGATTAGTTATGCAGTATGTGTAAAGGATGTTGGAAGAATATCGAGTACTCTACCCTCTAATTAAATGATGGGTATGATATTAGGGAAATAATTCATATAAGAATAAACGAGAATGTGAGCAGATTTAGGCTTAAAAACTGCATGCTTCAGGGGCTGAAATAGCTCGAATTGACAGCCCCTGGAACCTAACTTCAACGGCAGAACGGATAAATGAGCGCTCTGACCTGAGCTTAGTCAATCTGAAGAAGAAAGTTGCAAGATTTTGAAAATTTATTAAACATCTGGTTGTTTTCATTCATTAACACTACACAACTGCCTATTATTTCACCAAGAAAACTAATTTGTATATGAAAATACACCAAAATAACAATTGATTAAGCATCAGTCTTATTTGAATTATTTTAATACTTTGAACTATATATTAGAATTTACAACAAGAACAAAATCCTACTATTTTGTTATTTAGCTATGATAAAACATAACATTTACCTAATAAAATTTAAGAATTTATTTATTCAAAAGTAAAATTTTTTCTTATTATGAAGAATTTGTTCTTGTCTTTAAACAATATAAATTTTCTCCCATGTTTTCTTTAAAAAAAAGTTCTTAAAAGAGCATAAAGCACTTTTCTCATTTTAGCTTTTTTGATTTTTAAATAATGAACTTTTTTATTGATAAGTACCATTGATTTTTAAAAAACATTTCTTATGATTATTTGAGGATTTTGATTTTTAATTCAAACCTTCGAAGGATTGACTTTTATTTCTAATCCTATAAACAGTAGATTCAATTTTGTTTTTATTTACGATGTAGGTATCTCGACTTTAAGACTATATTCAAATAGAAATTGGAACCATTTCTGGAGTCCATATTTTGTTAATTTCTTCATCTATGAAATTTTTCCTTGTTAATAGATATCAATGAGTCAAAGGAGAAGAATGTTGTAATCAAATCATTATTGTTTAAACGGTTTAATTAATAATGTAAATAATATTTTTTTAATAAGATTAAAAATTAATTCTCGATCAAATGTTCTAGCTGATAATGGAAAATGTACTTGTTATTGGGACTGGGGGCCGGGCGCATGCTATCTGTTGGAAACTTGCACAATGTCCAGAGGTAATTTGATTCCTATATTTGAAAACCAAATAAAACGATTGATTTTACACATATTTGTTAATTACAGGTAAAGCATATTTTCTCAGCGCCAGGCAGTCATGGGATAGCGTTGACAGACAAGGTTGAAAGTGTATCCGTTGATACTAACAACTTCAAAGTAAGTAGAAGAATATAAAAAATAAATAATATAAAACGAGATTTAATATAAACATTAAATTATGACAGCTTCTTGGAGAATGGGCAAAGACACAGAATGTCAAAATGGTTGTTGTTGGTCCGGAAGTGCCTTTGGCAAATGGAATCGCCGATGCTTTGACAGCTTCAGGGATTTTATGTTTTGGGCCAAAAGCCAATGCTGCACGAATTGAATCTGATAAAGAGTGGGCTAAGAAGCTAATGACTCGATTTGATATCCCAACAGCCAAATTTGGATCGTTTACAGATGCAGAAAAGGCCAAACAATTTATAAAAACGTATGTGTCTTATAAAAAAAAATTGTGAACTATAGAAATGTAATTTTTAAATTTCTTTCAGAGCTAATTTTAAAGCGCATGTTGTAAAAGCAAGTGGACTGGCTGCTGGGAAAGGAGTGGTCGTAGCTTCAAACAATGAAGAAGCATGCGCTGCAGTTGATATGATGCTCAAAGATCAAAAATTCGGTGATGCAGGAGCGACTGTTGTCATCGAGGAACTGTTAGAAGGAGAAGAAGTTTCTGTAAGTTGCTAATTTTATTCTCAGTTTCAGACCAAATGACATTTTATATTTTAGGTCCTTGCTTTTACCGACGGCACGACAGTTAGAACGATGCTCCCAGCACAGGACCATAAAAGAGCGTTGGACGGCGATAAAGGTGACAACACCGGAGGAATGGGAGCATATTGTCCATGCCCGCTGATAGATGAGGACGAACTAAACTGGGTAACAAAGAACGTTCTTCAGAAGACAGTTGATGGCATGAAAAAGGAAAATACACCTTTTGTTGGTTAGCATTGAAGTTCTATACAATTTACTTCATTATAATAGCATTAATAAAAAATTTCTTAGCAACTGTTTATTAATTTTACACATTTTATTGATTTTGACAGGGGTGCTCTATGCAGGGCTTATGCTGACAAAAGATGGTCCTAAAGTTTTAGAGTTTAACTGTAGATTTGGTGACCCTGAAACTGAAGTTATTCTACCACTTCTTGAAAGTAATTTGTACCAAGTTATGAAGGTTTGTAAAAATTTTATTCTTTTAAAACTAGTGAATTAGTTAAAAATATAAATATTTTTAGGCTTGTTGTGAAGGGAAACTTGAACAAGTTCAGCTCAAATGGAAAGAAAATATTTCAGCTGCTGGTGCCGTCATGTGCAGCCGTGGATATCCAGAGACTTCCAGCAAAGGAGACGTCATTACAGGTATTTCTCGCTTGGAAGTAAAATTTTATTTATTTATCTAATTAATTATAAATTTGTGTACAGGACTTGAAGTGGTCAATCACCTTCCTTCAATGACCGTATTTCATTGTGGTACGTTAAAAAAGGGCGATAAATGGGTAACAAATGGTGGGCGTGTTTTGATCAACGTCTCCTTAGCACCATCACTCATAACGGCTGCTGCAAAAGCAACACAAGCATGTTCAATGATCCAATTTGATGGGGCTCATTATAGAAAAGACATCGCATACAAGGGAATACCAAGGTTGGAAATCTAAAAATTAATTAATGCAAGGAATGTCGAATTTAATTAAATTTATTTAAAGATGGATTTTGAACCAAGGGCAGCTTAGCTACAAAGCAAGCGGGGTCGATATCTCTGCTGGCGATATGCTTGTCAATCAAATCAAACCAAGTGCTGGTTCAACCACTCGTTCTGGAGTCATTTCTACTCTAGGCGGATTTGGAGCATTTTTCGATACGTCTTTGGCTGGTTATAAAAATCATGTTCTCGTCTCAGGAACTGATGGTGCTGGAACTAAACTAAAGGTATGACTGGAGATCTAAGAAATGTATTTAAATTAATAATTAATTTTTATTCATGCCATTTATTGCATGTAAGGCTTTTGGATTTTAAATTCTTGAGTTTATTTACAAAATGATTTATATTTTAGATAGCACAAGCTTGTGGAATGCACAAATCGATTGGGATCGACCTTGTGGCTATGTGCGTAAATGATATCCTTTGCCACGGAGCAGAACCGCTATTTTTCCTCGATTACTTCGCCTGTGGGAAGCTGGAAGTTGGAGTTGCCAAGGATGTCGTTGCGGGAGTTGCTGAAGGGTGTAAAATGTCCGGTTGTGCTCTTGTAGGAGGTGAAACAGCAGAAATGCCCGGCCTGTATGCAGAAGGCGAATACGACCTTGCTGGGTTTTCTGTTGGTGCGGTCGAAAAAGGATTCGACTTGCCGAAGACAGGAGAAATCAAGCCTGGCGATGTAGTGTTGGCACTACCCAGTTCTGGGCCTCATAGCAATGGATACAGCCTTGTGAGGAAAGTTCTCGAAAAAGCTGGTGTTGACTATAAAGACAAATGCCCATTTTCAGATAAGACAATTGGTACTTATTAAATTTTAAAAAAAATATTGAAAACAAACATGAACTCATTATTTTATTTCACTTAAAGGTGAAGAACTTTTAACACCTACTCGAATATACATAGCAGAGGTTTTGCCAGTTCTTAAGGAAGGTATTATCAAAGCAGTAGCACATATAACAGGCGGAGGGTTAGTAGAAAATGTGCCCAGGGTATTGACTGAAAAGTTGAAAATTGAGGTTGATGCTAAACGTTGGACTGTTCCAAAAGTATTTCCCTGGCTGGCCGCGCTAGGTAAGAATTTCTAATAATCTATAAGTTGATGATTGCATCTTAAAATAATTTTTCAGGAGGCATTAATCAAAAAGAAATGCTTCGTACCTTCAACTGTGGTGTCGGCTTGGTACTTGTTGTGAATAAAGAAGCAAAAAGCAAAGTAATGTCTAAATTACCTGACTGTTGTGAAATTGGACTTGTAAAAGCAAGATTACCTGGTCTGTTAATATTGTATTTTTATATTTTTTCTAAATTAAACTAATATATTTTACTCATTTTTTAGGTGAGGCACAAGTGGATGTTAAGAATTTTTCAGAAGTCTTTACACCATTAATGAAACCTTACATAGAAAAAATTGTCCACAAAGCTAGGAAAACCAAAAGGATCGGTGTTCTTATTTCTGGAACTGGGACCAACCTCCAAGTAAATGAACATTTTACTTAATGAAAATGGACAAATTTAATTTAATAAAATGTTTATAGTCTATAATAGATAACATCACAGCTGGCAATATCAACGGGGAAATTGTAGTTGTTGTATCAAACAAAGAAGGTGTTCTTGGTTTAGAAAGGGCAAAGAAAGCTGGAATTCCAACAGTCGTTAGTATTGAAAAATCATTAAAACCCACTCTTGCTTCTTTTTTTTACAATACAGTTAATTACAGGTAGTACCACATGGAAAATATGTTGCACGAGATGACTTTGAAATGGAGATTACAAGACATCTAGAAGCTTCGAACGTCGAGGTGGTCGTTTTGGCCGGTTTCATGAGGATACTCACCAAATGTTTTGTCTCGAGGTGGCGGGGTAAACTGATCAACATTCACCCTGCTCTCTTGCCTTCGTTCAAAGGGACAAACGGCTGGCAACAGGCGCTCGACGCTGGTGTCAGGGTATCAGGCTGTACAGTGCATTTTGTTGAAGTGGAAGTCGACGGAGGTGCCATCATCGCACAGGAAGTCGTCAGTGTCGAAGTCGGCGAGTCTATCGACAGCCTCAAGCAAAAGATAAGCTCAGCAGAGAAAAAAGCCTTGCCAAGGGCTGTCCAACTTCTCTGTAATGATTCTTGCACGTTGGACCTCAAAACAGGAAAAGCAATTTGGGTCTAGCCCACTTTAATTTTTTTTAAAATATTGCTTGACCATTTTTACCAACTTTTCTTTTATAATATAAAATTAGCCTTTTCAGTCATTATTTTGGAGAAAAAGAAGAAAAAACCAACTTTCAAGAACTTGTTTATTTTTTTCTGCAATTACATATTTTCTAATCGCTATATAATCTCAGTAATTACAATATCACTTTGTTGCAAGTTCATCTTTTTTTATTTCCTTTTTTTTTTATTACTTAAAAAAATTATATATTTCAGATCTGTTTTCCTAATAGAAAATGTTCAAATATCTTGGGTGTTTGTATTATTTCATTCAATAATATCTATCTACAATAAAGTTTCATATGTCAACAATAATATTCTCTGGAGAAATATTTGGTTTAAAATACAACTCAATTGTTCACTTAAAAATTATTTTAAATGGCTCATTTATCACATTTACACGGGCAAGATCTTTTTCAATATCGAGTAAAAAAATATATAGGTACAAATTTTTAAAAACATTCAATATAATTCAACACCGGCTTTTCGTTGATTATTTTAACAATAAATATTTCTTTAAAAACAGGCAAGACATTTTTGGTAAATTTGGTTTCGAAGGAAATTAATCCTCCTGTTCCTAGTTGCTATCGTTAACCTTTAAGCAGGTTACTTCAGTGCCCTTACATATAAGTTGTGTTTTTTAATTTGTTAAAAATTATTTGTTCACAAATTGCTTAAAATTAATTTTACAAGTGCATGATACAATTAGGATTTTGCCATTAATACAAGTACTTACTGAAAGCTGGTCTTATACCTACAAAAATTTCAAAGCAGTACTGAATAAATCAAGCAACTTTTAAAATAAGAGTACAGAAGAAAAAATGCCATCAGGAATGATATGATGAACCAAATGTTCAATTGATTCCATGTGAACCCATTTGAAAATAGAAATTTCAGTTAATTTGGCACTTGGATCTTGCCAGCATCGACTGCTGCTATACCAGTTTGTCACTGTCTTTACAATTATTATCATCGGGTCTGATCACCTTACCCGAACTTGTGAAAGTAAGTTGAGAAAAGTCACGGACGACGTCGTTAAAAGTATCATCGCCAGTGCCAGCCTCTGAGTCCTTCATTTCCTCGTTCAGCCTGCCCAGTCTCAGTCTACGGAATTTCTCATTATAAAATTACCATTTAAAAGACAAAACTTAAAACATACAAAGTCACAATATCAGCGTGTGCCATATTCACTGCCACATCCAAAGGCTCTTTATCGTCTTTGTCTTTTAAATGCTGGTCAGCTCGATGCTTAAGTAAAAGACATACTTGCTGTGTATGACCTGGAAGAAAAGACTGTCACTTTCCATGCAAAAAATATGAAAACAGAAATTATGCCATAGAAAGAGAAAAATTCATTAGTTTGAACTTTTTTCTTCTAAAAATCAACCATTCTGGGTAAAAACTGCCTAAAGTGGATATCTTAACTAGGATTTTATTTTTCTGGTGGATTCCTAGGAGGTGGAATCCCCTAGGTACAACCTATGCCATTGTCGTTGTACCTAGGTCCATTTTGGAGGCTCAGCGATCTTCCACTGAAGAAACACATTTTCAAAGGAGTCAAGGTATCTAAGACTCAAAAGTGCCCAGGACCTTCCATTCATGAATGCCTACTTTTTTTTATCATTTCAGCCACCGCTATCTTTATGGGTCTGAAAATCCAGAGGTACAAGTGTTTTTCAAAATTCAATTTTATCCCTCTTGTGATTTGAAGAAATTTAGTCATTATTGTTTACACATTCTTAAAAGTTAAGTTGACATGATTCTATCCATCAGTTTCGTTCAAAATCTCATATTTCCACAAGAAGTTTTGCTAATTTAAAATGTATATTAATATCCTACACTCATCGACACAAGACATTTAACATATCTCATACAACGTTTCAAACACATCAGAGAACAGCTGGATATGTTTGATATACGGGTCAATCACATGATGACCATGTCTCCATTGGTGATTCCTTTTTAAAAATCAATGCAAACATCCTTTTTTTTTTTTTTTTTTTTTTTTTTTTTTTTTTTTTTTTTTTTTTTTTTTTTTTTTTTTTTTTTTTTTTAAGATTGATAACTGGTGATGAAAAGTAGGTTCTTTACAACAACCAATCAAAGAAGAAAATCCTGAGGAAAATGCAGCGACTCATTAATAACTCCAAAAGTCAGATTAAATCACAAGAAGGCTATGTGCATTTAGAGGGATTGGAGGGGTAATTCATTATACGCTTCTTCCGCCCAACCCAACCACATTAATTCTAGTGTATATTGCAAAAGATCGGAGCAAATAGTCAACAATTGACCAAAAGCGACTGGCACGCCAGACATTGGTGGAGATTGTATAGAATGTGCGCAACCCATGATATTCACCTGATAGCCCTTTCAGATTTTCACTTATTCTGGGCTCAGCAAAATTCTATTAATGCGAAAAACTACTTGAGGTCTACTGAAAAAACATGAGAGTTCATCACTCAAATACCTGAGACATTCTTGGAGGAGTTAAATTAAATTTGTTTACAAGCACCTCAAATTGTCATTGAATTTACCATCATGTGTTGAATTTACCCACTAGTTAGGATATTAGTTTCTGTTAGCAAAAATTCAACACAATAATTTTTTAAAAAGTCTTGTTATTGCATAAATACAGTTTGATTAGAATGTTCTAATAGATTCACTAATTTCGTGGTCCGCTTGACCAATTAATACATTACAATTAATTAAGGTTTTTAGTTGAGATCAAAAAGTCAATGGCACAAGCGGGATTCGAACCCACGATCTTTGGCTAGACACACCGCTGCTCTACCACCTGAGCTATCGTGACCTCGATCCACTCAGACACCATCTCCCTATCTCAACCTACTTTTTGCCATTTTTAAAAATACAAAAAGTAGGTTGAGATGGAAAGTTAGTTACCTCAAGCCCAGTTCAACTTCAAAACTTCGAATACGACTCTATACATCCTGATACATTTTAACAGATTTTTTTCGAGGAAAACAATGGTGCAATCGGATTTCAAATTTGTCAAAAAATGATAAAGTTATGGCAAAAAGTTGAAAAACACACATTTGATTTGCTGTTTATTAGTATAGTCTTATTTGAAATTTTATAGTTGAACTGGGCCTGAGGTACCCTGTATAATTTTTCTTCGAAAAAAAATAAAAATTTGAAACTAGACTAAACAATATTAAACACGGTTTTTTTATATCGACATTGGTTCAAGAAAAATTCATGTAGTTCCTCTAAAAAGGACACCATGTATTAGTAATACAACTGTATTTGGATATAATATTTGAAAAAAAAAGTTATGCTTTTATAACAGGGCTTAAAAGGAAAGAAAGTAAACTTTGCCAATCATGTATCAATCATAATAGTAAACTTGTGAAATTTTATCTTGCATATTTGCTTTATAATATTCAGGTAGACGTGGTAGAGCAACACATGGTAATGTCAACATACATATAAATTTATTTAGTTTTTTAGTGGTCAATTGACCAAGTTACTTCTTTCAATTAATTATTCTTTTTATGTAATGGCTTGGTTGAGATAAAAAATGATGAGGATCGATGTTACGATAGCTCAAGTGGTAGAGCAGTGGTGTATCAAGACGAAGATCGTGGGTTCGAATCCTGCTCGTGCCATTGACTTTTTTATCTCAACTAAAAACCTTAATTAATTCTAATAGAATTTACAAGACTACGATTTTCAGTGTTTGTTCATCCAATTAAGTAAGATCATGTTTCAATTTGATTGTTTCTTTTTTTCTGGACTTGCTTTTTCCAATTGTTTAATACTTATTTTATTTATGTTTGTTTCATTATGTCACAATTTATTTGTCAGAGATCCCAAGTGATAATAAAAACAAATATCTATGGTGTTTACGCCAAAAAATATTACACCCCTTTTATTTCCAAAGGTGCATCCTGACCTTGTAACCAACAACATAAAAATGGCTTCTCGTCAAATTTTGGCGAGATTTGCTCTGTAATGAATTGTAGATCATCATTTCTAATCATCTCAGATAGGCCAACTTCTGAAGATGGCGAAATATTGAAATGCGACTGACAGACAAAACTTAACAAGCAGATTAGAATGACCGAGGACCAAAAAGGTATAATTTTATTATATTTTATAGTGTATCATAGATTACAAAAAACTTCTTTTTGTTTTTTTTTCTAAAAAATCTCAGAAATAATTTGATTATAATTTTTTAAACAATTTGAAACGTCATTTTAACTGAAAAAAGGGACCATATATTTTGTGAACAACTAAGTTCCGAATTACGATCTGCTTTACTCTTTTATTTTATTTTATTATTATTATTATTATTTTTTAATAAAATAATTCTTACCTAGCTCTGTAGCATGATGTAAAGCAGTTTTCCCATTATTGTCTTGAAAATTGATTTTAACACCATTCAATAGTAGATACTCACAAGCCATCACAGAACCCTACATATATAATTTTACGTTAAAAAAAGTAGGAAAAAAAAGGATAGTTTTCTTTGGGGAAATTCATCCTTACACTGAAAACTGCTTGATGAAGATGAGTCATTCCGTTTTGTTCAGGGTTGACCCAATGCTTGTCAGCACCAAGAGCTAGTGCATGACACATAACAGGAATGTTATGAGCGGTTGAAGCTTTATGAAGTAGACTGGTCGGACTTAACTTACTTATATCTTCTTCACTCACTAAAATATTAAAACTGTCAAGTTAAGTTTGTAAAGTTGTAAGACTTTACTTACCAGTGTTGTCCTCGCCATCTGTAGAATCGTTGTCACTGTCAAGTTGTTCGAGATGAGGTGCTTCTGACTCGACGTTCAGATTTTCCCCGACAACAGCAACGTCTTCCTTGGTTTCAGAAAGGGCTTTGGTGTTTTTCTTTTTGTTGTTGCTTTCCATACTTCTTGCCCTACGTCTTAATTTCCTCACAGACCATTTTCTTTTGGGACGCATCGGCGATAAAGATAATGGGCTAACAAAATCCTTATTGACCCATTTTCTTTTAATATAACTTTCTCTCACAACACTGAAAGAAATATTTTAATTTATAATCTTTTAGAAAACAATTTAAAAAATAATACCTTGAGCACACTGGGGTGGCAACTGCAACTGTTGAATCTAATTTTGCTTCATAAACGTTATTTACTATTTGGTTTCCTAATTCAGCCATAACCTTTTTAAAAAAATTGATACTTGTACATTTGATACAATCTTATTTTCAAAATTATAATTTTAATAAAGTTACCTTTAAAATCTCAGGTTCCCAAGCATCGAGTGTCAGAGATCGGACTTTAGAATAATGAACGCCAAGACTCCTGTGCACTCCTGAACAATCTGGCAATAAAAATTTCTTTAAGAATGCCCCAAAAGTCAATTTTTTTATTTTTCAAAGAAAATTAATTACCGATGCAAAGTGTAATCCCGAGATTTATGCTAGCCCACCTAGGATCAGGAGATTTACAATCACAGCACAGTTCATTTCCTGGAATTCTTGCAAGTTGATCCCAAATCCTGAAATACAATCAATACAAATTAGGACTGAAATTGTTCGCGTATATTTTAAAAATTTGAAAAAATATTTACTTCGTCTTCCGATTGTTATTGCTGGAGTCTTCAATAAGTACTGCACTATTACCGTTTGATCCTGATAGCATCCTTGGGTCTGGGTTATTAAGGACAAGCTGAAGAGCAGCGCCTATCCCTTTTTGCAGGGCTAAAACCCAACGATTGAACATCTCTTCTGAATCCGCTTGAAGCATGTGGCTCCTACAATTTTTTTTTTTAATGTTTGTACATTAACTTGTATGTTTGAACAAATTACCTTGTTGGGGAGATTACTTCAAAACAGAACCTTCTTTCTGAATCGACTGCAGGTTTGACAGAGCAAAGTCTAAGATCTTCTTCCATAACTGTGTAATTTTCTTCACCTGTAAACACCCAAAGGTGATTTCTTACATCTCGGAATGATTTAAAGGTATAAATTACCGGTCCTTTTCCTGTAGACAAGCTGGCTGTCCTTCAGACAAAACCATCTCCGATGCCAGGTCTTGAACGCATTTGATGTCCGTTTGAATAAATAACCTTGCATCGGCTCAGACGACTCGAGTTCATCAACATTGATAACCATCGTGTGCCGGTTGCCTAAAGTTTTGTCCAGCTTACCTGAATCCACTCTCATGCCTACAATCTAAATGCCCGGGAAAAGGACACAGCAGAATTAGAGAATTTCTTGAGTTAATAAAACTATAAATTTATCTTAATTCTTTTAGTGTATTATGGGTTTTTTTTAAAATCTAGTTTGTTGGTTTTGTTGAGCTAAACCACCAATTTTTTCTTGCCATATATTTCATTTGCTTATGCATTTTGGGTTTTCATCAAACATCTAGGGACTAGGGCCTGAAATGCTTAAGCAAATATATGGCAAGAAAAAATTGGTGTTTTAGTTCAACAAAACCACAACCGAGATCAAAATAATTTATCTTTTAAATAAACAAGAATTGACAAGTTTAAAATGTTGCTGTTATCATTTTGCTGATATTTCTTGAAGTAAAAATAGCCTTCAATCATTCGTAAATAATTCAAAATAATATAATAATTTAAAATGACTTGAATATTGGGTTACCTTTAACCTTGGATTTTAGGCATCAGGTTGAATAAATAATTAAATAATATGTTTATTTAAAGACAAGGGTTCTTCTACATACTGAATGTCCTTCAAGTCTTTGTACTTACAAAATACTACTTATGTGTACACTACAGTATATTCTTTTTTATTTACTCTTTTCTGTTAATTCCCAATTTATATGTATTACCTTTTAAAACCTTTTTTTCCACATTTCCATATTTAGAAAGTTGACGAAATGCACCGTAGACAAACAAAAACAGTTAAAACATCCTGCTTGATTCTTTTTTATCTTTCTCAATGAGAACAAATAAGATGGAAATGGATAGAATGACATTGAACACCGGGGGTTCAAGTCGAAAATGGTAAATTGGAACATTTTAATTTTAAAGTCCATACCCTGCGAATTAACGCACTCCAGTATTTAAAACCTGACGGCATCTTCACATCAACCGGGTTGACACCTTGAAACACCCCGCCCCCCTTTGCCCACTGAGACATTTTCACAAGGTGCTGATAATGTCGAGTTGACACACATAACAATGATCGCTAAACTTGTAAATGATAACAAGCTGTGAGTCACAACAAAGGCAAACCACTATTGGAGGATTATAATTGTTTACAGTTTGGCCATTCAAATTATATTACTCGTACAGATAAAAGAAATTTAAATTTTAAAAATATATTCGGTTTATGTGTGAATACAGGATGTATACAAGTTGGGTTTTTTTTCTTTGGTTCTCGAGTTTTTACAGTGTTTTACTGTTTTTTTGGACTATTCCATTGTCTGAGGGTTTTTTTTCTGGGCAGTGTTGTGGTTTTTTTTTTTGTGTTGTTTGCAGCATTTGTTTTTTACTTTTTTGTTGAGTGTTTTATTCTTTAGTTATTGAATGCGAGTGGTGGGTTTGTATGCAACAAGTTGGATTGTCCTTTGTAGTTTTTCTTTGTTTGTTAAGTTTTTACAGGGTTTGTTCTGTTTTTTCTTTGGTGTTGTGATTATTTCATCATTTATGGGATTTTTTTGTGTATGTGCAATGTTTGTAATATTTTTCTTTAGTTGTTGTGGATTATTCTATCATTTGTGGCATTTTTTTGTGTGTAATGTTTGTGACATTTTTTCTTTGGTTGTTACGATTTTTTACTTTTTGTCAACCATTTATTCTTTAGTTGTTGAATGTGAGTAAGTCTTATTTTTGTTTACTGTACATTTTGTCTTTACTGGCTTTACTTGTTGAGTTTATATGATTTTTAATGGTGTTTTTCAGTTTTCCCACAACTAATCAATTATTATCAAAACGTTTATATCCTAGTAAAATTCACGATTATTTCCTACTTTAAATTCACTAATTTCGTGGTCTGCTTGACAATTAATATATTACAATTAATTAAAGCTTTTAGTTGAGATAACAAAGTCAATGGCACGAGCGGGATTCGAACCCACGATCTTCGGCTAGATACGCCGCTGCTCTTCCACTTGAGCTATTGTGACCTCAATCTAGCCGAAGATCGTGGGTTCAAATCCCGCTCATGCCATTAACTTTTTTTTCATCTCAACTAAAAACCTTAATTAACTGTAATGTATTAATTGGTCAAGCGGACCACTAAATTAGTGAATTTAATGATTAAAATGAAGTATACTTCACTAAAGCTCTCCGTGGCCATTTCATTTGTTGTCGAGAATCCAATCCGATTACACATTTGAAAAACGGCAAAAAGGAGGGAAAATTCAAAAGGTGTGGTTGAGATGGGAGGTTGGTGTCCGAGTGGATCGAGGTCATGATAGCTCAAGTGGTAGAGCAGCGGCGTATCAAGCCGAAGATCATGGGTTCGAATCCTGCTAGTACCACTGACTTTTTTATTTCATACACTGAACAACATGTTGGTTTTATTATTTTAAAACATTTCACATAAGAATAATAGTAATAATTACCATCCAATGGTGTGAATGTATTTATATGCGTGAGTGGTAAAGCTTGTATGAACACAGTCTGTGTGGAATATCAAGTACCCATAGTACCTGTAGAACCAGTTAGGTAACTTAGGATAAGAAATGTGTTATTTTTACTCTGTGAGAATGCATTAATTGGCGTGAATGGAGGGAAGGCATCAAGGCGAAAAACGCATTTCCAACCTCCCAACCATAGGTTTCGGCTTTACATAATTTTCACATAGTTGCAAGAGTACGGTCTCAGCAGCATATCTCGAAAAATTCAGTCCCACCAAATTTAGATTATGTAATAGTTTTAATAGTATGAATTTTTATTTATATTATTTTTTAATTTGTATTTTAATTAACTTAGAACATTTTAATCAAATGTAGAAGGTCAAAAAAATGGGAGATAGATAAAACATTGGCAATGGCCCTAGCAGCTTCCAGGCTGAAAAATAATAATTATTATTACTATTATTATTACCTCTTCATCTAGAGATCTCAAGAAAGGCTGAAGTCCTTCGCACAGATCATGACCCTGATGAAAGTATGTGACGTTGGCCTGGATGTATGACAAAAGCTTAAAAAAAAGAAGTTTATATTTACTACATATATAGAGAAGTAATAATATAATGTATACATATATAAAGCTACATATTATAATTTTATAAGTGTTTAAAGTAAACATTGCAAAAAGGAAAACTTATTATACTTACAGTTCCTAAAATTTCTGGCTTTTTTCTTGACTGAAGCATACTAATACAGTAGACATGATCTAAGACTGTGTGCCTAAAAATAAATAAATAAAATGTTTATCAAGAATATCAAAGTACAGAAAATAAGACTTGGAACTTATAGGATTTTTCCAAAATATGCTTAATACATTAACTTATGTAAATCATACTTAATATGTCATACGAGGCTAATGCTACAGATTAATAAAAATAATTTATATTAATAATCGATTAATGTCGCTGCCACTGTGAATAAACCTTTTTACAAAAGAAGTGTACCCATTGAATTGGGATTTTTCGTTGAGTAGTTATTGTTGTTAAACATGTCAGCAGTTTGTTACCCCCCCTTTCACAAAGTTATTAATTTAAATCTTCAATCCTTTTCATATATATTATGTTAACTTTAACACATAAAAAATCCATTATTTTCATATTGTCAATAATGGAACCTAAAAATAAATTTACATAAATAAAAAATTGTGGTTAGGAAAGGGGGTAAAAAATTATACCTTATAATGTAATTGTGGAAGTTGTGAACCCGTACGAGTGGGAATCAAACGTACCAATAGGTTATCTCTAGTAAAACATTTTCATGGCAGAATTAAAGACCAAATTTGCCCTTAACTCCTTTAACAAAATATCTTTCCCATCGAAGATGCAATTAGTTCAATTCATTAAGTAGAATCTTTTTAATTTCAGCCTATGTCAATACTTTGATTTTGTTACATTTATAAGTTAGAAAATAAGGACAAAATCAGTCTAATTTATTTACAAAAACTACATTTGTGCCCTTATGCGTAATATATAGGGATCTCAAGCCTGGTAAAAAATTACCTTAGTATTTTAACTATTTTTGTGATTTTTGCAAAATAAATCAAAACCATTTGGTAGGCATAATTAGCAAAAATCCCAAAAAAATTGTATTCAAGGGTTTTTTGTGATGCAGCCAAATATCAACTTTGTTTCTTGATAAAAAAAAATATTTTAACTTACTGTGCTATATCACTCCCTAACAAACTGTGTATTTCTATATCTATGATACATATATTATACTGTAACTATCTGCCAAATACAATTTGATGTAGTCTCTGATTTTTTTTGGCTATTTTTTGTTTTGAATTAAAATTTTAAAAAAATTTTAAAAAAGTTTTAAAAATTTGACTGATGTAAAATATCCTTGAAATACATGCTTAACAAAGGCAGAAAAAAATTGAAAAATGTGTAGGTTAGTTATTTTTATTTCTCAGCTAAAGCAAGAACACTCTTGTTGTCTTGTGGTCTTGGACACTGCCTAACAATCCTTTTTTCTTTTTTTCTTTTTTTAAGAGTTCTTACTCACATTATGTTGTTTTCCAACCAGCCAACATCCAAGTTGGAAAACAACTTAATGTGAGTAAGAACTATTTTTTTTTTTAAAGGACTGAACACCGCACTCACTCCATCATTCACCATTTCCATGCCTAACAATGTTCAACCTAGTATTCCCAAAAAAACAACGTTTAATTGAAATCAGTGATCCCCCATCTGTGCCAACCCCTTGTAAGTTAATAAATAGCCTTGTGTTACCACTATTTAAGTAATTTAAATTATTGTGTTTTTTCAAAGGTTAATTAATGTCATTTTGTCATGATTTACTTTTCACTATTAAGTTTCATATTATATTTAAACTTTTTATTTTAAAGTGATGACTATTATGCACATTTCTATTTTTGTTTGATTTTTTTGCCTATGCAATTTATTTTATATTAGTTATGAAGTAAAAATTCATCAGAATTGAACATTTTCAATCTAATCTTGTGTAGTGATTAATTTTAATTGATAAACTTTCAGAGAAAATTATTTTCTGTAAAATGTGTGTTACATAATGGAGATAATATATGCCTGTTATTCCTAGTTATTTTTCCTTTCTTACACAAAAAATAATATATATTTTTTTTAATCCATTAGTTACCTTGCTTTATTCAAAACACTTACTTTTTTTCTTTTCCTATACAATTTACAACCTTCAAGTAAAATCAGGTCATATGAGCCGAACAATTGGACAAAAAATGTGCGAATTGAAAAGAAAAATAAAGTGTATAGCAACCGGCAAACAAGAATGTATTGAACCGTGAAATCCTTTCAAGGCCCTTTAAGACCTACCACAACACGCCTTGACACTTTTCTTGCTTTGTTCTATAACGATAAAGATGAAAGTGTTAGAAACTGATTAACCAATAAATCAAAAATAGATTTACCCAAAAAATTATCTCCGATACAATTTTTTAAAAGAACTTTACATGGGTTTTTATTTTTTATTAATTACCTGAAACAGGCTATGGTAGCCTGGAGGATGCCATGCGTCTGCTCAATTTCGACCGGTTTAGATTTAGGCACCTGGGAATGTCTAGAGAGGGCTATATCCAAATCGTTTGATATTTTGTCAAAATGTTGTCTCGAGTCCCATCCTCCTTTTATATCGCTATAAGAAAAAAAAAATTGCCATCAGTACATACAATTACAAACATTAGAATACCATTGGTAACAGGATATTTCTTGCTTTAGAGTATGAATTATCATAGTTAAACAATGGATAACATTTGCTTAAAAAATGATAAACATTATCTTCAACCATGTCAAAATTTGTTGATATAGTATCCTAACTCCAAAACAATACATTCTACACGCACACATATGATGAAGTAAATTTAAGGTGAGTGATAAGCGCAAAAATTACTCGAACTGAAAAGAAAACATTGAATAAGGATTGAAATTTCACACCTTTTTATGTTCTTTATGCACCAATCACCTCACCAGCCATACAGGTTTGCAAATCCTGGGCACTAAAAGAAAATCCGTATGTCATAGCCAAATGCAGGATTCAACATTTAAAACAGAACTATCTCATCGGAATATACATACACAATAAGCAGAACAATTCTATCTTAATATCGCAGATAAGCTAATCCCGAAGTTTCATTTGTATGAATGTCTACAACAATGTTGACATCATAGTAAGTTTGGGCAATTTGTGTAGATGACATAACAATTCTAAGAAAAGTTTTTCATGCAGTTGCAGTATACCTAGAGTTTGATACTGCTGACATTAAAGAATAGTGCAACAAGTAGTGCTTTTATCGATCATGAGAAACAACACCATAATTTCTTTAGATTTTCACAGTAAATACTCCTAGAACTCCAAATTTACATATATGAACGACATGATTCGCATTTTTTTTTTTTTTTAACTATTGTTCATCTTGTTCTCACATATTTAAATGTTATATTTACTTATTATTAATTTGACCAATTCTTGTAGGCTAAGAGGATCAGAAAATTTCAAAATATCCTTTTTACCGATATTATATTATTTTCATATTTAAGCCCATTAAAATCATTTCATAACTAAAACATTAGTACAACACCTATAGAATAAATAGAATAAATTGATTGATCCAAATGAACTAGATTTATGCAAAAAAAATTGATAAAATTAAATTTTACTTTTACAAGAAACACAAAGACAGAAAAACCAACACTTGTATTTGTTTATTTTTCATAATATTAGTTATTAATAATTACCTAAAATGTAAACACAATAACTTGTTTTTTACCTTTACAGAGGGATCCTTTCACACTGTAGATTAAAAATAAAGAAAATCAGTTCCATGTCATTCTTATCAGAGCCAACTCATCCAGTGTGTTAATTGGTTTTTTAAATTGTTTTCTTTGATGAAACAATAAATTTGAGTAAAACAATCTTATTCTTAAAAGCATGGTTTTAAGTAGAGAAGATCTCGCCCGGAGAGATGCTTTGGTCAACAAACGTAGCGTCCCTTACATGGCAAGCTCCTTGGAGTGCCGTGCTATACCATCCACGATGGTCTGTAGCGGGTTAAGGCCACTGGAAGTCTCGATTGACAAGAAGTTAGTGGTCAACCATGATATACAACTGACATTTAATGGCTTCCTTAAAAGGTTCTAAAATTCCAAAAAGTCTATAATGTAAGGGCGAGCTCTAAAATATCTGATGGATCTATGAGAATAATCGGAGACCTAGACTCCCAGCAACATCAGGCTTTCTACTACCTGAGAGGTATAGAGTAGAAACGCGATTATTCGCAGCAAATCAGCACCTCGTGTGTATATATTTTTATATATTACATTTACATATTTTTATTCAAACTACTTGTATCATCATTGTTATATTAATTACAACGTACTTATTTTAATATAAACAAAATTAACCGAGATCAAAAATTCATTAGTTTTTTTAAAATTAATTTTAATAGTTTGGTAGAAAATTGTTCAAAACACCGGAATACCATTTTTGATGTAATGAATTTAACTAACAATTTATTACACGGTTTTGCTCATAAAATTTAACTACAATTTTTTATTACATTGTCTTGTTCATAAAATTTAACTAACAATTTATTACACGGTTTTGCTCATAAAATTTAATTAACAATTTATTTCATGGTTTTGCTCTTACAATTACACCATTTTGGTCGAGTAGCGTCAGAACAGGACACTCATATTTTTTGTAGTTTATTTCAAACTATATAAATGTAATTTTGTCGTTATATTAATTGCAACATTCTTAATTTAATATAAACCAAATTAAATGAGATCAAAAATCCATGAGTTTTTATAAAAATTATTTAATTATGATAGTTAGGCAGAAATTTATCAAAACACTGGAACAACTTTATTAAAAACAATTAAATTTAACTAACAATTAATTTCATAGTTTTGCTCATAAAATTACACTATTTTGGTCGAGTAGCGTCAGAACAGGACACTCATATTTTTTGTAGTTTATTTCAAACTACATAAATGTTATTTTGTCATTATATTAATTGCAACATTCTTATTTTAATATAAACCAAATTACACGAGATCAAAAATACATGAGTTTTTATAAAAATTATTTAATTATGATAGGAAGAAATTTATCAAAACACTGGAACAACTTTATTTAAAACAAATTTAACTAACAATTTATTACAAGGTTTTGCTCAAAATAACGCATTAAGAATAATAAGAGGTGTTGTGACTGTGGTAGTGATTTATGATACACACTGTGTGACTGTACGTGATGTGCACTTGACATCGTATAGATGTGCTCACCCTACTAAAATATGGCAAGATGTCGGGCAGCGTTGCATAGCATTTCATCGGGTAAGTGTGTTCCCGGCTTTATGTGCCAAGTGTGTCCATCTTTTCAAAAGCAGTTATGGGCTGAAATCAACGTCCATGCCCTTACCAAACTGATTATCATACAGAATGGATCTTTCACTGCTTTCAGGCACATTGAGAAAATTCTTCTGGGAGCAGTGGTCCCATTCGCTGCATTTATTGGCAACAACTCTTAATTAATGCAAGATAATGCTCGACAGCATGTAGCTTGAGTTGTCACTTATTACTTGGAGGATGTAGGGATTACCAAAATGAATTGGCCAGCAGGTTCTCCTGACATGAATCCTGCCGAACACTTATGGGACATGATAGTGACGGGTCCAAAAATCGTTAAACAGCTTCAAACTGTACTTGTTGCTTATTTACTGAATGCCTAGGAGGCTTAAGGCCCCTGAAGAGGTAATACGCTTTATTTAATTTGCTTTATTTAAAATCAGTATTTTTTAATTAATATAACAATAAAAATACATATAGTTTCAATTAAACAACAAACTATGAGAGTCCAATATTTTTTTTTTTTTTTTTTTTTGGTGTATCACTTCTAAATTAGTTCTTGTTTCATCCAGTATAAAGTTTCTAGAACAATAGTTTTATTTCCATTATATTTTAGTAATAAAACTTACTCTTTTACAAAATTGGACATGTTTTTAAGAATCGTCCTCGAGGCTTGGTCCAGAAGTATGCTCTGGTATTTCGTCATCTCTTGAAGCGTTTGTATAAGTCTGTTGAACCTGGATGTCGCTTCGGGATCATCTTTGAAGCAGACCAACAGCTCCCAAAGGCTGTTAGTAAACTGTGTCTGTTGGGACACATAAGTCTTACCAGCATCCACCATAGACCCGCATGACTTCAAAACCTGGAAGAGTTGTTTTATAGATTTTTTTTTTTAAATTTTAAATGAAGTTGAAAGTATACCTTTTCCAATTTCTGTTCCAAAAGTTCAATCTGGGCCTCCTCCTCGGCAAGCTGGGCTCTAAAACAATTGAAAACATGTGTAACGTTTAAATTTATCTTTCATTCATAAAAGATTTTGGACGAAAGCCAAATCTATAAATAATTCAGACAGATAAATAACATCTTTTAATGAGTATTGTCTTAAGATATTTTTTATCTTATAATAAGCTCACCCTGAACAGGAAATAAAAAGACGTTTAGTTGTTTAGAGCAAACATTTATTTACATTCATTAAAATCTCACAAATTAATGAAGCAGAATTGTATCTTCAACTTAAATGATAAATAGAAATGTTTCAACGACACTTCAAAAGTGTTCCACGAGCGAAAGTTCAACCACTTCAATTATCCAATTAGCATAATTAACCCAATTTAAAAAGATAGTCCAAGCATAAAAGAAAGGGTACTTTTTTTAAGAAGTAGACAGATACAGAGTTGAATGTATTGAAAATGGTATATTTTACAATTCTGGCTCTCATTCAACTAAATTGCTAACAAGGAAAATTGGTTGAATACAAGTAATTATCTTCAATTTAACTATTTGAGATTTTTCCTTCAACTTTTGTACTAATCTTTCTCACTTTTGTTAGTATATAAGTTACATAATCAATTAACAATTTTTTAAATTTCTTTTTAAACAAATATTTATAAAAACATAATACAATTTAATTGTAGTAAGCTAATGTTATTTTCATTTAACTTTTTCCTGATTATTTTTTAATGTATGTACATTCTGTACATATGTTCAAATCGTTTATGATGTCTGGAAAAACAAATTCTTCCTATGATCTGAGGGGTCATTAAATCACAACAGTGATTTATTAGCAGTAATTTTGAAGTCTAAATACAAAGTGATACTTTGTCTTTTTCTTAAACATTCTGTTATCTATCTGGCAAAATCTATCACCAAGAACTTAAGAAGAAAACTGATTATTGGAAGAAAACCACTATTTACGACTGGCAATAGTATAGTTTTAATTTTTATACTTTTCCATGCAGTTTTTTTTAATTAAATTAATTTTATAATTATTATTACTATTTTTATTTTTCGACCTTTTGGTAATTAGAATAATCATCATTTTACAGGAAAAGCTACTCAGTAATTTCTTTAAAAACCTAACCACTATGTGTTTTACTTTTTGTGCAGTCAGACAATACTTGCATATTCCAAATTTTGGCTCAATCCAGGAATAGTATTTACTTCCTAATAAACTTTATTACTGACGCTTTATTCAACAGAGGCGGTTGTTTCCTCCTTGTCCCACTTTGACGCCCAGCTAAACTTTTAGAATTTTTAAACAGCATGGCAAAGCTCATCGCCCTACTTTTTCTTTAATTTGTCAACAACAAAAAATCCTGTTCCACTTGTTCTCACGGCATGTATTAGTCTACAACTTTCAGCCAGGGCGAAACAGAATTTTCAACAATCCTTAGTCTAAATATTTTCCATGTATAAATGTTTTCAGGCCGGCATGCATTCAGAGAGATAAAAAGTACATGTATCTACACGAGATAAATTTCCAACAACCCTTCAAATGATTCAATTACTTGTAAATGTACCAAAAAAAAAACAGTCTAATTAAGTTGATAAAAGATTATGATGGCTTGATAATGGTTACAAGGGTACATAAATATGGGAATAATTAATTTTTCACTTTTCCAAATCATGGTGAGACTTAAAATTTGAAAATATGATGATTACAACACTATAAAACTATTTTGTTATTATTATAACACAGATCCTGTAAAATCTTTCTTACACACACAATAAGGCAGTATTGTGTTTGTAAAATGAAATAGTTAATCCAATAATGGTAAGTTGAAACATATAAAACCAATGTGTTTGGTTATTTAGGACCACATAATTTTTATTTTTAGAAAAGCAAAATGGGACATAGTACATTGTCTATAAGGTTGTTCCCTGAATATGAACTTGGACTTGAACTTACTTCACCTGAGTTAAATTATCTAAAATGTCACCATATTTCCCTTCTTTAAAAGAATGACTGTGCAAACTTTTTAATTCATTCTGGCTAACAACCATGAAATTTGGCCTTTTTTTAATACAAAATATTCTTTATATTTGTATATTCCATATTATTGCTTTATAGTACCTAATCAAATAATGTAAACCCTTGAAAATCATACCATTAAAAAATAAATAAATAAAGTCAGACTGTTTTTGTAAAAAAATTTCATATTTGAAGTCTGGATGGACCTAAAACTGCTTAATAACAAACTGAATTATCGTTTAAAGCAGATGAAAAGAAAAATCACTGGCATACAGACGTAAGATGATTTCTAAAGAGGGGTTCATTACATGACTAGATGATCTTAGACCTGAGATAACCCTTAAAATTATTAAAATCCCTACAACCCTTAAAATAAAATTAAAAGCTCTAATTTATCAGTTAAAACCATTTGGTTCACCAGTAAAAATAAATAAATAAATAAAAAATAAAAAACCTGTAAGAAAATAACTTCCAGTACACCCCAACAATAACTATTATAAAACAGGGATATAAAATTGAAAAGCAGATGGCTGGAATACAAATTTTATCTCAGTACGTTTTTTCACAAGGACAAATCCTGCACCTGGAAGACACATGCCATGAAAAATGGGTCATTGCTGGCCCTCAGGGTGAGAGATTAAAGAACAATGAGATCTCAAAGCAATGTCGATTAAGGCGATGTGGAGGGTTCTTGAGATAGGAATGTGTTGAAAAAGCTCGAGCAGTATGGTTAGGATGGATCGAGTGGTAGGTGTTAAGCTTTTGGAATCAGGAACAGATCTGTTCGTTGACAAAAGGAATATTGGCATTATTGTGGGCAGTGAGGTTAGTAATGTAGTAAGGTGCTTTGACGACTTGTCTGAAAAATTTTTATTGAAAGAATTTCGTCCATCGGACCATGAAATCTAATAGATTTATTGAAACAATTGGATGTGGGTGTTAGATGGGTTGGCAGAAGCCCACAGTTCCACTCCATGTGTCCAAAGTGGTCACAGTAATATCTTGTATACGGTTAATTCAGTGTTCACAGTCGAAACGGATTTCAGTCCCAGCAGTCTAGTAGTTGTTGTCTCTTAAGTCTTGTGTGGAGATTATATGTCAGTCAACTGTCCAAGTAGAGTCGTAAGTATGTGATTTGCATATAAATCAATATCTCTTTGTTGTTGATGTGCAGTGGAGGGCAAGACTGTTTTTTCAACGTGATTGTACATTTTTCTTCATTCAGTCTTGCACTCCACTTTTTGCACCCTTCTTGGATCAGCTTAAGGTGTTCTTTGATGCTGAAGGTAGCTTGGATAAGATTTGAGTTAGAGGGCAAAATTGCAGTATCTTCTGATGGTGATATGTTATTAGGATGGTAAATGATAGGTTTGTCAGCAGTAAAAATCGTATAAAGGATGGTACTAAGAATGTTCCCTTGCGGGACGCCAGTTTGTACCTGTGTGATTTCCAAGAATTCATTGCCACATGAGATAATTTGAGGAAACTCCACCTAAGGCACCAAAGGTTATCCTAGCTTCATGCTAAGGATGCTTAATCCTAGCTTATAATAAACTCCTCGAAGAACAATAGCTGGACAAGCCAGTTACTTTGGTTGGCTGTAAGAACCAATAGTTGATAAAGACTGTCAACTATTGGTTCTTTCAGACGTAAATTATTTACGTTGCCCTCTGGTACTTCAAACTATCTTTGGTATTTGGAAACAGCAACTGACTTGGTGCTTGTTTACATGCTTAAACTTCATTTATATTTCATAACAAAAGTGATGCTTTCTTCGACCACGAGGTTTTCAAAAAGCACAGCACTGGTAATAATTAAGTCTAATTCCCATTGGTTTGCTCACTGGAAATTTTTATCAAACAAATGCAATCTAGTCTTCTCATTGACTCTTGAAAACATATGTAATTGGCATGTTCATTTTTCAGTTCTTCTCTCAAGATTGCCTTTCAGCATCAGGTAGATTGCTTATTTTGGGTTCAAACATCTTCACATTGGGCTATTTACAAACAATTAAAAGCTTCATCCATGTTTGATTTTGACCATCTTTCCTTGCGTGAAGTAAGATGGGCTTTTAAGCTGAGATATGAGGTTTTACATGTAAATTCAGCAGTGTAAAATAGGGGTAGCTTTGAGCTATTGTTGTTCCTGAATGGCTCAAATTTTTGGTGCTCGATTTGGTATGCCAAACATGCTTGGAGATACAGATACGTATTGATTAAAGAATTTAAATTTTAAGTGTTATTTTTTCTTTTATTGTTATTAAACTATCAAAATTTTGGGTATAGTCCTCATATTTAATACTTGTACGCTCGTTTATTTTTATTGTATTGTTTGTATTTTGTAGTTTTATGCATATTTGTATTTTTTATGTTTTTTCTTTTCTTCTATCTCTCTAAGTTTAATAATATATTTAATAAAACTTATATATAAAACGTTATAATTTAATAAAACTTATTTTATATATATATTTGTAAAACAATGACCTCTTGGCAAAACAATCGATGCCCGTAATGCTTTTGTTCTTTAATTTAATGAAAAAAAGTTATAATTTTATTTTAATAAAGCAATTATTATTATTATGTCGATAAAGAAAAATTAAGAAATTGAAAATCAAACACAGAATCCATGCAAATATACATTATGACAAAAAATAATCAAAAATCTTCAGCAACATTTCTATGTCATATGAAGTGAATTCTCAACAATTAGTGGATCATTTATTAACAATGAGTTATTAGCAATTAAAACAATAGAGGATTGATGATTTTGTACATTTAACTCTCTTGGCTGGTTTTGTAGTCAACGCTTTTCGGACTTCAGGTCAAGAAAGCTGAATGAAGACAATGAAGGCCATTGATTCAACTTTTTGATAAGCTTTTAACAGTTTAAATGTCTTCCAGATTGCAGAGAGGGCACTAACACTTCGAATAATGATGAGATAAGATTAAAAATTGTTGATATTTACATAAAAAGGAGCAATTTTCAATATACCATAGGAAAAATAAAGCACCACCTGCTGAAATGGACTCTGGTGTAATTTTCTTAATTTACTAATTAAAAAGAATTTGTTGATAAGCACACAAAGAATTGAATTTCACTTTTACAATGTAAAGGAATTCTGTCACATAAAATATCTTTCTGTATTTAAGTAAATAAAACTCTAAAATCTACTGATCAATAATGAAAATGTATTAGGCATTTTTATAAATTAAATACTATGTTAAAAAATATTCTTAAAATTTGCAAAACAAACCTAATTGTTATTACTACAAAATATGGCATTTTGATGATTTTTTAAAAAAAATTTTATTTATTTATTTATTTTATTTATTTATTTATTTTTTTGTATACTGTCTTGACCTGGAATTACTCTTTATTTTAAGACATTTTGTGTTCTAAAAAGTAAAATTTCATTAATGGTTTTAAGTTTTTTATAGCATTTATCAGTTTTGTTGAAAAATGTTTTCTTACGATGTTTAAAAATGCACCATCTTGTATATATTGCTTTTGTCCTCTGTCTTGACCAGGAACTACTATTCTTTATCTTAACATTTTATGCTCTAAAAAATAAAAATTCATGAATGATTTTAGGTTTTTTTTAAAAAAAAAGCTTTTATCAGTGTTTTTGAAAATGTTTTCTTAGTACGTTAAACAAAAAATGTGCCACTCTGAGCATGTGTTTTTGAATGCTCTCTTGAAATGGAACTATTTTCTATCTTAAGACAGTTTATGTTTAAAAAGTAATATTTCATAAATGAATATTTAGGTTTGTTATATATTAATCAGTTTTGTTGAAAAATGTTTTCTCAGGACATCGAAAAATGTGCCACCATGTATATGTGCTTTTGTACACTGTCTTTTATGTCTTGACCTAGAACTAAACTTTATCTTGAGACATTTTATGTTCTAAATTATAAAAATTTGTTAATTATTTTAGATTTATTTCTGCTTTATCACTTTTGTTGACAAATGTTTTCTCAGGATGTCGAAAAATGCACCATCATGTATATGTGCTTTTGTACACTGTCTTTTAGGTCTTGACCTAGATCTACACTTTATCTTGAGACATTTTATGTTCTAAATTATAAAAATTTGTTAATTATTTTAGATTTATTTCTGCTTTATCACTTTTGTTGACAAATGTATTCTCAGGACATCGAAAAATGCACCACCATGTATATGTGCTTTTGTACACTGTCTTTTATGTCTTGACCTAGAACTACACTTTATCTTAAGACATTTTATGCTTAAAAAGTAATATTTCATACATGTTTTTAGCTTTTTTATACGTTTATCAGTTTGGTTGAAAAATGTTTTCTCAGGACGGCGAAAAATGCACCAAAATGTGTTTTTATACACTGTCTTTTATGTCTTGACCTCGAACTACACTTTATCTTAAGACATTCATGTTCCAAACAATAAAAATTCGTTAATTGTTTTAAGTTTTTTATAGCATTTATCAGTGTTTTTGAAAATGTCTTATTATGTTAAAAATGGACCACTTTATATGTGTTTCTGTATACTGACTTAATCAGGATCTACTCTTTATCTTGACATTCTATGCTGTAAAAAAATAAAAATTCATGAATGATTTTAGGTTTTTTTTAAAGCTTTTATTGGTATTTTTGAAAATGTTTTCTTAGTATGTTAAAAAAATGTGCCACTCTGAGAGTTTTTGTATATAAATGGAACTACTCATTATCTTAAGACATTTTATGTTTTAAACAATAAAAATTCGTTAATTGTTTTAGGTTTATTTTTGTCTTTTATCAGTGTTTTTAAAAATGTTGCCCTATTATGTTGAAAAATGAACCACTTTTTGTGTTTCTGTATACTGACGACCAGGATCTACTCTTTATCTTGACATTTTATGCTGTAAAAAATAAAAATTCACGATTTATTTTAGGTTTTGCAAAGCTTTTATCCGTGTTTTGAAAATGTTTTCTTAGTATGTTAAAAAAAAAAAAAAAAAGTGCCACTGAGCATGTGTTTCTGTCTCTGTCTAGATTTGGATCTATTCTACCACAAGACATTGTAAGTTCTAAAAAATAAAAATTCATTAATATTTTTAGGTTTTTTTATAGCTTTTTATCAGTATTATTGAAAATGTTTTCATAATGCCATCCTATATATGTTTTTGAATACTGCCTTGACCAGGAACTACAATAGATCTTGACATGTCATGCTCAAAACATAAAACGTCAGGAATGATGTTGTTTTTTGAATGATTTAATCAGTGTTTTTTAAATATGTTTTCTTAGTACGTTGAAAAAATGCGCCCACTGTGTATGTGTTTTTGTACTGTCTTGAAATGGAACAATTCTATCTAGCTATTCTTTTTTGTTCTAAAAAATAAAAATTCGTTTATGTTTTCAGGTTTATTATATCTTTTATCAGTTTTGTTGACGTTTTCTACGTTTATTCGAACAACTAAAAATTTATGGGAACGTTCTTTATGGTATTTTGAATGAGGTTGTTTTTTGTTTTGGATGACTTATTTCTGTTTTCTTTGCACATCCCACTTCAACAGGTGAATAAAGTGAGCTTTAACATTTTTCTTCTTCTAAAATGAGCTTTTGGTGCAAGATTCACCCTGCCAGCGTGGGAAGGAAGGCTGAAAATAACACTTGAAAAATATAATTACGACTCAACGGACTAAGCCAAGCATAAAGCTGCATCCTGTTCTGCTGTCCCGTTTTCAAGAAGATCCGGACGGATTCACAACTTTCCCCAAAACTTTTAAACCGTGTCGAACACGAAGAAATAAAACTGGTAGAAATTGTTGAATAATTGTTTATTTCTTAAAATGAAAGAAAAAAAATTCTGTTGTTTACCTGAATTTCGGGGAGTCCCTAAGGCATTCTGGCAAGAGATCCGCGGCAACCATCTCGGAACAAATGTTTCACTGATTTTTAATCTTTGCATAAAACCAATTTATTAAATCATCGTGAATTTGTCATTGTCTTTTTGTACGGTTTTCGGCGAGAACAGCTTCCAACTAGGAACTACTCATTTATCACAGACTATGACACATCCCGCAGGACCGTGTCAAATGGCGCTGTTGCTGGTAACCTGGCTTATGCTCATGGTGGAGGTGGTAATGGAATTAGGAGAAGGGATTCCCGGCTAATTTAGAATTTTACTTTGCCTTTCGTACCTATTTATTTTGAAAAAAGCCTAAAAAAGTTTGGAAATTGTGAAGTTGGAAAGTTTGGAAAGGTGTCCACCCAAGGAAAGAGTAACCTCTCTTGTCATGGAATCAAAGTTATTTAAAGTTAGATACTTATCAGTCACCATAGTGTCTATTAGTTCATCCATGGCATGAATTATTTCAAATTTGAAATACGACTATTGACAGAAGGAACCTCTCTTGTCATGGGTTCAAAGCTATTTAAAGGATACATTCTTATCAATCTCCATAGTGTCTACTAGTTCATCCTTGGCATGAATTATTTCAAATTTGAAATATAACTATTGGCAGAGGGTAACCTCTCTTGTCATGGATTCAAAGTTATTTAAAGATAGATACTTATCAATCACCATAGTGTCTATTAGTTCATTCTTGGCATGAATTATTTCAAATTTGAAATACAACTATTGACAGAGGACAACCTCTCATGTCATGGATTCAAAGTTATTTAAAGATAGATACTACTGATTAAGATACAGTTAAGGAAAGTAATGGATTATGGTTTCACCGGAACTATCTTGAATTGGTTATCCAGCTTTCTCTCTGACAGAAAACAAATAGTCAAAATAAAATCATTTAAATCATGTCCCTTCCTCGAGAGTCCCGCAAGGGTCTCCTCTTGGACCAGTTTTGTTTCTCTTATTTATTAATATCCATCTTGCTCTCCCTTCTGCTCAATTTTTATTATTTGCTGATGATCTGAAAATCTATTCCATAATCACTTCTCCTTCTGATTGCTTACAATTACAAAATTCTATCAATAATGTGCTAAACTGGTGCTCTAATAACGAACTTGCTCTTAATGTTTCCAAATGCTACACAATTACATTCTCTCATAAGAAACAACCTTTTATTTATCTCTATACTCTCCATGATGCTCTTTTAACGCGAATTGAGGTCGGAAAGGATCTTGGTGTACTTTTTGATCAAAAGCTCAAGTTTAAAGAAGATATTTCTTCAATAAAAAATAGATCTATGAAGATGCTAGGTTTCATCATCCGGAACACCTATGAATTTAAAAATCCTCTATGTTTTGTCCATCTTTATAAAGCTTTTGTACAACAACTACTAGAATATGCTACACCTGTTTGGAACCCATTCTATCTAAATTATTAAAAAAATTCTTCAATCCGTACAAAACAAATTTTTAAAAAAACTTTCCTACAAACTCAATCTTCCTCCGAATTCTGCCTACCCTGGAATCCGCTCTGAATTTAAACTTTTCGAACTGGCACTAAGAAGGGATTACTTTGATATTGTTTTTGTATTTAAATTATTAAACAATCTCATTGATAGTCCTTATCTCCTCTCTCAACTACAGCTACATGTCCCTTCGTACTCTCTTAAAACCTATAAATTATTTTATATTGAATTCCAAAGCTCTAACTACATGCTCTCTTCTCCTCTACACAGAATGATGATCAAGAGTAACAACATCTGCAATAGCATTGACTTCTTCAATAGTTCTGTGCAATCTGTGAAAAACCTTATCCTACAACCTTAGTTGAATGCTTTTATATTTCATACTGTACAAAATTATTACAATTTATTTCATTTACTGGTTCAACTAATTCTCGCACTCTAGTCTTATTATATATTTAAAAAGAGCATTATTTTCATTAAATATGTACCTAATTATTGTAGTTTCAATTGTCTTTCAGCTTTATTTTGTTTCCTCTGCCTTATTTTGGTTAGTAATTATGTCTTTCATTTTTATTGTTCAGTTTTTTACTCTTTAATTGTATTTTTATATTTATCATTTATATTTACCATTTATATTATTACCATGTATGTACGTCCTTATTCTTTTTATATATATTATTTGTATTTTTACATATATCATTTATTACAATTAATTAAGGTTTTTAGTTGAGATGAAAAAAAGTTAATGGCACGAGAGGGATTCGAACCCACGACCTTCGGCTTGATACGCCGCTGCTCTAGCACTTGAGCTATCGTGCCCTGGATCCACTCGGACATCAACTCCCCATCTCAACCCCACCTTATGAGTTTTCCCTCCCTATATCATTTATATTTTTTGTTATTGTAAAATGTCTTTTTTTATAGTGGATTTCGATCTGTAAATAAATAAATACTTATCTGTCTCCATAGTGTCTATTAGTTCATCCATGCATGAATTATTTCAAATTTGAAATACAACTAATGACAGAGGGTAACCTCTCTTGTCATGGATTCAAAGTTATTTAAAGATAGATACTTATCAATCTCCATAGTGTCTTCTAGTTCATCCTTGGCATGAATTGTTTCAAATTTGAAATACAACTATTGACAGAGGGTAATTTTTCTTGTCATGGATTCAAAGTTATTTAACTGATAGATACTTATCAGTCTCCATCAACAATTCATGCTATAAACCAGGGCTCCCCGAACTGCGGTCTGCGGACCCCTTGGGGGTTCGCCAACCCAAACTATGGGGCCCATAGCAAGTTTTGAAAAATTAATATTTGCAAAAATAAATGTAGAATGAATAAATACAATTAAAAAACTAATTGCCCAATGTTTTCAATGGTAAAAAAAGCAATATATACTGTCGTATTTATCAGATATTTCCATTCAAATGAATAAAATGATTTTTTCTTTTCGAGGGAAGAGTATCATAATTTTCGATGCTAATGACAAAGATAGTGGCTTCAAAAGAAAAATCCAGTTTTGGTCTGAATCTGTTGAAATAAAAAAGGTGGAGTGCATTCCAGCATTTTTTTTTATTTTTTTATTTTTATTTTTTTTATTTTATTTATTTTTTTTTTAAGAAAAACTGGAGCTTGATGATTGATGAATGTTGATGTTGATGATGTTAAATGTTGATCGATGAAATTTTTGAAGTTTGGAGATGTCCTTTGAGCACTACTTCCCAATAGCTCGATATACTAGTCCATTTTCAAACCATTTTCTGTTTCGACAAAGCCAACCAGTCTATTTTCAAGTTAATACAAATTTTGACTGACATTACTTCAGACTCCACCTTGAAATCTACTTACGAGTCCAATACCCCCATTTTTGACTCTGACTGGACAACAAAAAATTTCACCTGCTCATTGAAAAAGCAAAACTTGTTCCATTTACCAAAACTTGCTTATGCAAATCCGGATTTTCTACCGACACAGCCACCATAATTAAATACCGAAGCTTTTCAGATGCTGAACCGAACATCTGTCTCAGCTATCAAAAATTAAAACCAACATATCAAAATTGTGCAAGCTAAAACATACTCTTCTAATTAAGTTATTAATCATTAATGTTCAAATTATTTCTTTTGAATTTGGCTCGATTTTTACATAACTACTGATTCCATTCTATCCAAGTAGTTCCGTATTTTGAACATAAAGGTAAGTATGTCAATTAAATTTTTGTTTTCATAGTGATATCCACCTTCATCACCTACTTAGGAATAGACTGGATAGTTTATAAAATTTTAATTTACTATATTCTATAAGTATCTAATTTTAAATACTTGAAAGAAAGGGGACCCCTGGATTTTATTTTGAGCAAGGGGTCCTCTGGCTAAAAAGTTTGGGAAGCTCTGCTCTAAACAATTTAAAGCTACCAGTGGTGTACCTCAAGGGTCGCACCTCGGTCCTTTATTTTTTGTTGTTTATGTAAATGATATTGTAGATGTTTTTTCTGATGTGAATTATTTTATTTTATTTCTTATTATTAGTCTTTATTTAATTTTTAATATACAATATACATAACTACATTTTTAAAATTAAAGAGAGGTTCTTTGGTTATCTTAACCTTCAAGAGGAATCTACCAATTAAATAAAATTCAAGTGTACATCTATTTTGTTTCAATTAAACATGCATTTATTTAATAGTAATTTACTAATTACTTTTATAAAGTTACGACAATGTTAACTGCATCGCATACATTCACTAATACATTATACAAAAAACTAACCCTAAACTGGAAAGAAAACAACTTATGACTAAAAATGAAACAATGAAATTAGCTTTATATTTATACGCCTCTCTATAATAGTTTGGCAGTTCCTTCCAGCCCTCCCCCTACCATTTAAATACAATATCATTCCCTCGCCAACTAACACCTCTGCATTCATCCACTTCAATCTAATTTCGGTTAGTCTAGGGCAAACACATAGATAATGGTACATGTCTTCATTTATATGGTTATTACAAAGAGACATGACTTTGTGGACTTACCATATGGAATTATGCTCAATTTGAACATTTCTCCTCTAACTTTCATTATCAGTCGTTTACTATCTAGACTTAGATTACTGCATATAATTTAATTTAAATCAAAGCTTATCTCTCTATACACCATGCTTATAATTTTTCCAAGAAAACAATTTTTTTATATGACTTTAGAGAATCAAGAATTAAATTGAAGATACTTTCCCAAGAGGTACATTTTCATAGCTAAAAGTAGCATTAATATTATGCAAATTTACCTGGTCTATTAATTTTTTAAACCAGTACAAGATTTCTTTCATAATTTGTTTAGCCAGTATTTTAAGGGTATCTTTCCTATGTTATGTTCATTACTTTTAATATGTAGTTACAATGTGAATTTTTTACTCCTCGCAGATGATATAAAAATCAATCGCTCAATTAAATCTATTAATGCACCTACTTCAAGAAAATTTAACTCTTTAGGCTGCGGCATGCTGAAAGTAGTTAAAATCAATGTAAATAAATGTTCATTTATTAGTTTTTTTCACTCAAAAAACCCTATTCCAACATCCATAAATTAAATGACAGTCATCAACATTACTGGTTGAGGTATGATCTTTAATGATCACCTTTCGAAATCATATAGATTTCATTCATAATAAAGCTATTAAGCAACTAGGTTTTATTATTAGAACTCGTAGAGATCTCAAAAATCAACTAAT